CTGCTTTATATAACAAGCATAAAACAGATTTCATAAATCATAAAGTAGATCTCAAAGAGAAAGAAGAACTTTTAACTGGGCTCTCATATACCAATAGTTGTATCTCCACAGAAAGGACTTAAAAATTACAGTTTATTTCAATAGATTAGATATATTACTAAAAGTTACAGTGGATATCCAAGTAGATTTTATTAAAGTTGACAGTGTATATAAATAGCTATAAAAATTATTTGAAATTAAATTTTCTTGGGGCCAGCATCCTGGTGAAACAGGTAGACCCACCACCTGCTACTCCCATATCAGCATTGGTTCGAGTCCTGGCTGCTCCACTTCTGATTCAGCTCCCTGCTAGTGGCCTGGGAAAAGCATCAAAAGATGGCCCAAGTACTTGGAACCCTGTCACCCATGTGGGAGACCTGGAAGAAGCTCCTGTCTTTTAGACCTCTCTGTCTTTTAGCTTAGGGTTAGCCTAGTCCTGGCCATTGTGGCCACTTGAGTAGTGAACCAGTGGATAAAAGAGCTCTCTCTCTCCACCTCTCTCTCTCTCTGCAACTCTACAATCCAAATAAATAAATAAATTTTTTAAAAATTAAACTTTTCACTAAAGTTAAAAAGAATTTCATGAAGGTTACGAGCATATTTAAACTCCACAGACTTCAAACTGTAGGTAGACACTGCAAATGAAGGATCTGGGTGGAAAGAGGAGACACATCAATCTATTGTACTGTTCATGAAGTAACTCAGTCTCTTGTTTATCTTCAGAGATCATGTTTTCAAAGATCTCATTTTCTCTAATGTATTTTCACATGATCTGGATCCATTATCAGCTATACAAACAAGAACAAAATTAAAGCCTTCTTTTTACTTTTATGTGAAAACCATCTTAGGCTCACAGAAAAGTTGCAAGAACGTATTTTTCCTGAAATATTTACTGTCATTATACCTCATAACCCTCAAATATGTATTCTAACATATATTAGCTATGAATAAGGATATTTTCCTAAATAATCCCAAAGCTTTAAAGCTAACACTGATATACTACTACCATGGAACCCTCAGATCCTATACAAATTTCACTGTCACATTAATGTCCTTTAGAGCAGTAAGATCCAGCCTAGGATCATGCACTGTACTTAATTTTCACTTTTTTTAGTCTCTTACAACCTGAACAGTTCCCCAGTTCTTCTACGTCCTTCACAAACGTGACACACTTGAGGACTATGGGACAGTTCTTTTGTATACTGTGACTTGATTTGGGCTTGTCTTATTGTTATGCTTGGACTTATTTATTATTGAAAGGCAGAGTTAACAGAGATAGGCAGAGAAAGCTTCCATCTGCTGGTTCACTTGCCAAATGGCCACAACAGCTGGGGCTAGGCCAGGGCCAGGCTGAAGCCACGAGCCTGGAACTCCATCTGGGTCTCTTATGCGGATGATGGAGGCCTAAGGATTTGGGCCATCTTCTGCTGCTTTCTGAGGTACATCGACTGGGTGGGAACTGAACAGCTGGGATTTGAACTGGCACTCATAAGGGATGCTGGTGTCACAGGTGGCAACTTAACCTGCTGTACCACAATGCTGGCCCCAAGATATAAATCTTTGATAAGAAGATCCTAGAAATGATACTAGGTTCTTCTCATTGCATTCTACAAGGTGGAACACAGTTTTGACTGGATGATTACTGATATTAACTTTGCCCACTGACATGGTGATAGCCAAGCTTCTCCATGTTCTCTTTTCCTTCTAATGAATAAATATTTAATTATATCACTATTCCATTCTTAGTCACTGATTTTATTCATTTATGTACATAATTGCTGACTCATGGATTCCTATTTTACTCAGTAAGGACCCAAGAACTTGAGCCATCACCTGCTGTCTTCCAGGGTGCACACTAGCAGGGCAATCAGAGACAGGATTGGAACCCAGGGACTCCAACATGGGATGCAGGTGTCTCCAAGTGGTGTCTTTCACCATGGGGCCAAATGCTTGCACCATCATTACTTATTTGAGTGCAAACTGTCTCTGGTTTGGCCAGTTGGAGACTCTTCAAGATGGCCTCTGTGTCTTGTTGACTAATCCTTACTACTTCTTTTTTTTTTTTTAATACTAATTTATTTATTTATTTGAGAAGCAGAGTTACAGACAGAGAGAGGGAGAGACAGAGAGGTCTTCCATCTGCTTGTTCACTCCCCAAATGTCTGCAATGGCCACAGCTGGGTGGATCTGAAGCCAGGATCCAGGAACTTCTTCTGGGTCTCCCACATGGGTGCAGGGACCTCAGCACTTGGGCCATCTTCCACTGCTTTCCCAGGTGCATTAGCATGACCTGGATCGTAAGTGGAGCAGCCAGGACTTGAACCAGTGTCTATATGGGATGACAGCACCAGAGGTGGAGGCTTAACCTATTATACCATAGCGCTGGCCCTGACAGATCCTTACTTTCTTAAATCTAAGATGCCTCAGGCTCATCCTGTCCCTTTCCCACTCTAGCTATGGAATACATTGCATCTCCAAAATATATGTTCTTTAGATTATGAGGGAACAATATATTATTTCTTATGTGCTCATCTTAAGGGACAATCAATGAATCTCTAAAGTAATGATAATGATTTAAAAGAAAGCAAGTTTAAGACTGGCAAAAATGAATGTATCAGATCAGAATTTTTACAATTTCTACATCACTCTTCTCTTGACTGTTTTGAAATTGTACTAAAACCGCCTGATTGCCTCTCTCTGAACTCTATGAACCAACACATTATGTTCTAATTGAAAATGCTATTTTCAAAACTGTGATCCACATAATTGTGTAGTAACTGTTAAATTCTGAAAGTTTTCTGGCTGAAGGCATCCATGAACATATTCCCCAGTGTCACATCAAAGACAACAGTAAGGAAAAGGCGCTCTCAAGACTCTTTTGCAATTGATGGACAGAGTCATGGCTCATTGCCTTTGGTGTGACTGATGAAGTGAAGTCACCAACAAGACTGTTCCTTTCAAGGACATTATTTGGTACATTAACACCACCATAATTTTGTATGTGCAAATGTAGTAAATCATTTCAAGAGATTCAGAAGACTACTTTCTCAGAAAATCACCTGGAGAACAGAAGACTTGGCTTGACAGTGTACATATCTGAGTTAGCAATATACTTTCTTTAATCCAAGTAGGAGTGGAGAGTGATGGGGTTACACAAGCTTTAATATAAAACATGAAAAGACATTTATTTTTTCAATCACTTAAAAAAATTTACATGGCAGTAAAATTCATTGAAGTATTTCATTATCTGAAAATTATACCCTGAGGGTACAAAAGAAATACATTTGTATATATCAAGACAGTGATATACCTCTTCCAGTAACAGTACTAATTTAGCATGAAATTATGAGCCAGAGATTTCCAAATGCTTATGGAACCAATTTTTCTAACAAGCCAGTGAAATGACCATTATAACAGTCACTTAAAAAGCAAAGCAGCCAAAGCTTTGGAAAATCCCCTAATCTTAAAGCTAAGAATCAGCTAACACTCAAGACAGAACTAAATAAACCCTCCAAACAGGGCTAAGTTAGGCTGGGGGAGGGCGCACTAGCCTACTCTAAGTGTTAAAAGCTTCACCAAGAATAAGGAGGTTTCACCAGGGGGAGTTGGTAGCCTGGCCCAGTAATCAGGAATATCTGTGTAAGGAAGGCAGCCTACTGTAGCATGTCAGAGCACAAGCAGGATGAACAGAGTGTCTGTCTCCACAAAAGCATGGTCTGGCATTAGGTGACGTGGAGGAGCAGGACAAGGCCTGGCACAAAGTATCTGAGCATGAGCTCCATTAAAAAGGTCTCTATCTAGGTGGTGTTGTGTAGTACTGGTTAAGCCACCTCTTGCAGTGCCAGCATCCCATATAGGTACCAGTTCAAGTCTTGGCTGCCCTACTTTTGATCCAGTTCCCTGCTAATGATCCTGGGAAAGCAGGGAGGATGGGCCAGGTCCTTGGGCTCCTGCTACCCATGTGGGTGACTCAGAAGAAGCTCCTGATCTCTAGTTTCGGTCTAGCCCAGCCCTTGCCATTGTGGTGGAGAGTGAACTAGTGGATGGAAGATCTCTCCCTGTTTCTCCCTCTCTCTGTAACTCTGCCTTCCAAAGAAATAAAAAAACAAATCTTAAAAAAAAAGTCTCTGTAAGGAAAAGCAACCTGGTATGGGATGTCAGAGCCTAGACAAGGTGAAAAGGGTATCCATGCAGAGTTAGGAACTCTGGTGAGAGCCTGGTGTGTGATGATGAGAGTCCAAGCTTGGTGGAAAAACAATTTTCACAATGAAGGGACAGTGGTAAGTTTGGTTACATATAGGAGGACGGATTAGAATAAGTAATTACATTAAGGACACTAGGAGGTAGGTATTTCACTGTCAGAAAACAGAGTTACAGATATGAAAAGGAAGAAAACTAGTATTGTAGTACTGGACTAAAATTGGAAGTATCAGAATCAACTCATTGTTTTCAATATAAACACATACATAAGAATGTAGATGTAAATGAGTACGTATATGCATTTATACATATGTACATATGTATAAACAACATTTATTCCCCAGCTGTTTTTACTGAGAAGGCTTGGGAGCAGTGATATTTCAATAACAATGAGCTTATCTAGTTCTCACATCTTGACATCTAAATAACATTCTCCAAAAAAAGGAAGCTAGATTACAGAATCAGTCTCTACAGAAGGACAGTACTGGGACACTGGGTCAACACTGAATGGGGTCAGAGATTAAGATACAGTAATATACCAATGTTACCTTCCTGATTTTGGTGACTGCATTATGGTTGCTAGCAGAAAATCTTATCTAAGAAATAAACACTAAAGTACATGGAAGTGACAGGACTTCAGATCAGCAACCTACACTTTGTAGATAACTTTTTTGTAAGTTTGATATTAAATAGACTAGTAAATAAACAGAAACAAGGAAGGCAGATAGGAGGTAAGGTGGAGGGCACAGAGAACTACTTACTGAGGTCTTCGGCCAGTTGAACACGTTTACCAGTAAGCAATTTAACTTTCTTTTCACTGTCTTCAGCAAAATCTTCCAACACCTCTTTAACGTTTTTCTCTAATCGCCTAACTGTTCAAAGTAAATAAAGAAATTGGAGGAGTTTTTTTTAATAGATACTCCAGGATAATAATATTAACCATAGGAGGGGTCTTCAAAAAGTTCATAAAATAAAACATATTATGAAAAACTATGTGTAGATTTTAACTCTTTTGCACTAACATAAACTTATCTTTTATTTTACATTTTCCCAAGAATTTCTTGAAGTATTCTCTATTGAACAGTAAGTTCTTATGTTTTCTTATCATGTTAGATCTATTAAGTTTATAGTTGTCAAAATTACAGAGAGAATTTCTGATATTATATAGCATGTTTTAACAGCACATAACTGATACCAAATCTCAGAAAACAGCATATTTCTAATTCAAAATACTTTAAGGAAAGCACAGATTTCTTGATTACTAATCTAGTTTTTGTGTAATAAAGGTAGATTCTTGCTATGTTTCATCTTCTACTTTTTCAATTATGATTTATTAATTTTTAAAGGCAAATTATAATTGTTTTTCTAATAAATCTAGTTTTAATGAGGTTTTGCAATCCTCCTATTAAAAATGGAGCTACTACCATTTTAATGCCAAAATGAGAAAGCATTAACCCTTGTGGCTTACCTTCAGTGTTTGTAAGTTGCTGCCTTAAAGTATTGGCAGTGATAGCAAGCATGCGCTGTATTCGCCAAAACAGGACCACATCATTGCATTCCAACTGAAATATTAAACAATTAAGATTACCAGAAGCAAATCTATAAATGAAAACCAAGTGCTTATACACAGACAACTACCAAAGTCAGTACCTATATACTGGGCTTTAATACACATTATTACATTTATCTAATACATGTAATTCTATAATTGGAAACAGAGGCAACTTTTTTGTACAGATCCATGAAATTCTGCCTGTTCTGAGTCTTAACTACCCTATATCTACATAGATTTGTTGGTTTTATTTTTTTTAAAGATTTATTTATTCATTTGAAAGTCAGAGTTACACAGAGAGAAGGAGAAGCAGAGAGGTCTTCCATCTGATGGTTCACTCCCCAGTTGGCTGCAACAGTATTTTCTTAGCTTATATTTAGTGTCCGTTAACAATCATGCTTATGTTAAATATGTCCCTGGGTCAACCTCTTTTGAGTGTGCACTAAAGCTGGTTTTGTGATTTAGTTGTATTTCAAAGTAAATTGATATTTAAACTTTTATTTAAAGAATTTATTTAATTTATTTGAAAGTCAGAGAAATAGAGAGGCAATGAAACAGAGGGGTCTCTCATCTGCTGGTTCACTCTTTGCAAGTGCCTGCAACAGCCAGGGTTGGGCAAGGCCAAAGCTAAGAGGCAGGAACTCAATCCAGGTCTTCCAGTTGGATGGCAGAGACTCAGCTACTTAAGCCATCACCTCATACCTCCTAGGATGCACATAGCTCTGTAGTAGAGCTAGGACTTGAACTCTGATATTGGATGCAGATACACCAAGTGGCAGCGGCATCTTAATCAGTGTACTGTATGCCCTTCCCTCAGATTACATATACACAAACACACACAAACACACACATACCACATTTAAAGATTTAAAGTTTATTCTGTAGAGTTTTTTCAATAATTATGCAAAAACTTTTTTATGTAAGTGAATTTAAATACAAATTTATTTTAAGCTTATGAAAACAAAAGAAAAGTATTTTAGAAGTCTTAGATTGCTGACTGAAGGTTTTTTCAGAAGGCTAAAAAAAAGCATGTTTTGTCTGTAAGAAAATGCCCAAAATATATCAATCTGCTGCCACCTAGGGGTTACTTTGTAAAAAGTGACGCTACATTATTTTAAAAGTCCATTACAGTAACTTCAGTTCTTTTAAGGAATTACTTAATCTAAGGGGCCGGCATTGTGGCATAGGGGATAAGGCCCCTGCCTGCCAGTGCCTCCTATAGGGGCACCAGTTCAAGTCCCGGCTGCTCTACTTCTGATCCAGCTCCCTGCTAATGGTCTGGGAAAAGCAGCAGAGGACGACCCAACTATCTGGCCCCTGTCACTCATGTGGGAGATCCAGAAGAAGCTTAGGGGTTCCTTTGGCTTGGACCAGCCCCGGCTGCTGGGCCATGTGGAGAGTGAACCAGCAGATGGAAGATTCTCTCTCTCTCTCCCCTTCTCTAACACTGACTTTCAAATAAATAATCTTTTAAAAAAATAAAGGATTATTTAAAACAAGGTTTCAGTGATATGAAGAATGATACATAAAAAAAGTTCAGTAAAAATTTTTTTGCAGCATGTTTTCTACCATGTAAATGGCTGGTTATACACACACACACACACACCTTCTCTATGGATAGAAAAAAATTGAATAGAAATCCATGTTAACTAAAATTACTTCTAGATCTGAGGATTATAAATGATTATTTCCTTTTACATATTATTTCACATTTAAACACATACGTACTGTTACAGGTGCCAGGGATGACATGTATGTAAGATGCAGTTACTACCAAAGGGACAAACATCTTTGAAATGATAAGAATTATGTTAATCTTCATAGATTATACATACTTTTTCCAGATGATTAAAGGATGTAAAATTAAGATTAAAGCCAAAGTTTAATACACATCTTATACATTTCTCTGCTTTTGGAGTTCTTACCTCAGAATCTACAAAATGCCTTTGGTAATAGTAAAAGCCTCTTCGACAAAGGTTACAATGGTTTAGAGCTGTTTTTAAGAAATGTCTTCTATACACTTGATGCCAAGTATCCTTAATCTAAAATGAGAAAAGAAAACAAAATTATCGTGTACAGTCTTCTTATTGATCAATTATACTGAGAAGTTGTATAGAAATAGTTTTCTATAAGAGTTAATTAAAACCAACAACAATATTGTGTGGGTATTCTACCACATTTTTTATTCACTTAACATTTTTTCAAGACAAGGATTAGATTTGCTACTAATCTATCAGTTGTGTAATTCAAGATTTACATTTTAAACAAAAGCTGTTATTATATTCAAACAATCGTCTTATAGAATAGATAAAGTCCCTTAGTTAGAAGTGAGGATAACCATAGCAAAAACAGATTGAAAGTCTTGACAAAGGCAAGAGTTCAGACCTGGAAGCTAATCTAGGACAATGCTCATTAACCCAACAGTATCTCCTTTCTGGTGATTATATATTTAAATATATTTTCAAAGTATGATAGTCTTATTTTTAAAATTCTTATTTATTACTTATTTACATTTTATTTGAAAAGCAGAGAGACAAATATCTTCCATCTGCTGATTCAAATATCTACAATATAATCAAATATCTATAATAGTTGGGGATGGGTCAGGCCAAAGCTGGAAGACTGGAACTCAGTCTGGGTCCCCCATATGGTGGCAGGAGCCCAAACATTTGAGCCATCACCTGCAGTCTCCCAGGATGCGCATTAGCAGGAAGCTGGACTCAAAAGTGGAGCTGGGACTTGAATCCAGGTGCTTTGATATGAGATGAAGTATCCCAAGTAGTGTCTTAACACTGCCATCAAAATACCTGCCCCTCATTACTGATTATTAAATTTCACTGCAACCATACCAACATGATCCCCCACTACTTTATTACTACCCAGTCTGCTCAATGTTCTCTCATATCAACTGTCTTTTTTTGACATAATAATATTAAGCAGGTAGAATAAATATCATCAATGCCATCTGACAAATGAGGAATGTGGGGCTCAAAGACATTATATCAACTACTAAAGGTAATATTACTAACTCATGTAATGTAATTGGATTAGAATTCACATCTCTCTTTTTTTTTTTTAAAGATTTATTTATTTATTTATTTGACAGGTAGAGTTACAGACAGTGAGAGAGACAGAGAGAAAGGTCTTCCTTCTGTTGGTTCATTCCCCAATTGGCTGCAATGGCTGGAGTTGCACTGATCCGAAGCTAGGAGCCAGGTGCCTCTTCCTGGTCTCCCATGCTGGTGCAGGGGCCCAAGCACCTGGGCCATCCTCTACTGCCCTCCCGGGCCACAGCAGAGAGCTGGACTGGAAGAGGAGCAATGGGGACTAGAACCAGGTGCCCATATGGGATGCTGGCACCGCAGGCGGAGGATTAACCTAGTGTGCAAGCGGCACTAGGCCCAGAATTCACATCTCTTAACATCCCTTTTAGTATCCTCATTATGGTCTTTTGTTTGTTTGTTTGTTTGTTTTTATTTATTTAAAGATTTTGCAAAATACAGTAGACAAAGTGTCACTTGGAAAAAACTAAGTTTTCTTGCTCACTGAAAGTAATTCAGATACATAGTCAATCCACAGCCTAAGATACTGGAAAAACTAAAAAAGAAAAAAAAAAATCAAATCATATAATCTCTTCCATTTTACCTTTTTTTTTTTTTTTTTTTTGACAGAGTGGACAGTGACAGAGAGAGAGAAAGGTCTTCCTTTTGCCATTGGTTCACCCTCCAATGGCCGCTGTAGCCGGCGCATTGCGGCCGGCGCACCGCGCTGATCCGATGGCAGGAGCCAGGTGCTTCTCCTGGTCTCCCATGGGGTGCAGGGCCCAAGCACTTGGGCCATCCTCCACTGTACTCCCTGGCCACAGCAGAGAGCTGGCCTGGAAGAGGGGCAACCGGGACAGAATCCGGCGCCCCAACCATTTTAATTCTAAGACAAAAATCTTTCTGCTGTATTAACCAACACAAAGTATACATACTAACAGCCACATAAACTTTAAAAGTATCACGAGCTAGGACCAATGTGGATAAATTATAAGTTTACATCTATATTCAGTTAAAAATTTCATTTTCAACTTATAACACTAGAAATATAACAGCTTTAACTGCTGAGTTTGACCTTGGGTGGAATTTAAATACAATCATTCCTCAAGTACAGGAACAAAAATAGCAGATAATCTTTAAAAGAATGTATGTGTAGCCAAGAAAAAAAAGTTTTAAAGATTTATTTTTTCTGTATTTGAAAGGCAGATCTAGAGAGGAAGAGACGGAGATGTCCTCCATTCTCTAGCTCACTCCCTAAATGGGTGCAATGGCCAAAGCTGGGCTGGTCTGAAACCATGAGCCAGGAGCTTCTTCTGGGTCTCTTACATGGGTGCAGGGGCCCAAGCACTTGGGCCATCTTCTAGGGCATCCCCAGTTGCATTAGCAGGGAGCTGGATGAGAAGCAGATCAGCTCGGACTCGAAACAGCTTCTATATAGGATGCTGGCACTGCAGGAGGTGGCTTAATCCGCTATGCCACAGTGCCAGCCCCAAGAAATTTTTTACATGATTACTTTCTCCATCAGATTTACTTTTCTGATTGGGTTTTGCTTATAAAACAAACTTTATAAGATTTATTTATTTATTTGTAAGGTAGAGTTACAGAGAGGCAGAGGTAGAGAGAGAGAGAGGTAGAGAGAGAAAGAGAGAGATCTTCAATCCACTGGTTCACTCCCCAAGTGGCCCTAACGGCCAGAGCTGGGCTGATCTGAAGCCAGGAGCCAAGAGATTCTTCTAGGTCTCCCATGTGGGTGTAGGGGTGCAAGTGCTTGGGCCATCTTCTACTGCTTTCTCAAGCCATAGCAGAGAGCTGGATCGGAATTGGAGCAGCTGGGACTCGAACTAGTGTCCATATGGGATGCCCGCACTGCAGAAGGTGGCTTTACCCACTAATCCACAGCATCTGCCCCATAAAATAAACTTTGGAATTCTTACATCACACTAAGCAAGAGAGAATGTAGGCTGGGGAACTTTTTTTTTTTTAATTTGCCATAAATAAGCATCATGAAGAGAAGCAAAAAGTCTGAAGTATGGGCTATTTTAATCTAATATTTATTTTAAGTGAGGAAAATAAGAACTCAAAGACCTTTCCAATTTAATGAAAAGTTATTTACAACTCTTTCAAAGTCTTTTCCACTCATAAGCATATATAAACAGAAATTATGTCTTGCATTCCGAAACAGTGAGACGTGATGCAAGGTCTGGGTGCATTTCATTCCCTTCTCCAAGAACTGCTCAACTTGTCCAAGTAAATACCCTTTTTAAACCTCAATTTTCTCCTTTACAAACCAAAGTGATACATTTAACAAAACAATACCAAGAATAAAATTTCTACTCTTCAATAAAAAATTTATCATCAGCAAATGTTCAAAGTCAAACTGAACAGTTAAATTTTAATCCATTAGGAGTAGCAACATTTTACTGTAAGAAACAAAGATTATACAAGTCAAGTCATGCTAAAAAGCAATATTCATTACCAAGCCTGGATCTACTGCTACTCCTCGGGACTCTAGGTTCTTTCGGACCGTGGTTATCTCGTCGCTTGCAAGATATGCTGGGTGTTCTTCATTACACTTCAACATTTTCTCCAGTTCATTCTTGGTTTCATTGTGGACACACTTAGAAATGTTTAAAAGAGGACTATGTTTAGGTGGCTCATGATTTGGCATTTGTCAAAACAGAGTCTGAGTTGTTTTTGGTGTGTGTGTGTGAAGGTTTTTACTTAATGAATATAAATTTCCTATGTACAACTCCTAGGGACAGAGTCCGAGTTTTAATAACTATGTTACTGTTACCAACATTGACACAAAATCACAACAAACAAAAAATAATGGAATTCTCTGGTTTATGAATATGAGTAGCTGGCCTATGAATGCAGTGCTACTTCTCTTAATAGAGATGAAAAAACACAGTCCCTTTTGTTCCATTCTGTTTTTTCTGAAATATTTTACCATCAAGTTACTGCATCAGGCACCTTATTATATACTTACTTTCTTGACCTTATGGGATAATTTGGATGTAGAAAAAGTAACGTGAATACATGGTAACAGATCATGTTCTATAAATGCCTCATATCTAGGAACTAGATGACTGAAATGACTCCTGTCTGTTGACAAGCTTTTCTGATAATTAAATTAAATACAAAATGCATCATTTGGTTTACTAAAAAGGCTTTTAATTAAAAATCATACTTCAGACTGCTGCTGTGGGGTACCTATCATTCTTAAATTCACTTCCACTCTGTAATTACTTGTCAATCTCTTCACCAGTGGAAGAATACATACACACAGCAGTTTTGTTAAGTATGAAAACAAGACTTTTTTTACTGGATAAAATTAAATTTATCTTGTCTTTTTCAAACCTTCACTCAAAATTGTAAAATAAAATAAGCTAGCTTATAAGTAATTCACTTATTACTCTAACAAATTGCTACAACAGTTCTTGCCCCAAACTGGACCACAGCTATAGAATATGATTATTTATATGAGGGTGTTCAGAAAATTAATGAAAAAATGGAATTAAAACATGAGTTTATTTTGGTACAAATAAATATTGAAAACGATGCATGGATTTTCCAAGTATTCATTTTTCATGAACTTTCTGAAGGCCCTGGTACAAGAATGACAGTTGTCAGTGGAGCTTTTAACTAAACTTCTTCAAGACATGACTTTAAGAAACTTTAGAACAAATATTATTTAATGAAGAAAAAGTCACTGTTTGCTCAAACATCTGTTAGCCAGTCTAAGGCAGGAAAGAAACATGGCCTGTGACTCATCCTCACCCTGGCTTGTGTCTTCACTTCACCTTCCTACCTGTCACCATTTCACTGCCACCCACCATCCTTGGCCTCCAGAAGAGAATACTCTCCCATCTATCCTGTCCAAGATTTCTACTAGTTCAGTTCAGACAAGATAAGAATATTTCAAAGGCAGGGATTTTCTTAGAAAACTAAGGAAAAGGTAACACAAAAGCACAAAATAGTCTTCATTTTTAACATAGGATTGTTCATCTTTAACACAGAATTGACCTTAATTTTTTCTTGTCAAATCCTATCACTCTAAGACAGAAGGAACATGGCTACCCAAACTGCTCCCCTATAATCTGTCATCTTTTTTTTTTTTTTTTTTTTTTTTTTTTTTTTAAGATTTCATTTATTTATTTGAGAGGTAGAGTTACAGACAGTGAGAGGGAGAAACAGAGAGAAAAGTCTTCCTTCTGTCAGTTCACTCCCCAGTGGCCACAACGGTCAGAGCCGTGCCAATCCGAAGCCAGGAGCCAGGTGCTTCTCCCCGGTCTCCGATACGGGTGCAGAGGCCCAAGGACTTGGGCCATCCTTTACTGCTTCCCCAGGCCACAGCAGAGAATTGGATTGGAAGAGGAGCAGCCGGGACTAGAACCGGTGTCCATGTGGGATGCCGGCACCGCAGGTGGAGGATTAACCTACTACGTCACAGTGCTGGCCCATTTGTCATTTTAACCTCCAGGTATGAGGTCAGCACAATGGTTTTTAACAGGAGTGGGAGAAGACAGACAGGTTAGAGAAGAACTGGACTAGTAAGCTGGACATGGGGCTATCTTTGGCAGTGTAAAAAAACAAAAACAAAATCACAAATAATTACATCCTCTCATCTGCTCCAGCAATTCTCATGTTCCTTTCTTCTATATTCCATATTATGACCTCCACTCTGTAATCTGCCCAAGTCTTACATTTGCTGCCCTGAAACCTGGTGGGAGAGGGCTCTTCTCGTAAGGATTTCCAGATTCTTCTTCTAGGCAAATGGACTCTGCACTGACTTTAAAGCTAATTCCTTTGCTTCTCTTGAGAGGATTTCCTGTACAACCAGAAATCATTTCTTTTCTGAGTATTTTGCCATGCATATTTACCACCAGTAGCTGAGGCAAGTTTTGTCAATGTTAATTATTCTGGAGACTTTACACCTAATTTCACTGAGCCTTAATGGCTAGACACTTTCTTGCATTTATCTGCCTTCTAGCAGCTTTCTAATCAATCCTTCTTCCTGTCTCAAAGTCACAAACCTCTAACAGATCCCAGAGAAAAGCTTTCCTGACAGAACTCCTTCTCTCAGCCCATCTGTAGAGTAGAGATAACTGATGTTCCCTGAACACACGCAAGATCCAATCTCTGACTCTGTCCCCTCTTCAGTTACTCTTCAGTCTCCTAATGACTCACTATTTTTTTCCACAAAAATCATGACAGACAAAAGAGGAAGGCTGTCTCTTCACATTATTTTGAGACAGTTTCTGATTTATATCTGATCGCTTAAGAAACAAAACATGGGGAAAACTAGAAAAAAATGAAATTATATAATTTAAGTAACTCTATACTTAAAAAATATAAATAGAAATATGTCATTTGGTAATTTTCATTCTCTTTATCTCTTATCTCAATTTTTCCACTTCTTGGCCTTCTTCATCCAATTAAATGGATTCAAGGAATCAAAAAAACAAGAGAAGAAAGTAGACTGGATGCCATCTTTTTTTTCATTACTTCATTAATTTAAGTATTTGGACATATATCCTATTTTAACTCCTTCATTTAAATAACTTTAAGAACAAGATAGTGCCATAAAATTGGAAAAGAACCAAAAGAGTATGGCAGGAGTAAAAAGGGGTGAAGGTAGGGTAGGGTCTCACTTGTAAAGTTATTTGTATTCTATCATTTTGTTCTTCTGAAGTGCTCATTTATTAAATTTTGAAATCTACAATTCAACTTCTGTCTGAATTTTTATACTTATTTTCTGAACACAGGAACAAAAACACAAAAGAATAAAGTAATTTGAATAGCCTATAAGCAGAAAAATACAGAAATAATAAACTGGCACGTGCAAAAGGAAAAAAAATCATTTTCCCTCAACATCATTCACTCATTGTACATCATCTGAAACCCTGTCCATTTTTTTCTATTTTGTTAACCTCACATTAGAAAACTGAAATGAACAAAGTAATCAACCAAAGAAGGATATTTCATCTCCCCCTTTCTTTTAATAATAGCATTTTCACTTTAGAAAAAAACTACTTTCTTACATATTTTATTCTAAACATCTGAAAGGTAATATAAAACAAATGAAATTCTCAAGATAGTGATGACCCTGGCAAGGATTATATTTTAATGTTTGAATTAAAATGAACAAAATTACATCATTATAAGACCAAAGACTTCTTTGTTTTTACCTGTTCTTGGGTCCGATTCTTCCAGTACAACCACCTCTTTTTCCAGTCTGGACCTATCATGTTTTCAATTGCATTTTCAGCTAGAAAAGTTTTTAAATAGTTAATTTATCAAGAATTTTATCATTTGCCCAATACCTAAATTATAGCTAACAAATGGTCTTGTGTTATTCACATCCAAGTGCTATACCAATATAAAGTCAGTTGAAATTTAAAAAAAAATCCTATGACTGATTTGGCATTTTGTATAAGAAGGAATTTAATTATATGTTTTTGGAATCTTCTAGAAGCACAACTGCTTATAAAAACACTAAAATATTCTGAATTACAGCTTTTTTTAAAAAACTTGAGTATATATAGGCATCACATGTCCAACCTATTTAATCTTTTTAGTAGTAACAAAGTAGTTGACTAAAAACTATCACAAATAATGTTCAACTACAGTATAATAACAAAGATCTGGAAATGTTAATTATGCTTTTACAAATGTTCACTCAAATGGATGATCCCTTCAGCACTACAAATACTCAGAACTCTACAGCCCATGGCCCCGCTTACTATCCTGTAGACGAGCCTGCAGAGCTTCTTCCATAAAATAAATTGCTGCATCCCACTGCTGTTTATCAGATATGGAGCGGTCTTCTAAAGCATTGTGTTGAATAACTCTCTGAAATAACAAGAAAAAGGTAATTTGATTGTCTCATCAGTTTTGTAACTTTATTCAAATCAACAGCCTCCCAAATGAAGCAAGCTAACCATTACTGAGTGTGGGGCTAGGGAACTTTATGCATTTAACTGTATAAAATCCAATACCCCAAACTCTAATATTCAGGGCTTAATGTAACCACAAGACCATATGACTTGTGTACTAGCATTTTGAAAAAAAGGAGAAAAAATTAATAACCATTGTCACTGTTAATAGCAGTGAAAAAATAAGACACTTAAAAGGTCTAGATTATCGTACGTATTAATTATTTACTACAATGCAGAACTTTTTTCCAAATTTTATTATTTGAGTGAACAAATGAAAATGACATCATTCTCTCATTAAAGCATTTAAGAATAATATATGTTTTAAAACATGAAGACAAACATTCACTCAAAGGAAAATGTTAATTACAACAGCCCACAGTGAGATTCGCATTCTCCTAGAAAACTGCTCAATCCTGTTACTCAACAGTGTCTCTCTTCATATTCTGAACAAAGCAGGTGCTTAAGAAAGGTCTGATTATGATGGTGAGAATTTTTTATTTATTTATTTATTTTTGGACAGGCAGAGTTAGACAGTGAGAGAGAGAGAGAGAGAGACAGAGAGAAAGGTCTTCCTTCCATTGGTTCACCCCACAAATGGCCACTATGCCCGGCGCACTGAGCTGATCCGAAGCCAGGAGCCAGGTGCTTCCTCCTGGTCTCCCACGCGGGTACAGGGCCTAAGCACTTGGGCCATCCTCTACTGTACTCCCGGGCCACAGCAGAGAGCTGGACTGGAAGAGGAACAACTGGGATAGGACGGGCGCCCCAACCGGGACTAGAACCCGGATTGCCAGGGCCACAGGCAGAGGATTAGCCTACCAGCTGATGATGAGAACTTTTTACAGGACAAAAGATGTATCAGTTGGTGGGCAGTCAGAAACCAGGCTTTGTAGTCAGACAGGGCAAGGCAGGAATCCCAGTTGTCGATGACAATAACAGGATTGCTTATGAATTAGATCAAGTAATTTGAAACACTTAGCAGAGTTCCTGATACATAGTGAACATTCAAAACACGGTGGTTAGTGCTATCATTTTAGGAGACTAACATTTTTGCATCTAGTTCCTTTCATTACCACAGAAGGTAAAAATAGAAACAGCTATCTAAGGCCCATGAAATGGCTAATGGATGTCAATTTGAGAAGTCTGGCTTGGCTTTTCTTCCTGAAATAAAAGCCAAGAAAGCCTATAGCAGGGAGTGATTTTTAGAAAGGCAAAGAAACGTCAAAATACAGATTACAAGTCATAAATTTGTTTCATTACTTTATTACTTAAAATTCAGAAAGTAATTTACAGAGTTGTATCAAAATATTTTATGAAAAAGGTATCAATTTAAGAAATTACTTAAAAATATGAATCTGATATCTGATTATACAGACAACATACCAAGCTGTCCTCTGCAAAGTCATTCCACTTGTGGCGTTTAATACTTTCTTCTTTAACAGCTTCTTTAAGTTTATCAAATATGTCATCATGTTCTTTGCCTTTGGGTTCTGTCATAAAACGAGAAAATTCTTCTTGTAGGGTCTCCCAAGCAACCTAGAATTATTTAAAACAAAAAAGCTGTATTTATGCTACATATTATATTTCAATTACAAAGCATGAAAAATAACATATGAATTCAAGCTAAACAGATCAGTAAATCAGCTTATCAAAAAATATATATGAAACCACATCAATAAAGTGGCAGCAAGTATATACAATTGTCCAAAAGTCCTATTCTGGGAGCTGCTGGGACAGATTTGGTCTCTTGACATATTTTGTCAGACATGCACAGTGTTTTACATTAAAAAAAAATTGTTGCAACATTTAAAAACTGGGAGACTTCATATAAGAATCTGCACTGCTAGCTTCTTCTGAACTATCTGGGAATGGCACACCCTTATTCCTACATGGCGCTACCTGCTGGAGCTGAACAGGGGCTGCCTCCATTAGGGAAGGTATGCATTTGAAGTCTGCCACCAGATTCAGTTCATTTATTTATTTCAACGTGTAAGACAACTGAGTTTGCCTGCTGCTTCTACACTGTGAAAAGTTTAAAGGTCTCAGCAATTCAGTCATCTTCACATCTTTGCATTTAAGCAAAGATACGAAATAGTGAATTAATACTTTCATATGGCTATTGTTCTGCTTTGTATTATGGGTAACTTCTAAATTATCTGAACAATAAAACAGCACAGTGTCAAAAGTAATTCAGAACTAAACCTACTGAGGATTAAGTGGGTTTTAAATGTTGGATTTTATCTTTAGTCCTCCCCTACTTTAAATATAAAGAAATTTTCTCATTAAGAAAGGTGACTGTGCAAAAATACAGAAGGTGGCTGGAATTAACATCCAGGCTTCTTGACCCTCACCATATGCACACTACTTCCACCACACCTAAGGCTGACAGAAGAAAGCAGCAGGAGACTCATTTACTGCCATTTTTATGAGCACTTTCACTGCTTGAACTTTTGGATATGAAAGTATCCTATCATGGGACAGAGCTGAGAAAACTGCTACAGTCAGCAGTAAGGAGAGACACAGAAGCAGTGACAGTAGCTCTCTCATTACTTAGGGTAAATGTGTTGAGTTGCCCTGGGGTTCAGCAACACACAACTTAGGCAGACAGGCTGGGAGAATATTTAGAGGCTTAAAGAAATTGAGAGTACAGGTGAAGAAACTGGGACTGCGGTAGGACAGGAGAGGAAACCATACCTGAATAATTAGAAAATGGCATTTTGTTTCTAAGGTAAGTAAGAAAAAATTACTTTTAACATTGACTTAAATTTTTTTTGAGCAATTTCATACAGAAGCACAGGAGAATATCACTCTTCAAGAATAACGTGCAGCTCAGATGATGATCCTAACAACGGCAGTTGCAATTCCTGGGTGGTTACTATGGGCCAGGTAGTTTCTACACTTTGTACCAATCCTAGCTTATTGAATCCTAACAACCCTGTGAGTGGGCAACATTGCCATTCTTACTTTACAGGAATGAAACAGAAAGGCTTAAGCAACTAGCCCAAGGATCCCACAGCTATCAAGTCACAGTGAAGATACATAGGTAATAGGCAGGATCCTAAGAAAATAGTATTTAAGTATTACTGAGCCCTAAAGAAAATCAATAAGTGAAATGTTTGGACCATTAAATATTTCACTTAAGGAATCCCTGCCCACAGAAAAAAATCAAAATATTTCACATTCAAGCAAATTTTGCTGGTTTTGTTAAATGTTGTCTTTGAAAGAACCTCAGGACAATACCATACCAATTAATAAGTTTTTATAACAGTGGTAATTGGTTGCAACGTTAAGGTTAGTCCCAACACGCAGATGAGGAACAAAGATTAAATTGAGTATAAGAGCCAAAAAGAAAGAGTGGCTGTGATGAGAATAAAACTTGAAACTCACAGCTCCTATTCCCTTCAGATAATGCTTCTTACCCATTTAATTAAATTATATCCTAACCTCTACTGCTTTATTAGGAAGCTGTTTATCAGTCCACTGTTTAAGCTTGATATCCACTGTAGTATTAAAAGTTCCTGAATTCATGGTCTGTGCAGCTGGAAGATAGATGTTTTCAATCACATGAGTTGAAACTCTTTCCCACAAAGACTGCTGAAGGATTTCCTCCCTGAAATGAAACAAAAAGTTGCAAAAACACCAAAGCTAATATTAAGTTTTTAAAGAACAGCTTGGCTGAGGTATCATTAACTTAGACTGTACATTTTTAAAGTTTTGATAAGTTCTGAAATGTGTATATTATCTGTGACTCACAGCAATCAAAGTAACACAGATATCCATCATCCTCAAACCTGGGAACCGGCAGATCTTTCTGTCACCGAATAGTTTGTATTTTCAAGAATTTGATATAAATGCATCCACAGGGCATATATTTTTTTCTTTTTTGGCTTGTCTTCTTTCATTCAGCAAAATCACTTTGAAATTCATCATGCTGATTATATTAATATTTCACTTCTTTCTTATTGCTAAATAGTATTATTTCTGCACTCACCTGTTGATAGATACTTGAGCTGCTTCAAGATGTTGGTTATTACAAATCAAGTTATGAGCATTTATGTATAAGTCTTTGTATGGACACACACTTTCATTCCTCTTGGGTAAATAAGGGTAGAATAACTAGATGAATGGTGATTATATATTTAACTTTTTAAGATATTACCAAACTGTTTTCTACTATGGTTGTACTATTTTACATTTTCGTTAGCTAAAAGTGAGAGGATTAGATCTTCTATATCCTTGCCAACATTTGGTATGGTTAATCATCTTAATTTTAGTCATTCAAGTAGGCTTATGGTTGAATATTATTTTGGCTTGCATTGTTCTAACGGCTAATATTCCAAGCATCTTTTCATGTACTTACTTGCCTAGCATTTTTTTTTTTAGGTTTGTTTATTTGAGAGGCAGAGAGACAGACAGAGACAGACAGAGAAGTCTTCAATCCACTGGTTCACTCCTCAGATGGCCGCAATAGCCAACGCTAGGCCAATCTGAAGCCAGGAGCTTCTTCCGGTTTCCCACATGAGTACAGGGGCCCAAGAGCTTGGGTCATCTTCCACTGCTTTCACAGGCCATTAGCAGGGAGCTGGATCAGAAGTGGAGCAGCTAGGACTTGAACCGGTGACCATATGGGATGTTGGCTCCACAGGCAGAGGCTTAACCTACTTGCCAGTCCTCACTTGCTTAGTACTGATATACACTTTATATTTGCTTAGTCCAAAGTTGAAAATTTTTTGGTATAATTTATATAATTTATTAGATTGCAACACAAAGCATAAAACGTTGACAGGATACTACTAGATAAAATTTTTCAATGCTTCATCATTAAAACAATAATACAAGGACAGGCATCGTGGTGCAGCAGGTTAAACTGTTGGCTATAACTTCAGCATTCCATTTTGGAGCACCAGTTTGAGTCTGAGTTGCTCCACTTTGGATCCAGTTCCCAGCTAATGCATGTGGGACAGCAGTAGCGGATGGCCCAAGTACTTGAGCTTCTGCAACTTTTGTGGGAGACCTGGATGAAGTTCCAGGCTCATGGCTTCAGCCTTGCCCAGCCCTAGCTGTTGTGGCAGTTTGAGGAATGAACAATGCTGATGGAAGATCTCTCTCTTTTTGTCAATCTCTTTCAAATAAATCTTTATAAAAAAAGTAATAACGGAAAAGATGCATAATCAAGTTGAGAATCTATCATAACAAATATCTTACAACACAGATCACAAAACAGAAAAAGAACTATTCCCAATTAAAGAAAAAAGAAATCTTGAGAAAGTAGAAGAAGAGCCTAAGGTAACTTTCTCAAATGATGCTGCTGCGTTGCAACTCATCAGAGGTACTGTTGTCACCTCCTTATACCCAGCCTCTCCTGCCTGTTCATCCCCAACCTGCTGTGCTCTGACTTCCACTGCTCTTCTCCATCAGATCAACTTTTACAGTGCTCCCAAAATCTTGTTCAATGACAACTTTACATTCTGTCTTTCCCTATTCCTTATATCCATAGACCTTTCTTGGCTCTCCCCTAAGAACAGTGATGGTCCTCAAATTCCACTGAGTGAAAGCTACAAGGTAGTTGAGAATGCTTCAGAATTTGGAAGTAGAAGTTGTATCTTTTTTTTTTTTTTTTTTTTTTTTTTTTACTCCACAGTCTCTCCTCTGGATCACCAGATTCCACCTCTCATGTAAAAATCCCTACAACATGACCCCCTCATCTGGTTATGCCACCTGCTACCTTTACTTATTGCTATCATCTACCAATTACTCCAGCATATCCTATAGATTACAGACTTCTTCTCTATCCTACGTTTTGCCATCACCCAGGGATAACCTCCACAAATATATAATTAATATTAGTTTTACTACCTTCTTCCAAGGAATTATACCTACACTCCATTTTATTTAAAAAAGTTTTAAAAATGGAAATTAGCTTTTTTAAAAAATATTTATTTGAAAGGCAGAGTTACAGAGAGAGGAAGAGACAGAGACAGAGATCTTCTATCTGCTGTTTCACCCCTCAATGGCTATAATGGCTGAGACTGGACAGGGCAGAAGCCAGGAGCCTCCCATGCAGGAGGTAGGAGCCCAAGTACTTGGGCCATTTTCCGCTGCTTTTCCCAGGCACATTAGTGGGGAGCCGGATTGGAAGTGCAGCAGCCGGGACATGAATTCATGCCTATATGGATGCTGGCATTGTAGGTGGCACCTTTAGCTGCTACCCAATGTTGGCACCATAATCAATACTTTAATGAACTTTATAGTCAAAGGCTTAATCCTCCACTAAATAGAATTCAGCTAAGTGCTGAGGTTTTAGAAATTTTTATTTATTTATTTGAAGGGAAAAGAGAGTAGAAGCCAGGAGAAAGGGGTGAAGAAGAGGGAGATAGAGAGAGAGAGAGAGGCAGGTAGAGATCTCTCATCTGGTAGTTTACTCCCTAGTGCCCACCATAGCTGGAGCTGGGCCAGGCCAGAACCAGGAGCCTGGAACTCAATCGTAGTCTCCCAGGGTGGTAGGCTCTCAGCTACTTGGGGCATCACCCGCTGCTGCCCCGGTAAGTGCGTCAGCAGTAGGCTGGAATCAGGAACACAGCTGGGCCTCACACCCAAGCACTGACATGGGATATGGGGATCCCAAGGAGTATCTTAATTGTTGTGTCAAATGCCCATCTCAGCTGTTTCTTTTTTAAAGATTTATTTATTCATTTGAGAGGCAGAGTTACAGAGAGAGGGAGAGACAGAAAGAAAAGTCTTCCATCTGGTTCACTCCCCAAATGGCTGCAATGGCCAGAGCTGCAACGGCCCAAATGGCTGCAATGGCCAGAGCTGGGCCAATCCAAAGCCAGGAGCCAGGAGCTTCTTGCAGGTCTCCCAAGTCCGTGCAGAGACCCACACACTTGGGCTGTCTTCCACTGCTTTCCCAGGCCATAACCAGAGAGCTGGATCAGAGGAAGAGCAGCTGGGATATGAACTGGCGCCCTTATGGGATGCCAGCGCCACCAGTGGAGGCTTAGCCTACTATGTCACAGTGCCAACCCCCTCTGCTGCTTTTTAAACCTAAACATATATTGTATATAATTTTCCATGTCAACACCCTATATTTTTCAATGGGCTCATAGTAATTCAATCTAAGGATAAGCCAAATACTTTGTAATTATAAATAGTAAACATGTTTTTTCAATTTATAAACAAAATCACAGTGAGATACTTATGTGTTCACCTTTGTCAAAGGTACCTTCACTTTCATAAATAGCTAGTAATATGATTACTGAATATAAATGCACTCAATGTTTACTGGACCTTTCTTCATTACCTACACTTCCAATTATGAAATCTTGTTAATCATTTAAGGTAATCTCTCAAATATCACAAAAATTGTCTCGGGGCTGGCACTGTAGCATAGCAGGTAAAGTCGCCACCCTGTGATGCTGGCATCCCGTATGGGAACGAATTAATGTCCTGGCTGCTCCACTTCCTACCCAGCTCCCTGGCAATGGCCTGGGAAAAGCAGAAGATGGCTTAAGTAGTTGGGGCCCTGCCACCCATGTGAGAAGCCTGATTGAGGCTCCTGGATTTGGTCTGGCCTACCTTGTTGTGACCTTTTAGGGAGTGAACAAGCAGATGGAAACACTCAGTCTCTTTCTCTTTCCCTCTCTCTGTGTAATTCTTTCAAATAAACAGATGAGTCTTAAAAAAAAAAAAAAAAAAAAAGTCTGTCTTCTCCACCTGTACTACCAGTAACCAAGTTCATATCATTATCACCCCGGCCTAAATTACTGCAAAATTACTGCAACAGCCAACTGCCTCCTTGCTTACAGTCCTCTCCATCTGTATTCTGTTCTCTATATTACAGAAATATTTCCAAAATGCAAATACGACTTAAATCTCTTCAGTGGCCTCCACAGCTAAGTTTCTGATCATGGTTTACAAGTCTTAATAATTCTGCTTATTTCTATGGTAAGCCTCTCGCCTCTTTGTTTGATAAAGACACAGGACACAGCTCCCTATATCGCCTTTGTGCTTTCATGTCCTGGCCTTGGCATTATACCTGCCTCTGTCTTTACCAAACACTTATTCACCCTTTAAATCTCAGATTATAATACTAGAAATCTTTGAGTCCTCAAATCTGAGCTGGGAGAATCATTCATTCTTTTAAATCAAAATAATATTTCTTTTCATCAAAACTTGTATGCATATTATAATATCATTTTCCAAAAAGGAAATTTCTATGAAGCCAGCCAGCTATCCTGGAAAAGACGTATCTAAATTGACATTCACATGTTAATGATACAGTGCTATCTCCTGCTTAACATCAATAGTTGATTCTTCAATATCACATACGTTGTGTGAAAATGCTAAAAGCTTAGTTTCTACTATAAGGCATTACATGTAAAATCTAAACTTCAATAACTTTCTTAATACATAACTGAAGTATAAGAATATATATAAATAAATATTATGTTATGATGTAAACTGCTTATAAGACAGCTTCAAGATCACTGTGTACAGAACAAACAGTTCTGTGAGTTAAATAATTATAAACAACTTGGGCATGTATCCTAAAATATCATATAAGGCAGTATGCAGCAGAAAGATACCAAATAAAAACTCCTAAGAGAATACCAATTATGTCACAAAAATGAAATGTTTGTGTATGCTGCAGCTGAATTCAATGTGGTATGAACAGCTGAGGTTAGGACTTGGTATGATCTGTTTGTGTTAAGTTCCAGAGTCTAGGGGAATAAAGTTGATGGGAAGATGATAGAAAATCACATGAATTATCAGCCAGAAGTTCTAATACCACCTGAGCCTTGTACCTTCACAATTCCCTTCAGCCATCTGTGTATTAAATGCATAGGATTTATTTTCAAGTTCCACTTTAGTGTAGGTACACACTGATTTTAGAGGTTGCTCCAAACAAAATTCACCTTTCCTTTGATGATGCCAGAAATTAACTGACAGAAGGAGCACATTTTCCTCACCATCAAAGAGCATTAGCTGTTAGAGTTTACAAAGGATTTTTTTATGTAACACAACTGAGCAAGGCAACTAGTATTATATTCATTTTCATTCTCATTATATACCTATACCTATACGTTTACCTATACCTATACCTATGCGAACATATCTACAGCTTTCCTAGAAGCTCAATAAATGACTTACATATGGCCAGAGAACAGGCTTAAAATAGAATAACAAACATAGTAAGTGGTGTTGTAGATATTTAATTAACCAACCAATAAGGATAAAGTCAGAATCTCTTACTCTGAATAAGTATAGGAAGGAGACTACAAATAAGGAAACTCTGACTTTTAGAAGAGAGATCAGGGTTCACAACAAGTTTAGCACTAAGATGAGAAAACTAGTGATTCAGAATTCCAACTTAAGGACTATACCTTTCTATCTGATAACCTTTGTCTATGCCTAAGAAAATAAGAGAAGTACAGAAAATATCATGAGTGTCAGTAAGCACAGTTATGCTTCAAAAATGATAATGATATTTCTTAAAAGTATCACAGAATTCATTAGAAAATTTATGCACAAAAGTTTGTTAATTAAGACTGAAAAAACTTCAAAACTTGTGGTACATGTAGTCTATTTGGTTATGATACCTTTAATAAATTTAAGAATGTCTAAATTTACAACAACAAAAAAAAACCATAAATGAAAGGTGATAGTCTATTTCAAAAGAGATTTACATGAGATTTTTTTCCAAAAGGATGTATTTATTTGCTAGTCTAAAAATATCAACTTGGATTCAATTCAAAATGTGATTTATACACAATATATTCAGAAGACTTTACAGAAAGCACTAACCATTCTTACTCAGAAATGAGAACTTGAAAATATATGCTATTCTCCCTTTACAATCTTTAATCCAAAAACAGCAACCTATCCCAATAAATTGTTGATATTATTTATAAAACAATTTGATGAAACTTCCGCCTGACTTTATAAAAAACACATTCATGTATTTAAGATAAAGAAAAGACAAAGATGAGTTAATATTTAAAAAGAACACATAAAAATTATCTTCTAGAAACTCAGTTGGTTAGACTATAATAATGATTATTTTTGCAAAAAGACATACTTTTATGTTTTTGCCTAGTTACTATTCTGAGGGATGAGCAAGGGCAATAATAAATCACTGAGTTATTCATCTAAATTATAGTTTTTCACTTACTATGTATATAAGTAAAGTTTCTGAGAAAAGGAATTAATATCTAAGTTAACACTCACCAATGTTTTGGTGTAACTTGGCTCAGACTGATGACTTCATCGAGGATTTCATTTTTAGCTTTTTCAAATAGTTCATTCTAGGCAATATGGATACAAGAAAATAAGATTTTCATACAATAGTAAATTTTCCCTGTCATGATTTTTCAGATAATATCCAGATAAAAACAAAGAAGCTGACATAAATACCCACCTGATTTATGCAATTCTGAATATAATTTTTCACATTTGTTCATGCTACAATTTTCATATAATGTTTTGTGAAAGCATCAATACATACTTAAAGTATCAGTAGAAATACATTAATGTTGTGTTTTACAACTAATGGCATTTTTTAATTATGGAAAATCAACATTTATTTCCCTCTGAATTACAGCAAACTTCTCCAAGGTAAGTGCTGAAAATGTAAAAACTTAATGTATAATTAAAAAAAATTTAGATTACATAAATACATTAATTGTACAGCATCTTTAAAGACTGTGCTTCATATTCTCAGATAACATTTTAAGTACTTATTTTCAAAATTGTGATTCCTAATTATTTTAATGTTATATAATAATTTAAATGATTATAGAAGAGGTAACTACTCCTAGAAATGCATTTTCACAGCTCTAAACTAGTAGTTGTGATCAAAACCAATTCAATTTGGCTTACCAGAATTCTCTTCTAGAGTTAAATTTTGTGAGGACACAAACACTAAATGACAATATGTATATGTAAAATACATGAAGTACCCAAATATTACCCGGTCAAGTTCTCGCAGGCGAGGATAGTTATTCTTCCACTCAGTTTCAAGGTTAAACCGTGTAGCTGAAGAAGGAAAATGTTCAAGTTTGAAGATTTTCTTTCCAGATGTAGTGTAGTGGCTAAAGGCTATTCTGCATATGTTCTGTGGTAACTGAATTTCTGAGGGTTCACTGACTGCTCCTTAGAACTCTGGGCCTCAACATCTCAAAATCACATTATTTCAACAGCTTTGTTTACTATTCTCTTGGACCCTAGTTTCTCCATTTTCAATTCAAGAACACACAGCTGAAGCAGGTTAGTACACTGCTAAGAAAATGGACTCCACCAAGTTTCAAATTCTGGGTCAACTACCTATTGTTGTAGGACACTGGTAAGTTACTTGGGTAACTCTGTGCCTGTTTCTGTCTTGTATAAAATGAGAGTAAAAATAATACTTATAAGTTTGCTGAAATACCAAATGAGGTAAGTAAGTAGGATTTCCAAACAGGAAAAGGGAAGCAGAAAATCTCATCAGATGAAACTATGGAAGCCAAGACTTAGCAGCAAAGTGTGGGATTTAGTCAAGAGTATAATGTAGGTGAAGCATAGGGTGCTGCACTTCCCATCACCTCTGCACTCTTCTCCCTAAAAAGGGCCAATCCAATTCTCTACAGTTTACTAAGCTTTCTCCCAAACATGACTGCAAACTGTCCAGGGTGATAAACTGCCATGTGCTCCTAGCAAGGCTTCCTTTAAAAAGGAAATATTCCATTCTTTATAACTAAAGGTTTGCATTTTTCCATTTTCCACATGTTGCCTGGTAGTATTTTATAAATCAACTTTGTTGGGGGCAGGATGAAGGGGGAAAAGAGTCTAGCCCATTGGCCATATGAGGGCCATAAAATCATTTGGTTTGGCCCTGCTAAGGAGACTTGAAATTCAATAAACCCATAGTAGGCTAATTTTTAAGTTGCTAATTTTGAACGGCCTGCAAATGATGTTATAAATGTACAAATGGCCTTTGGCAGAAAAAAGGTTCCCTACCTCTGTGTAATGAATCTGATGGATGCTGATGAGTGTCAGCTAATAAAATGTCTGAATGTACTTGCATATTTTAAAAATTCAACTTACCTTTGAAACTATCAGCCTGCTGTTCAACTGATTCCCGTACCATTTTCCAAAAGCAGTCTGATACAGCAAGGCTTAAATTTCTTGTAGTTACTTGGTGTGCCTTTAGCATGCTCGTTCTACAAAAAATAAGAGGTGAAATATTTTAAAATGGCAAAAAGGACAATAATACTGTCACACCAAGTTTGAGAATGTACTTATTATAAAATAGCCACTTAGACTTTTTACATCAATGCCGTTCAAAAGCTTTCATAAAAAGAATGTTTAATTTCTGATCTGCCTACTTGTATTTTTTTTCCTTTTATTTTTTTAAGATTTATTTATTTATTTGACAGGTAGAGTTACAGAGAGTGAGAGAGAGAGAGAGAGAGAGAGGTCTTCCTTCTGTTGGTTCACCCCACAGATGGCTGCCACAGCCGGTACTGCGCAGATCTGAAGCCAGGAGCCAGGTGCTTCCTCCGGGTCTCCCATGCGGGTGTAGGGCCCAAGCACTTGGGCCATCCTCCACTGCACTCCCGGGCCACAGCAGAGAGCTGGACTGGAAGAGGAGCAACCGGGACTAGAACCCGGCAGCCATATGGGATGCCGGCGCTGCAGGCAGAGGATTAGCCAAGTGAGCCACAGTGCCGTGCCCCCTCCTTTTTTTTTAAACCATGCTTTGTAGGGTATACACCACTGGAGCTTCTGAAACTTTATTTTTTTAAATATGTATTTATTTATTTGACAGACAAAGTTACAGAGAGGCAGAGTCAGAGAGAGAGACAGTCTTCCATCCACTGGGGTTCACTACCCCAAATGGCCACAAGGGCCTGGAGCTGAGCCAATTAGAAGCCAGGAACTTGGAGCTTTTTCATCTCCCACATGGGTACAGGGGCCCAAGTATTTTGGCCATCTTCTACTGCATTCCCAGGTGCATAAGCAGGGAGCTGGATAGGAAGTGGAACAGCTGGGATTTCAAAGGGAGTTGAACTGGAGTCGATATGGGATGCCTGCACCTCAAGCAGTGGCTTTACCCACTACGTCACAGTGCTGGCCCTGTATTTTTTTTTTATAAGATTTATTTATTTATTTTATTTATTCAAAAGACAGAGTTACAGACAGAGAGAGAAAGAGAGATTAAGATCTGCCATCTGTTGGTTCACTCCCCAAATGGCCACAATGGCCAGGGCTGGGCCAAGCTGAAGCCAGGAGCCAGCAGGTTCTTCTAGATCTCCCACATGGGTGCAGGGGCCCAAGTACTTGGGCAATCTTTTGCTGCTTTTCCCAGGCCATTAGCAGAGAGCTGGACTGGAAGTGGAACAGCTAGCACTTGCTCATATGGGATGCTGGCTTCGCAGGAGGTGCTTAACCTGCTGTGCCACAACACTGGCCTCACACATGGTGTTATTGAACCCTTGAAATGTATTGCTAATGTGACTGAGGAATTGAATTTTTAATTAGAATATTCACTAATTTAAATTTTAATAACCACACTGGACTAGTTGCCATATTGAACAGCACATTCTATATGCTTGTCAGTTCATTCCCAATGGTCAATACTCAAGTCTATGTTTCCAAAAGCTATTTTCATTTACTATACTCACCCAGAGGCAGACATACTTTTCTATTTTCAGAAACTCTACATACAAAGTTTTAGTATAATTTAACTGCCATTTATTTAGCTCTTCCTTTTCGCTTTCTAGTCATCTGATTTTTTTGTCAAGTTTGTCAATGTCTATTCTAAGATACCCTGTTGGCACCAACACTCCAACTTTCCCTAATATTATAAGAGAAACACACACACAAACTTAAAAAATGTCCATTTAAAAAATATTACTTTATAAGCAAAATGGCATACAATGTGTCCATGTTAACTTTCAGTGCCATATCCCAAGGGGAAGTTTACTATGCCAGCATCTATTACACCATATGATCCACTACTTCTAATTCTGTCAAGAGTTGCTTATCAGATGCAGAGAATTATTTGGCAAAACTTTTGATGTTAAAGTAACAGCTATAAAACATGAACTTTTAATGGAAACACAAATAGTGCAATTTAAGCAATACTGTAAAATCTTTAACAAGACACTTACTTTAGGAGTTTTGAATTCTGAAAAAATTCTTCTTCATATTCTCGTATAGCTTCAATGCTTTCAGAGCTGTTTCCTAGGGAAAAATGGCAGCCAAATTTTTACCAAGAAGATTCATCTTTACTATCTGACAATAACAAAGGATAAAAATAAATCACAGTTATCCACTGCATACCTTTTCCCGTTACAACAGCAAAATAACCTAGAGCTTTCATTGGGAAGAGTTTTCCTTCAATTATTTGCTGAATCTATTTTAAAAAATGAGAAAAATAAATATGAGTTGTAGCTTACATAATATTAAAAAGTATATTTATTGTTAAATAAAAAATCTATAAAGTATTTAAAAAGTACTTCCATTGTTATCGGAGGGAAAAACACAAGTGTAAATACATTTAATTTTACTGTACTAAAAATGCATTACCAGAACGTATATACCAGGATGGGCATTTAGGCTAGTGGTGGAGTTGCCAGTTAAAATATACACACTATATATCAGAGTACCTGGAATCAATATCTACCTTGGGTGGCAGCAGAGGTGGCTCAAGTAATCGGGTCCCTGCCACCCATGTGGGATACTTGGATTGAGTTTCCAGCTCTCAGCTGCAGCCCAGCCCAGCTCAGCCCAGCCCTGCCATTGTAGGCAAGTTTTTGCTGGAGGGAGTAAGTGTGCTCTTTGTGACTCTATTGGGAGAGGACTCTTGAAAATCTGAACCTGATTTCCTCCAGACTTCATTCCAAGCACCTTTTCCTTTTTGTGATTTTTGCCTTTCATGTTGTTAATAAATTATGGTTCTAAGTGTGGCTACATCCTAAATCTTATAGTTCTTCTAGAGAATCACTGACTCAAGGACTGGTCTTTCAAAGGCATAGTTCCAGAAAAATTCAAGGTGAGAAGGAGAGAAATTCTGAGAGAATATCCAAGTTTTTATTCTATGGGGAGCAATGATATATGTAACAGATGACAAGCATCACATATATGAATGCTTTCGTGCCAAATATTATTCCAACTACTATATATTTAACTGATTAAATATTCATAAGCTATGATAGTAAATTTGTTTCACTAATATCTTCATTTCCATTAGCTGAGGAAGTATAAAGGACAGAAAAGTTACAGGACACACCCAAAGTTACATAGCTAGCAAGTGGTAGTGTCAGGATTCAAAACTTAAGCAATCTGGTTACAGATTCTGTGCTGTAAATTCTCACTTTATGTACTTAAGTAGAGGGCATGTCTTAAGTTAAGAATTTCACCCTAATTAAGACTTGGTCACAATGTTACCTTGAAATAAAAGAAGAGAAGAAAAATTATTAGAGATTTCTGTGAAATAATTCTAAAAATAAATTTTCCAAAGGTAAGGGACACTGAACAGTATGTATAGAATTCACACCATTTCAGAAATGAAAATGACCTCAGATCTAGTCTAATTAAGCAGACTAATGCATGGGATTCTGCACTGATTGGATTTAGAAGCCATGGAGCTGGTTAATGGCAGCACATGGATTAAGAATACTGTGGTCTGACTCTCAACCCCGTGCTTTTTCTATAAAAATCTGATGCAGTCCTTGATGCGTTAGGGAAGGTATGGGCATCAACTTAAAAAAAGAAATGAGAAATGAAGTTAATGACTATATGTCAGCATATAAAAAGACCTGAATTAGGGTAAACATTAGCAGTAAATATTTCTGAGGCAAATTAACTATAATTTTGTTTACATCACCCCAATTCCACTTAAGTAACTTATAATTTTCTAATACTTTATTTTTAATGGGAACCAAAAAAAAAATCTCATTATTACTCTCTGATAGAGTATTTCACAATGTGTTTTGTTGTAGTTGTTTTTTAAATAACCAACCCCTGTCACAGCCAGAGCTTGTACAAAGACTCCGTTTTCACAATAAAGAATCTGTCCTTACCCTGCTTGGACTAGTCACATTTTTCTCTGCCAGGTCTACTTTGGTCAAAACAAATATAGTTCTTCTTCCATGAGGATCCATTTGACTAACCAGGTCTGTAACAATACTACGTTCAGCATCCACAGATCCATCTGGGAAAAAAATTGAAAAATGAGACTGTAATAATTGCAAAGTGGATTTTAAAGCTTAGCACAAACTACACTCTTGTGTTTACATTATAGCAAGAAAAATTATCTTAATACATTTACCTTATTTATGAAAAGAAACTCTAGGCAATAAAAATTCACTGCCTACAGTGATATTTATCAAAATACTCCTAACTTCACTTCTATTTACTAATAAAATGAACAAGAGAAAGCAAAAATGTATTTATCTTGAGTCATTTTATAAGGCAATTATTTACAGCAAAGCTTAGACTGGTAGAGAAGGAATCAATGTAGTGTAATAAAAATCATTTGACATGATTTACCTTGAATACAGAGTATGATGGCATTAGGATTCTGCATATAAGCTTTGCTGATACTGAAAATAGTTTCCTTTGTGTCAGGAGCCATGCCTGATGTAACAGTCTTGAAGAAAGATTACAAATGTCATTAAAAATGTTTTATACAATAGGGATAAAATAAAATACATGTTTGTTTTTTAAATATACTTACACTAATTACACCTGGTAAGTCAACAAGCACCATCCTCTGTAGTCCAGGGCCTTTTACATTTAAGGAGATAGTCTAATTCAGGAGGGGAAAAAAGTATTAATTTTGATGAGTGGAGGAGCATATTAAGAATTATTTGGTGTTACATATTCTGAAAATCTGCATCTCATCCATTCAGGTATGATACTCAGAAAAAATTTATTCTTTTTCTAATCCTAAATGTCTATAAAATTATCCACAAAAGAATAACATTACTTAAAATACTGTAAAAGAATCTGTGTATCTTGGAACAGATGTAATCAAAACATCAATACTAATACTGTGATTTATTTGAAGCCATAAACATTGAATTTTCAAAAAACACTATTGAGGCCGGCGCCGCGGCTCACTAGGCTAATCCTCCGCTTTGCGGCGCCGGCACACAGGGTTCTAGTCCCGGTTGGGGAGCCGGATTCTGTCCTGGTTGCCCCTCTTCCAAGCCAGCACTCTGTTGTGGCCAGGGAGTGCAGTGGAGGATGGCCCAAGTGCTTGGGCCCTGCACCCCATGGGAGACCAGGATAAGTACCTGGCTCCTGCCATCGGATCAGCATATTGCGCCGGCCGCAGTGCGCTGGCTGCGGCGGCCATTGGAGGGTGAACCAACGGCAAAGGAAGACCTTTCTCTGTCTCTCTCACTGTCCACTCTGCCTGTCAAAAAAAAAAAAAAAAAAAAAAAAAAAACTATTGAAATGAATTGCAATAATTACCTCAGGGCTAACAGTACAACCTTCTTTCACATTTTTCCTCATTCGGAGTTCTATTTCATGTCTTAATGCTGCAAGCTATTAATGGGAAAATAACAAAATCTTAGTTCACAAAAAGTCCAATTAATTTACTTATGGTGATAAGGGTTACAAAGCGACATACAAGAACTTTAGAAGACTGTTACTTACATCTTCTTCTTTGGTAAGATCAAACTCCCTAGAACTGTCTTTAAACAAGGCCACATGATGAGGACCTTCACTCAGAGTTACCTGAAATAAACAGAAAACTGAGACATAGTGGTGCATTTGCAGTTAGGATTAGTTTCCCCCAGCACTGATACAGCCAGAAAAAGCCACAGCACTACACAAATTCAGGAGTCCCTTCACACTACACTCAGGAGCAGCCCTGGAGCTGCAACAGGGCCATTCTGAGGACATAATAATTTTGTTACCTGTGTTGTTCATGCATATGTCACATGTGTTGGGATTTCTCCAAAAGACTGCTGGTCACTCTATCTTTTCTGACTTAAAGTGCTGTTGCCCTTTCTTTTCCCCCAGTCAACATTATATAGAACAATAAGCATAAAATCATCATCCTGAAACCTGAGGAACTTCAAGAGAAACTTGTGCTTAACTTCAGGGAAAATTCAGGTAAAGGACAATTTTTTCCATATGTATGACCTATGTGTCAGGTGTTGTACATGGGGAGACAAAGATGACAGTCCCTGTTTAGAGTTCAGACAAGGTAACAGTGTAGCAACAAGGGTGCTGCAGAAGAGAATGGTGCTGACTACAAGGGAGCCAAGGTAGGCTTCACCCAAGGAGGAGTGCCATAACATTTTATAACATAATTAACAGTCAGTGGTTTCATAAGACCTTTTAAACTTCACATTTTTTAACTTTTCAAGATTGCCTATAATTATACAGTAAAATATTAGCTAAACAGAACAGGAAAAAAAAATGAAAAATAGTTGTTTGAAAGCCACCATAGCAGACTGGTCTCAAGGTCCAGAATACCAAAGGATTTGGGAGGTGGGGGATTTTCCTGCAGCTACATTTTATCACTTGCTGATTTGTGGCGCAGGGCAGAGGCCAAAGAGGAAAGCTTAAGCTCTGCAGAGGTTCCATTGGGTTAAACAGACAAAATCAAAATTCTGGATTATCAAGCAGCCATGACTTAAAACTGACTAGATTCTAGCAAAAAATGGACTGTAAAAATGAACCTACAAAAAGTAAGTCCTGCCCACATCCTGTGTACAACCTCCTTCGAGGCACTTGCATATTAAGAAACCAAGTTGCCAAAAAAGTATAAAATACTAAGTCAAGATTTTGGCAATTTCACTGTTCCGGGCAAACAAACATTTGGAGTCTAGGGTCTGTCAAAGAAAAGCCCTAGTAAACACACCTGATGGTTCATTTTGAGTTTTGGCTTGATCAGATTAAAGAACGCATAGGAATTGGTAAAGCATTATTCTGGGTGTGTTTGTGAAGCTGTTTCCAGAGAAGACTAGCAGTTGGGTCAGTGAACTCAGAAGGGGGAGACCTGCCTTGAATATGAGGAGGTACCAGGGGATAGATCAAGGGCCTAGATAGAATAGAAAAAGCACAGGGGGTAAACTCAGGGTCTATTGTTCTACCTCTTCCTTCCCAAGTAGATGGGTTTTCTGCTGCTGCTGCTGCTGCTGCTGCAGCTTTTAAACATCAAACTCTGAGTTCTGTGTCTTCTGGGCTGTGGGACTCATACCAGTGGCCCTCAGCAGTGTGGGGGAGTGTGAGGCCATCACCCTCAGATGCCTCAAGCTGCATCATTGGTCTCTCTCATTCTGAGATTTCTGGTTTCTCGTACTAAACTGCTACTAGCCTCTCTGGCTTTTCACTTTGTAGACAGCCACTGTGGAACTTTTCAGCTTCTGTGATCATTTAAGGCAACCTATTAAAGCCCATATATACATATATAGTCTACTGGTTCTATTTCTGGAGAACCCTGGCTAATACAATACTTTAGAGCTAATGGCAACCTGGAGAAAGACCAGCCCTGATTCAAGCAAACCTGTTCATACTCTATCTGCCCACCAGAACAAAGTTAATTCCTTAGTCTATAGGAAATAACCACTACAGCCACTTTAATTCAGGTGCTAGTAACATTGAGAAAGGTAGGTGGCCAATGTCTATACAATTGATTAGTGAGCATGTTACGGGGTCTAAGGTAGAATTTCTCAACTTCACCTGAATAGTAAAATGGATATGACGTCTGGTACATTAACAATGCCATCAAGCTACGAAAAAGGAACTAGTATCATACAACATGATCTAATACATAGCCATATCCCAAAAAGTAGACTCTGGATGAAGCACACCAGCTGCAGTTACATACAGACTTATTTCTTGAAGATTTTAGCATCAACCTTACTGTTTCAATTCTACCATGATTCTGACCGTAATTCTTAATGATTTCAATTTTTCAATTCTCCAATTACCCTTTATATGTCTCTACTTGTTGAACATGAAAGAAAGAAAAAAATACAGATTCACTTTAAACTTATGTCCATAGAATTTACTAGGGACTTCAGTTCAACCCAGCAACCCTAATATTCTTTGACTTCCTTCTTTAGGATTCATTCTGAGTAGTATCACTAAAATCTCTTAGAAAAAGACTTCATTACTTCTGCCTCAGTATTCAATCCCCTCTCCTCTCTTTGTTTAATGGCTGGTAATATCACTTCTTATTACAATAAGGAAGTAGAAGGAAGCTTCCACACAGTCTACATACTTGCCTCCATGGGTAAATTCAATGAGGATTCTCAGTCTTCATCATCATGGACCTATCAGCAGCATTTGACCTCACGGATGACTCCCTCCTCGATACTTTCCTTACCTGACTTGTATACTGCACTACTCTGCTTTCCTCCACCTGCACTGGCTTCAGTTTTATATACTCCTTTGTTGTTTCCTCTTCCTCAACCACTTCAGGCTCAGGGTGAAATTTTTGGTCTTGTGTCTTTTCTATCTCTGCTCATTCCCTTGGAGATTGTAACTAGTAAGATCATGGCTTTAAATACTACCTTAAAATAACAGATTATGACTTCTAAAATTTATATCACTAGCACAATCCTCTCTCCAAGGTTGTATCCCAACCACTCATTTGCTAGTGCTTCACAGCTAGTCCAACACTGAACTTTTCATCTTCTCCAAACCTGGTCTACTCACTGGCTTCCCTTGCAAACCACATCTTTCAATATGTTCAGGCCTTGAAGACTGACACACACTAACTTTGTCAAGAAATCATTTTGATTCTGTTCTCAAAATAGATTCATATCAAACCATTTCTTACCAACTTCACTGCTTTAAGCATCATTCAGATACTTTAATTTTCTTCTAACTGGTCTCCCTGGTACTACCTATCTTGTCAACACCTATTTGCAACACAGCACCAGAACCTTACTTTTTACCTATTTATTTTTTAAAAAGATTTATTTAGTTAGTTGAAATGCAAAGTTACAAAGAGAGAGAGAGAGAGACAGAAACAGAGACAGAGAGAGAGGGACACTACCCAACAGCCGGAGCCAGGAGTCAGGAACCTCCTTTGGGTCTCCCACATGGTACAGGGGCCCAAGCACTTGGGCCATCTCTCATTGCTTTCCAAGGTGCATTAACAGGGAGATGGATTGGAAATGGAGCAGCTGGGACTTGAGCCAGTGCCCATATGGGATGCTTGTGCCAGAGGTGGCAGCTCTACCTGCTACCCTACAGCACTGGACCCAGCCAGAACCTTTTAGAAATTGATGTTACTCTGCTCAAAATTCTGCACTGGCTCCCCATTTTACTAAAAATAAAAAACCAAAATCAATACAATTGCCTACAAGGCTCTAATGATCTGCTGCTTCTCTCTGCTCTTTATCATCCCTCTGATCTTATCACCTACTAGCGTCCTCTCTGGTTTAGCCATTCTGCCTATTTTTTGTTCCTTAAAAACGGAAAGTACCTAATCCTTCCAGGGGCTTTGCATTAGTTATTCTTTGCTTGAAACATTCTTGCACTATATAGCAACATGACTATCTCCTTTGCTTTCTAAATCTGGGTTCAAATGCCATCTTATCAATGTATCCTACCAACATCCTAGCATTCCCATTCCGCTTGCTTGGTTCTACCTTTTCTTTTTTTTGTACAACAATATGACCTTTTAACATACTATACAGGCCGGCGCCGTGGCTCACTAGGCTAATCCTCTGCCTTGCGGCGCCAGCACACCGGGTTCTAGTCCCGGTCGGGGAGCCGGATTCTGTCCCGGTTGCCCCTCTTCCAGGCCAGCTCTTTGCTGTGGCCAGGGAGTGCAGTGGAGGATGGCCCAAGTGCTTGGGCTCTGCACCCCATGGGAGACCAGGAGAAGCACCTGGCTCCTGCCATCGGATCAGCGCGGTGCACTGGCTGCAGCGTGCCGGCCGCGGCGGCCACTGGAGGGTGAACCAACGGCAAAAGGAAGACCTTTCTCTCTGTCTCTCTCTCTCTCTCACTGTCCACTCTGCCTGTCAAAAAAAAAAAAATTTTTAAAAAAACCATACTATATAGTCTAGTTATTTATTAAGTTTATTTATCACCTGTCTCCCTCGAAAAGAATGTATACTGCATTCATTATGACAAGGAACTTTTCTTGGTTTATCAGCACACTGCCTCTAAGAGTGCTTTTTTTGTTTTTTATTTATTTTTTATTTAGTAAATATAAATTTTCAAAGTACAGTTAATGGATTACAATGGCTCCCCCCCATAATTTCCCTCCCACTCACACCCCTCCCATCTCCCGCTCCCTCTCCCATTCCATTCACATCAAGATTCATTTTCAATTCTCTTTATATACAGAAGATCAATTCAGTATATATTAAGTAAAGATTTCATCAGTTTGCACCCACACAGAAACACAAAGTGTAAAATACTGTTTCAGTACTAGTTATAGCATTACTTCACATTGGACAACACACTAAGGACAGATCCCACATGAGAAGTAAGTGCACAGTGACTCCTATTGTTGACTTAACAATTTGATACTCTTGTTTAAGGCGTCAGTAATCTCCCTAGGCTCTAGTCATGAGCTGCCAAGGCTATGGAAGCCTTTTGAGTTCGCCGTCTTCGATCTTATTCTGACAGGGTCATAGTCAAAGTGGAAGTTCTCTCCTCCCTTCAGAGAAAGGTACCTCCTTCTTTGATGGTCCCGTTCTTTCCACTGGGATCTCACTCGCAGAGATCTTCCATTTAGGTTTTCCTTTTTTTTTTTTCCAGGGTGTCTTGGCTTTCCATGCCTAAAATACTCTCATGGGCTCTTCAGCCATATCCGAATGCCTTAAGGGCTGATTCTGAGGCCAGAGTGCTGTTTAGGACATCTGCCATTCTATGAGTCTACTGTGTATCCCGCTTCCCATGTTGGATCGTTCTCTCCCTTTTTGATTCTATCAGTTAGTATTAGCAGACACTAGACTTGTTTGTGTGATCTCTTTGACTCTTAGACCTATCAGTGTGATCAATTGTGAACTGAAATTGATCACTTGGACTAGTGAGATGGCATTGGTACATGCCACCTGAGTCAACGAACTCCAACATTATTTAGACAAGGCTATAATCAAAGTGGAAGTTCTCTCCTCCCTTCAGAGAAAGGTACCTCCTTCTTTAATGGCCCCTTCTTTAACCTGCTACCCCACAGCACCAGCTCCTCAGAGTGTTGACACATACCATGTGCCCAATAAATATCTGTCTAACACCATGCGCATATTTTCTTCCTGTGACCATGGATGAACTGTGTTTTTATGAACAACCAATACAAAGACTAAGAGCCTCCTTCACCTCAGCAACTTTGCTCTTGCACTGTTCCCTCTCTCTTGCACCAGCTTTTTCCTTTACTATGACATCAGCAGCAGCATTTATCTTTTAAAATGTTGCCTTAATACAAAATCTTTCAACTACTACTACTTCAGTCTTCTGCTCTATTTTACAATAAAACTAGAAAATTATCTATATGCTCTGATTCTACTTCCAGTATTCTCATTCTCGTTCTCAGGCCCTCAACTACCTTGCTCAAAATAAAATCCAAAGGCCTTATCACAGTTCAGTACAACCTGTTTCCTACTGTGCCCAACATTTTTTCTACTATTCTCACCTACTCACTCAACTCCTGCAACTCTGGACTCACGGCTACACCTCCTACTAATTTCTATACAAGAATAATTCTAAATGTTGTAAAAACATTTTTATTTAGTCAACAGTCTCCACTTCAACAAAATGAACAGACCTCCCTGAAGCAGTTATTTTGAGGAACTTTTTCATTTTCCTACCTTGACTGGAGAACGTGTCATCATCTCCCCAGATCCTCTTGGGAAAATTCGTGCTTGAGCAATCATTTCCAACACACTAGTTTTCCCAGCACTCTGATCTCCAACCACAACAACCTTACCAGAAAACAAATAACATTTATTCATATTCTTCTGATACCAAATTAAATTTAAATAGATTCGGAATGCTGCTGAGAGTCTTTTTTAAGAACATAATGATACTTCTCACCGTACCCTCTTTCCCTCCCTTGCTTCTATCCCCCCCTTCCTTTCTTACTTTTCTGTTAATTTTGCAATGATATACTTTCAATTTATTTTATAATCACAAGCTTAACCCTTTACTAAATAAAGAATTCAACAAGTAGTTAAGTAGGAAAATCACTTTTCTTCAGGAGTATAGACAAAGGCTTTAAACAATACACAAATCTCAAAATGTCAATTTCACTCATATATATTACATTTTAAAAAATATTCTATATGTAAGTCGCCACAAATCAGGACAAACATGACATGTCTTTTTGGGACTGGCTTATTTCACTATGTGTAAGGGTCTCCAATTGCATCCATTTTATTGCAAAAATGTTTTAAAAATCCACAGAAAATGATGGTTGACACATGTATACATACTGAAGATACAAACAGCAAAATATTAATTGTATGCACTATCTATAGCCAAATTCAAAAATTTGTGCTAATCAAAACCACTATTTCTAAAACCAGATTACTAACTTTACAGAAAGCTTTTCATAGCTAGTTTAGACTTTATAAAAACATTTTTAATGCTATTGGGTTAAATTTCACACATATGCCTAATTTAATCCTCTATTAAAACATTTTAACATTATAAATATTATGAATATATAATGTTAATTATCTGATAGTTTTCCTTCGTAAGACATAACTAAAACAAAAATATACTTTATTTATATGGACCACAATAAAAAGCCAAATAATATTCAGTGCTTCAGACAACACCTGGAACACACAAATAAGATTATGTCGATTAAAAATTCTACGTCTATGTGCGTATGTCTGTGTATATATAAGTATTAACACAAATATAAATACAAATATATGAAAACATCTGTATGTGTGTGTGGTTTTTGAGATGCTACAGTGCTTTATTGCTAATGGGCAAGTTCACTGTTACTTTTTGCACTTACCCGTGGCAGATGATCTTGTGTATTATAACTGGCATCATAATCAGAGAGAACATCAAGAACTTCAGAATACATGTCAATCAAAGATTTCTGTAAACATTTAAAATATTAATAATATAAAGCTAAAATGGTATAGGTTAGAGTTCCATTTTTTATTTAGTGATTTTATTCAGAGATATACTAATTAATACAATTCATTAATTTCTTAACCTTCTAATTAAATGGTTAATGAGGGAAGTCATTATTTAATAATAAATGTCATTATTTAATACTAAATGCCAACATTGGGAGACTGCTAACACCCAAAAAATCATATAAAGAGTCAACTGAGAAGGAAATTATTCTACACTAAATTTGCTGTGTGTGTGTGTGTGTGTGCATGCATGTGTGCACATGACAGTCAGAGGAAAAAGGACAGAGAGGATAAATGATCATGAGGAAGACTGCTAAACCAGAAAGAGTGGTTAACTGTCCTCTGACCAATGGGCAGGGCTGAAATTTGAAAGCTTCAGGGCAGATTCTATATCGCTTCTTTCTGTAGAACCAGGATTGAATATGGTGCCTTACACAGACCAATCTTCAAGTAAGTATCTGATGAATGAGTGAATAAATGAGGACATAAATGGGCCAGGAAAAAAATGGTAACCATTAAGCATTTACTAATTCAAGATGAGGGTTTTTTTGTATATTTTTTTTGTTTTTTATTTTATTTTATTTATGTGAAAAGAGAAAAGGCGGAGACACAGAGAGAGATCTTCCATCTGCTGGTTCATTCTCCAAACAGTCACAACAGCTAATGCTGGGGCCAGGCCAAAACCAGGAGCCTGCAGTTCCATTCAGTTCTCCAATGGGGGTGGCTGTGATCCAAGTACTTGGGCCATCTTCTGCTGCCTTCCCAGGGAACTAGCAGGATGGGAAGCAGAGCATCGGGGCTCAAATGGGAACTCTTACACAGGATGCTGATGTTGTAGGTAGCAGCTTAACCCACTGCACCACAATGCCTGACCTCAAGATAAAGTCTAATGGTAAGGTAGAAAAAAATGAAGGCTCAAGATTCCTTTCATCTCTTAACATCTGGAAATAATTAAATGGCAAGCAGCTATCACCCCCATGAACATTAAATGAACAAAAATTATCATTACTACTGCATTTTATAAAAGAAAATATCATTTCTGAGGTAAATTATTGACATATTTAGTCCATGATTTACTGCATCAAGATTCTGCCACACTGCAATAAATCATGTTTACTTATTTTGCAATTTAAATTAATCTAATAAACTAAATAAATTTTATTTAAATTTAGCATAAATGTCTTGGTTTGACAAGAAAGACAATTTAATTTATTGATAATGGTAATTGTGGGGAGCAATTCAGACTGGACTAAGTTACTGGAATTAAGACTTATTCTATGCATCTGCTCTCCCACAATATGGCGCTGGGAGAGAAGAAAACAGCTTCTACACAGCTGCCTCCAGTTCAACCAATAAACTGTAAGACTTGCTCCTGATTGGAGGAGAGCAGCGTACTCGGCGTGTGGGCAGCCGAGTTGGGATTGGCGGAGGAGGACTATAAAGGAGGAGAGAGACAGCATGTACGAGGAACATCTAAGGGGAACATCTAAGGGGAACACCTGTGCAGCCCCCGAGAGAGCCGGCCGGCGGTGTGCCGCTCCCCCGCGGAAGTGGGGAATGTGGCAGGGGGAACCGCCCTTCCACGGAGGTGGAAGGGATGGTAGCCAACCCGGGAAGAACCAGCAGCAAACCCGGGGAGGGCCGAGCAGACAAAAGAACAGCGCAGGGTCTTGTGTTGCTCCTCCACGAAGAGGGGGAGCGACATATTGGTGCCGTGACTCGGATATGAAGCCTAGGCAGGGTTTAGTGTCGTTCCTCCACGAAGAGGGGGAGCGACAGTAATTACCAATGTGATGATGATAACAGTACTAGCATATTTTTTTCATAAGTTATTTTAAATACTTAAGAAACCTCTCATTAAAAGAAAAACGCTGGGGATGGCGCTGCGGCATAGTGGGTAAAGCCACCACCTGCAGTGCCAGGATCCCATACGGGTGCCATACGGGTCCCATCTAGCTTTGTGCTATGGCCTGGAAAAGCAGCAGAAGATGGCCCAAATGATTGGGTCCCTGTGCCCATGTGGGAGACACAGAAGAAGCTCCTAGCTCCTGGCTTTGGATCGGCCCAGCTCTGGCCATTGCAGCCATTTAGGGAGTGAACCAGCGGATGGAAAATCTCTCTCTCTGCCTCTGCCTCTCCGCAACTCTGCCTTTCAAATAATAAAGAAATAAATCTTAGAAAAGAAAAAAGGAGAGGAGAGGAGAAGAGAGGAGAGGGGAGGGGAGGGGAGGGGAGGGGAGGGGAAAGAAAAATGTTGGGATCAGCATTGTGGTACAGTAGGTTAGGCCACCCTCTTCAATGCCAGCATCCCCTAAGAGCACCAGTTTTGAGTCTGGCTGCTCCACTTCCGATCCAACTCTCTGCTAATGCACTGGGAAAGCAGGTGGAAGATGGTCCGAGTAACCTGGGTCACCACCATCCACATGGGAGACCAGGATGGAGTTCCTGGCTCCTGGCTTCAGATTGTCCCAGCCTTGACTACTATGGCCATTTAGGGAGTGAACCAGCAGAAAAATTAAAATTGAAGTAGTCTTAAAATTGAAGTAGTCAAATCATTCCCTGGAAATACAAGTAAGGCAATGATGATAAGTCATATTTAAATGTCCACCAATGAATAATTATGGTTTTATAGATTTACAAATTATGCCTAAGGATAAACAAGGTTATTTCAGAAGAATATACTTCTCCAAAAAGAAATGATTCCTAAAAGTATGAACATTTTATAAGCACAGTATAAAATGTCTTTTGAGACTACAATTTCTGAAATATGGACATTAGGTTAGAAAAAGTATAAGAATTCATTTCCTTACAAACAAGTATTAAGGGATCCATAGTGCTCAGAGGGAAAGTTCTGAGAAGTAACAAATTAAGATGGTCTTAAAATACCTTAAGTTTCCTATGATGGATTCCTTTGTCATCTTTCTGCAACACTAATTTTCTCAATTCTTTGTTCTCCTTTTCCAAACGTTCCAAGATTCTCTGATACTTTAACTGCAACAAAGTAATATACATAAACTACTATGTGTTTCAAAGAACATTACATTTAAATTAGAATTTCCCAAATCCTGATTATTTAAAATGAATTATCACATTTAGAAATGTTGAGAGAGTAAAATAACTATGAATATCATCTTAATTACATTCATCATAATTTTCTATTACAATTTAACATTTAGAAAATTCTTTGCAGCTTACGTTGGAGAAAATAGATTTAAAATACTACAAATATAAGAATTCAAAATTCTTAATTACACTCTAAAGAGGATTATTTCCTATAAGACCAAGGTGTTAAGTCTTCATTAAGAGCCATTTGAAAAATTCCAATTCTTCCCATTTTCCACATTATTTTATCATAATTAAGATGCTATAACAAGAACAGCTAGAAGAATCAGAGCGTGCATTACTTGACAGGCTCTGTACTAAGTGTTTTACATGCATTAGCTTCCTTCACTCTCACATATACCCCATGAGGCAGAGGTATAAAGGTTTGGATTTTAAGGTTAGGGAAGTCTGGCAGCCTGTCCAAGGTTATCCAGCTTGTAGGTAGGAAAGGAAGATTTTGAATACAGGTCTGTTCGAGTTAGTAACTGAAGTCTTTCTAAGTTTTATTAAGTTTACATGTCCAGAGATAACATATTAATACTCAAAATGTCAACATAAAAATAATTCCAAAGAATAGTAATATATTTATACAGGTTATTTTGCTAATGTAGTCATTTGGCCACACATTTTTCTTCTCAAACAAATTTGATCCTTTCTAATTGGTCTTCAAATTTTTTATTTCTTCTCTAAACATCAACATGAAAGAAAACAATTATGAATTGCTCTTTCCTACAATAAGCATTCTGTTTATGTCCTATTTATAATACCCTTCTTTTTATAATGGAAAATATTTCTTGGAAAAATTCTAGGTTTTAATCTTCCAAGAACAAAATAAATAACAGAATTTCATAGTTGTATCCTCAGAAAATGGCCAACTTAAATTAAATGAAAGAAAAACATAGTTGAGCTACCTAATATAAGACAGAACTACAAGCTAGATTCTACTTTAAAAATATTTTCACACGTTGAAATCAATGATTTTTAACCTCTGACTGAGGACTGGAATCAACTGGCTGGGAAGACAAAAACATACACAGTACCACTGACAGCACAGGTGATTTTGGTATACAGTCAGATATAAGACTCAATACATCTGTATCAAGGAAACCTGTGATTCAAAAATATACTTGCTTCATTTCATACACTACCTACTAGCTTATTTTTTCCCTACAGAGACCCAACATACTATCTTTTAACTTTACAAAGTAACTTCTTAGTTATTGCGTGTCACTGTTATTTGTCTAGAACAAGCAGTGATGAAGTAAGTGATACGGCAATTTTGTACTAGAACATTACCTACTTGTCACACTGCTCAGGTCTTTAAAATGATGATTTTATCATTAACTGTAAGATAAGAGTTTATCAAAGTAGCACGAGAAATATCTTTAAAAAGTATTACCTGATTGGGTTCAGGCTATAGAGAAGCAAAGGAAAGGGTCCTGAGGAATCTGTAACTATGTGTTAACTCAAAGTTCTTACCTGTTTCCAATTCATTAACTTTGCATTATATAGATGCAAACATAAGTTTATACATGAACAAACCATCTTCCTCCTTTATCTTCATGGTTTTTTCTTTAGAAGCACAAGATTCACTCAAGATAGATTTTTACACATGAATGAAGGTTTTTACACATGAATGAATGAATTCTTTATCCTTTATTTTCTCAGTCATCTTTTGCATCTACTGATAATGTCTATCATTAAACCATTCCAAATTTTGCTTTATTGAAAAATAAATTTCCATATCACCAAAATTACATTAGAATATAATAAAAAAAAAGTCCCTGGTTTTCTTACTCATTAGAATTACCTGAGTATGTAGAAGTTCTTCTTGAAGTTGGTCAATTTTCTCTTTGTCTGACACCTAAATATTTAAAATAAATTAATCTTAGTTGAATAATGTTTTCCATAGAATGTACAGTAAGTTAAACTTTTAAAAATATTAACAGTAAAAACAACTAGCATATTTAAACAAAGCAAATTTGAAGTCAGTTTTAAGAAAGTAAAAACATACTTATTCATCAATAAAAATAGCTCATCAAAATTTTATAAAAAAAACTTAGGCAGTCATTTTCTTTGACCATTTTAGATATTTCCTATGAAATGCCTGTTAGAAAAATAAGACATTTACACATATGGTTACTATATTCTTCAGAGGTTGTTTTGTACAGGGATTTACACACCTAGAGAAACAAAGCATTAGTATCCCTCCAGAAATGTGTTTTGGGAAATAAGGTACAGGCTATCATTTACAACTACCAAAAAAGCTCACTGATCATAGTGTATTTGTTAAGGAAATATCCATTTCTGTACTGTATAGTAAACACAAAGAACAAATTACATTTCCAGAACTTTAACAAGTGGAGCCAGATGCTTGCTTTTAAATTCAATTCCAATGTAACATCTGCTAACCCACAGTACAGAGATTGGATCTGCAGCAGTGAAGCCAAGTGAAACAACTGAAGTCAATTTGAACATTTGAATCAATAATAGAATAAAATCCAGAGGTATTGTGTAAACTACTTCAAATTGTTATTAATAGTTCTAAGATGAAATATTAAAAAGCAAAGAACTTTACTGTATAACAAGTTTTAAAGTAGTCACAATACAATTCTAAATACAAAAAACAATGACCAATTATAATTAAAATGATGTCATTTAAGACAAATCCATATAACCATGCTTTGACTTCCTGGTGAGGTGCAGAAGTTGTCATCCTCAGCCTTTAAAAATAATTATTTAATTTCTGAAAAATCAAAATTAGTAAATACAAATTTATAGAAGAGAAACCCAAGTTAAATTAAACATTCTTTTTCTTTTTGATTTAAATCCTTATTCCCATCTTCATTTTATTTGTTGAATATTCAAGCAATCAAGACATCATGGTGGCCAACAAATACGAAAAATTTAGATGACTTGGTTATTGAAATAGACATTAATAAGTCTTGCCCATGCTGTAAAAAGTTATTTTCAGATTTTAATTCTTATTTATAAATATTTTCTCAAAAATTTCCCCAAACTTTGTTTAAGTAATACAAATGACAGTGCTTGCTAGAAACAATTCGTACATATTTTATTTTTTTAAAGCCTAGTCTGAGAATCTCCAAAAATGATCTGGTAACTAGAAAAATATATAGCACAATACAAACTTTAATTGCATTCCCAGTCCTGCATAGTAGGCAGACTTTTTTCCTTTTAACTATGTGTTTTAATGTAGAATGGACAAGAATTATTAACAGTCTCCTTAACTGTGAGGAGACAAGCAAATTGGGGAGGAGTCCATAACCCAAAGAACAAAATCTTGAAGGCCAATGAAGAAATAAATAATTCCATATTATGATCATATGGTATGCCATCATTCTGTAATGGTATGGTTCTAGCAAATTTGTTATGCAGTTAAGATCCCAAATTTATTTTAAAAGATATTTTATGAATTTTATTCCATTAAATATTTACCCAACTGCTGCTAAATTAGTATGAAATATATATAAAAGTATTAGTAAAAACAATTTCAGTTTTGAATGTGAACGTGTACTGATTTCATACAATACATCATTTGTGACTATAGAAAACTGAACAGTACTCAATATCTGGGGTAAAAATTAAGAATCTAATACAACTATGCAAAAGATTTTGAATGTTTATTATAAGTCAAGGGCTACAAAATGTTAACTTTATAATTTTGTAAAATAAAATGTTATATAACATGTTAAAATAATGGAAGGGTACTAGAATATCACAAATACAATTTTAATGCTAATTGATCATAACTTTTTTTAAAGCTTTTGTTTAATGAATACAAATCTCATAGGTACAACTTTAGGAATATAGTGGGATCATAACTATTAAGATTTTTACAAATTCAGATTTTTAGGAGTATTTAAATTCATCATTTTCTTTTCTGATGCAATGTAGTTTACTGACCTCCTACATTCTATGTTTGTCTTAATGGAATATCAAAATTAATCTTAACGTCATATAGATGAGTGGTGGTAGAACACAGAATTAGATCAAATATTTTCTAATAAGATGAAAACTCTTAAGTTTATAAAACAAACGGGAAAAATTTATGAGAAGCTATTTTTACATATTTTCTTAAAAGAACTGAAGAAGCTATATTTAATCTGTCAGTTACTCTATGTCTTAAACAGCGATCTGGGTATGTTTTATTTTGATGTGCTTTACTGGTAAAATCCAGCCACTAAAACAAAAATAACCTCATGTTCTGCTGTTCAATATACTTAGTTTTCATTATGAAATTAATTTAAAACTCACCCTGATAGAAATGGGTATCAATGGTCTTGAAACCAGAGCTTTTCTACAATTCCAGGGCTGTGAAACTGATGGAGAAAGAGCGGAATCCTCCGCAGAAAAGAAGCTAAAGCTGAAAGAGAAAAACCTTTACTAGCTCCTCACAAAACCAAGCCTGACTTTAAATTTTAAGTATTTCTCTCTAGCAGACCGTTTTTGGCCATTGTGAAACACTGAAATGCATATATATGTAAAAGAGTCATAAAAATTCTATATGCATGTACATATTCATGAGAGGCAAAACTACCAATGGCAGTTTTAATCTATCATCTCCTCTTGAGCTCTTTTGCTCCGAAGACAGAGGGAAAATGTATTAGTTGTTATTAATAAAATACTAAAAATGGAAACCTGCTTACACTTTCACGAAGGTAAGGGAGAAAGAACGATTAAAAAGCAAAAAAGTACCTGTGGTTTTGTGCCTCAAATAAACCTCAAAAGCCTGGAATGATACGAATTAGTCACCTCTGCATAACTACAAGGGGAAAGAGGGGGAGGCTACAGTAGAGAAACAATCTTTCAGGGTAGGAAAGGAAGACTTTATTATAGAAGAACACAGATTATTTTAAAAGTTCCATTTATTTTTATAGAAGGTTACTATAGACTTGGCAAGAACAAGCCTGTCGGTGCTCCAATAAGTGTGCTTTAGTGAACAAAACAGATGGAAGTATAGTCCTGCCAGGCTCTGTTTTACAAATGGGAAAAGGCAGACACAGAAGGGTTAAATTAATAATCAAAGTATTAGAAATAAGAAAGATACAACTAAACCTGAATAAAGACTACTAAAATAGGCCTACAATAAACAGTAACTTATGGCACTGCAATATCATCACTCACCAGTATTTATCACTAATATCTCCTGAATTATCAGGTTGAAAAGCACAATGATTAACCTTATTTTAGTCTTGAAATTTAGAAATCTTGGAAATGGCAGGTCTATGGGACTCATCCCAAATTATTTAATAACTTGATCTATATTTATATTTCTAAGTAACATGCCAGAATGTACTACTTCTTCTCCTTTCCTTATATTATAAAATAAAGTATGAATAGGCTAAGCACCTAGTTTGCTAGAATATTTAAATGGTACACTCATAGCATACTGAATGATGTTAAAGTACCATTTAAAGTAAGTCTTTCCTGGGCTTAACACATCTACTTTAATTTAACCATTAGGAGAAGAGCATTATTTTCTTTTCCTACCTAGTTATTCATTCACTGAAAGCTAAACAATGTAAAGGAGTTGATTCCACAGCCATGGAATTGAGAAAAGCCAGGAAATGACACTGAAAAACAAATGGAACTATGATAAATAAGTATTCTAAAGTATTGACCACCACCAAATGAGATAAGGTTAGCCAGCAGAATTAGTGCACTAAATCAGTCCCTATAATATTGGTTGATTTAAAAATTAGAATTGATAGGAAGTCAATATATGACCAAATCTCTGTTCTTGAATAAAGTTGGTATAGACTTTAAAACTTTTCAGATCTAACAGATGTAAATATAAACTAGCTGATTTCAAAATCTCACAGTATAACTTTAGTACCACCACATTTATTTCACTTGACCTAAAAGTTTCTTTAAAACATGAACCTTGGCATCTCTTCTGTGGGGTTACCTAACAGCCAGAAGTACATACATCTGGTCTATTTATATATTTTTATATTTTATATATATTTGATTACAATAATAGTCCAATTTTGGTATATTTTCTTGATAACAATTACATCATATTTTCAATGTTCAATGCCTCAGTGGTCCACACTGAAAATTTATTTGTGCTTGTATTATTAATATAACAAACTTATGTATGTAGTGAGTTAATCAAAGCATATAAGAACTGCATGTCTGGGATGGCGCCGCGGCTCACTAGGCTAATCCTCCACCTAGTGGCGCCGGCACACCGGGTTCTAGTCCCGGTCGGGGCGCCAGATTCTGTCCCAGTTGCCCCTCTTCCAGGTCAGCTCTCTGTTATGGCCCGGGAGTGCAGTGGAGGATGGCCCAAGTGCTTGGGCCCTGCACCCTAGGGGAGACCAGGATAAGCACCTGGCTCCTGCCTTTGGATCAGGCCGCGGCAGCCATTGGAGGGTGAACCAACGGCAAAAGAACTACATGTCTTTCCCCAGAAGTTAATTCTCAATAGTGTTCTTCTTTAAAAAAAAATGAATGTTCTCGGCCAGTGCCGCGGCTCACTTGGCTAATCCTCCACCTGCGGCGCTGGCACCCCGGGTCCTAGTCCTGGTTGGGGTGCTGGATACTGTCCCAGTTGCTCCTCTTCCAGTCCAGCTCTCTGCTGTGGCCCAGGAAGGCAATGAAGGATGGCCCAAGTGCTTGGGTCCTGCACCCGCATAGGAGACCAGGAGGAAGCACCTGGCTCCTAGCTTCAGATCGGCACAGCACACTGGCCGCAGTGCGCCGGCTGTAGTGGCCATTTGGGGGGTGAACCAACGGAAAAGGAAGACCTTTCTCTCTATCTCTCTTTCTCACTAACTTTGTCAAAAAAAAAATGTTCAGATGATACATTTTAGCTACAACAAACTGAAGTTTAAAAAATTTAGTTTAAAAAATTTAGACTGGCAAATCTACAGTAATTCTTATTTAATTTTAGAAATATAAACTTGAAGAACAGGTCAATGAATTGTACACAAACTTAGGGCGGTGACTCAGTAACTGGGCCATATAAATAGCAAGTCATAATTCTATTCTAAATACAAATCAATGGATCCTCACAAACAACCTAATTTTCAGAAACTAAATTTCTATGCTTATGTTTGATATTTTGGATTTTGTCTATACTTGTCACTATAAGAAATGTACATATTTTTAATATTTTTTTAATATTTTTACTTTATAAAAAACTGTCATAATTGGAGTCCACGAATGGATTAAGGCGACATGATCTTGGCAGAAATGGTTGATTAGTGTGAATAAATCAGAAGCCCCCTTAAACCATCCATCACCTTGCGCTTCTGTTGGACATAGCTCGTGTTATATTGGCCAGTGGCTCTGCGCGCTTCCTCTTCGTGTTCTTGAATTTGCTGTTGTAAGAGAATGAGCTCACCAAGCAGACCCTGCCATGAGTTTACAATGAGGAGAAGAGGGAAATTGGGGAGGAGAACAATGTTAAACCGAAGGGCACAACAAAGGAAGAGTTGTAAGAGAGGGAGGAATGGATAGCTTAAATCAAAAATGGAAACTTGTGTACCTTTAAAGCCATCATTATAATTGGGCTCTGTACTGCATTTCCATTTTTCCCTTAGTAAAATTAGATGTCTCAGAAAAAAACAGCATATTTTAAAAAGTCAAAAGGAAAATGCAATAGTAAATGCTTCATGCAACAAGTCACACATATAATATCAACGCAGTAAAACCCAGACTAACTAGAACATTCAAGGAGGGTGGCACTGTAGCTCATTAACTTTTCTTTAATTTAGAAAGCAAATATATTTAAAATATAAACTAGTGTAAACTCCTGCGTATGGAAAAAAACAGAACTAATTTTTAAATTGTTGATCTTATAGGCTTATACATTCCAATTTTCACCTACAATTCTCTTATGACTGCCTGGAGGACAATAATAGCTTATTTATTCATTATTATTCTTAAGCAAATATTTTTCCTTGATACCAGATTTCTTCATTTAAAGATTAAAATCATTCAAAATCATACCAATTTGTTTTCTACCATCAAGTTAATCAAGGATTTACATTAATCCATAAATTCTATGTGCATTTGTATACACAGGCTTACTTAACTAAAACTTAGGGCTCTTTGCATATATCAATCATTAAACAAAAGCACTATATATATATAGGAACATAATTAAGACATGGAAATAATATAGTTATATGACAATTAAAAATGAAACAAAAACCAGTTTGGACCTATGTACAAAATAATCATGTCTGCTATTTCTAAAACTAATTCCATTTAATAATCATGAAATGTTAAATTGGTACAATTTTCATTACAATCTACTCGCTTGTGTCATGATACCAAAGTACATGTTGTATTTTTATTTGCTAGCTTATTACAAAAATCAACCTTGAAAAATATGGAGGAAAGACAACTAGGAAAGAACATCACAAGCCTAACTCTTAACTAGAAATCCTAAAAAGGTAAAGTTCCAATGAACAGGGTAACTAATGTACACAAGAATAATGCTCTGGGAGTACAATGGGCTCAGCTTTTACCCAGTTATAGAAATAAAAAGAGGAAAAATCAGCATTTATTAAAATAATCTAAGGACTTTAAATAATTTTCTTGGAGTTTTTTTAAAAATGACTATCAACATTTTATTTTGTATAAGTAGTCTCAAAATAAAATATTAGTTAATATTAAATTCAGAATGTAAGTAGCAAGCTCATCAGAAGCTTCATTACTTAATGAATAAAACTATAAATCAAAGGATGAAACCAGTTTATTTCTTCCATGACAATGAAATTTTATCATTTGTTTATGGATTCAACAGTACTCGACTTCTTATTTTTACCCCCCAAAAGACCTCTTTTAAATAAATTAGTTATGATCATTGATAAATTTATCAAATGAGTGCTAATTCACTCATTCATTATCCTCATCATTCTTATAAATTTTTTTCATGTTTTTAAAAATACTACTTTTCAAAAAAATATGATTTATTTCCCACTCACTTGGTCATTTATCATAATCACTTCTTTTAATGATCTAAGTGTTTAGATTTCTCAAACAATTCCTTTTAAAGAAGGCTTCCTAGGTTGGTTTATATAGTAGTGCACTTACTATATTCCTATTCCACCAATACTGTAATTTACAAAATGCCAAAGTACTGAGGAAACACTTTATACCTTTTACCTCCACTGGTCTATCAGGCACATGATTCTTCTTTATTTCTAGTTAAACACCCCTCTCTAATCTACTGCTTATCTATGTACAACTGTACAATAAATAACATCTATTAGAATGGAAAAAATATACTCTCTAGACTTTCCTTCCAAGCCTGTTACTGAAGCACTGTTATGCGAAGATAGTTGAAATTAACTGTTACCTCCTGGAAAAAGTAGGAAGAAAACAAGAATTAGACATAGAAAAAGCTACTTACAATATACTACTAATCTACAAATCTTAATGTTACTTTTCTGGAATTTTAGGCAACAAATCTTACCCTAGAGACTGGGTGGTGAGCTATATGGCTTCTAAGTTAAGGTCATCTAGAATAGGAAAGGGAAGAAACGTGTACATCTACTGTGCAAGATATACTCCTCAGATGTACAAAGTACTTTCTTTTCAATAAATTCTTCTGAAGCATGGACATTTTTCTTTCAAGAAATAGCAACAATTATTTTTAAAATAGTGTTTGTTTTATACATATAGTATAGTAATTATTATAAATAATGCTAAATAATTATTGTTAACAATTACAAATTATATACTCTCTAAGTATCTTCTGGCAACTGTCAATTTTATCCTGCAACTTTCAGTCTCACAGTTCATGTACGATAGTCTTGGATTTTGGGGAAAAAAAACCTGTAACATCAGATAAAGAAAATCAGCAGTAACTCTAGAAACCAATGCATAAACTGAAAATGTTAACTAATTTAAATGTAATTCAGTTCAGTGGAAAAGATTTGAAATAACATTGAAATATTACGCCATGGTCTGAATGTCTGTCCTCTCCAAATTCGAATGTTGAAATTTAATTCCCAGTGCGATGGTATTCAAACATTGGGTCTTTTTTGAGATGCCTAGAACATGAGGGCTCTGAGACACAGGGAGAAGGTGCCTCTTCATGAGGAATAGGGCCCCTGTTCAGATGTCAAATGTGCTGGCTCCCTGATCTTAGATTTTTCAGCTTCCAAAACTTTGAGAAATAAATGTCTGTTGTTTATAAGCTACTCAGCTTAGAGTATTTTTGTTAGAGTACCCTGAACAGACTAAGAAAATAAGTCACTCATGTGAATTCAGCTAAAGCATTTTTAAGAGAATTGTAAAAAAATCAACAGCACAGCAAGGACCACATCCTGTTCAGTTTTAAACCCAGCATTTAGCATAAGGCCTGACAGACAGGAGATGTGTCGCAGCTACCATGTAGAGCAGTGGGTGGCACATACTTGTTATGTGCTCATATGGGATGCTGGTGCTGCAGGCTGTGGCTTAATCCAGTATGCCATAGCGCCAGCCACTGAAACTACTTTATATATGGTTATACTATTTTCAAAGTGCCTCTGGCCCATCATTTCAAGAAGAAGCTGGCAAACCTAGTGGGTTCATGGAGTAGTCTATGGAGACATTATGATCTGCAAGCCTAAAATAGTTACTTTCTGGTATTGGTAAGAAAAAAAGTTCACAACCATTGATTTAGAAGTTTTATAGTAACCTCAGTCTGGCCAGAGAACTTTATGAAAGTAAAAACTTCTTTCCCTGTCCATTAAAAAAATATTCTTAAGCATTAAACTACTTTTTAGACTTTGAACAAGTCTGCTACATGACCAGCTAAAAATTCTGCTCATATACATTCATAGTCAATTGAAAAATATTTATTACTGGCTGTCAGAAGAAAATAAATATCCACTTGGAATTATTTAACTTGCTCCAATCCAGAAACACCATTTAGGCAATTTCAACAAATAATTTTAAGAGATTTGAACAAAACAGCCTATTATCAAATAAATATAAATATATAACTTTGTCTAAATACAATTTTAAATTGTTACCTAAAAAACAATGTGACATTCACATGTACATATGAACTGACACATTTTCTCGACGAGCATACAAGTGCAGCCTAATCACAGAATAAAGTAAGGCCATCTGCTTTGTCAGTCTACTTTTCCTCATGCAGAAATTTCCTGCTTTTCTTCCTCTGATCCCTCAGTGTTCGATACACCACATTCATGTACACGAATGATTTGGCTTCTGGCTGAGAACCTAACTAAGTATAGCTACTAGTTGTCAGTTGCTCAGAAAACTTGAGTTCCTATTTTGTGATGATGATGGTTCTGAGAATTTAATTTTGCCACAGTTACAAAACTATTTATTGCATAAGGAACTCCAGAAATGTAAATTATACTTAAGCAAGACAGCTTTACTCCAATTCAGAATATCAAGCACAGGAACTACTTTACTTGCCCTTCTCAACAGTTACCAAACACAGAGGCCAAGAGCAAATCATAGGTAATCAGGGCAAAAAATATTTGGGTTCATCATTGCTGGCATCAACCAATTTTGCATCTTTTATATCAGCCTCTCTTCAAATGAGTTAAATCAATCAAACAATTCTGCTAAGAGTTCAACATTAGATGCTTTGAGGAGAGAAACAGAGTGACCGAAATAACTCACTAAATGGTAAGAATGCAAGCCAAAGTAAATAATGTTTTTCATGGCAAGCGCTTTAAACAAGTACAAATGAAAAGAACTAAAATGATTATGGAAAGCTTCATGAAGGTGACAACTGTACCAAGCTTTAAGGGTAAGCAGAAATTAGGCTGGTAGAAAACACAGGAAGACAGGTATTTCAGCCAGGAGGTACAACATAAACCATCAAAATAAGAACTAGAATTAGCACATTGGAAGGAGGAGCATTAATAATGCACAAGTATCGCCACTGAATAATTATACTTAAAACAGTTAACACTACTTTTCCTGACTGGTTCCTTTACAGTCATTTAAATATTTTCTATAAATTATAAATGTGCTTGTCACCTTCAAAATGATCATATTTATTTTTGTGAGATGCTTATGACCAATCAGAAACAACAGGACAAAAGCACAAATGGTTCATTTAGCAAGTCAGTGTTTACTAGAACACAACAATCTACAGAATCTAAAAAAGGAAATACTCTGAGTGGTCTTGTCTCCTGTTTTTACTAAGAATGATGCACAGGAATCTGTTGTTGATTCACAAATCAACTGAGTCCATTAATTCACTAAAAAAACAAATTCCAATTCCAAATTTGTCTTCAAGTAGTTCTAAAGGTCTCCAGATCTCAAGAATATTATTTATATCAACAGCTATTTTAGTATCTATTTTCCTCCAGTGGACACAAGTTTTAAAATTTTTGATTAATAAAAAGCATTGATTAAAAAGTAGCTTTACTGTGTATTACTCATACCTTTAATAAAGTGGTCGTTAAGTTGAAGAAGTGGCTTTTCTATTTTTCAATGTTTGATTAAACAAAGGCACATATCAGAATTACTGATCAATAGAAATAACTAGTGCCACAAAATGAATGGATATAAATCCAAGTAAAACCAAAGAAAACTGATGGTTAGTTAGCCTGTTCAGCACTATGTGGATATATATAGTTTTTGTACGCTTTCCAAACATCCCTATTACAACTTTCCAGCACACCTCAAAGTCTAGTGACTCCAGGACAGATACTAAACATAATCAGTTCTTCAGGTTATTCATTCTTTTTTTTTTTTTTTTTTTTAATTTATTTGACAGGTAGAGTTACAGACAGTGAGAGAGAGAGCCAGAGAGAAAGGTCTTCCTTCCGCTGGTTCACTCCTCAAGTGGCCACTACAGCCAGAGCTGCACCGATCTGAAGCCAGGAGCCAGGTGCTTCTTCCTGGTCTCCCATGTAGGTGCAGGGGCCAAGCACTTGGGCCATCCTCCACTGCCCTCCCGGGCCTCAGCAGAGAGCTGGACTGGAAGAGGAGCAGCCGGGGCTAGAACCTGGCACCCATGTAGGATACCGGCGCCGCAGGCAGAGGATTAACCAAGTGAGCCATGGCGCCGTCCCCCATTCTTTCTGACTCAGGTCAAGCTACCTGACCTGTATTCCCCCCTCAGATTCCTTAACTTTAACTTCAGTTGAGTCTGAATGTTCCTAACTGTTCCTCTGCTTGCCAGCATTTCTACAGATGTGTTTTCCTACTAGAAAAGATGAATCTTTTAGTTCTAGTTGTAAAAATTGCTTTTCAATTATTATTACCTAAATTTAATTGATTCACACCCATTTCTAGTAGAAATTTAGTTTTAAGTTTCTAGTGAGAAATGTTGGTACAAACCTGACAAACATTAAACTAACACGTAAGTTATTTCCAACCCTAAATATTATTTTAAATCTGGAACTGTCAGATACCAGCCTGACCTGATTACAAAGATATTATGAAACAAGCAAAAAGAAAATAACAACATACAGCAAATACATTCACTTTCTTGTCTGTTATACTATAATTAAATTCCCAAGACACATTCTCTTGTTTTCTGTATTACAGAGCTCATGGAGAATTAATGATAATTCATTTATCACTTCATTAGAGTTTATCAGGCCCTGCAATAGGCTTTTCCTTCACCAAAGTAATCTCAGGCCACATCAGAGAGAAACAGGCATGCAGACCTCCCTAAGCGACTTAGGAAAAATCCTGCCACTCAAAGAACCATCCTACCATACCTGTAACAAGGGTTCTTTCTTCTCAGTTAGATTAGCTCTATCTCTGAACATAAGTTTACTTGCCTTAAAGCCAAGGCAAGCCTTGGCTCAAAATAAGCTACAAATAATAATTTATAATTCAGTGTCTTTTTGTTAAAATGTTAATGTAAAAAAAGATCAAGATGAAATGCAAACATACACTTACACACTTTGAAATACATTTTCTCCAAAACATAAGATTAAAAGGCAAAAGAGGAGGGCCGGCCAGCACTGTGGCTCACTTAGTTAATCCTCTGCCTGTGGCACCAGCATCCCATATGAGCGCCGGGTTCTAGTCCCGGTTGCTCCTCTTCCAGTCCAGCTCTCTGCTGTGGCCCAGGAAGGCAGTGGAGGATGGCCCAAGTGCTTGGGCCCCTGCACCCGGCATGGGAGATCAGAAGGAAGCACCTGGCTCCTGGCTTTGGATCGCCGTAGCGCCAGCCGTAGCGGCCATCTTGGGGGTGAACAACGGAAGGAAGACTTTTCTCTCTGTCTGTTTCTCCCTCACTGTCTAACTCTGCCTGTCTTAAAAAAAAAAAAAAAAAGGCAAAAGAAAAAAATTTTTTAGAAATACAATTAATTTTGGAATATCATGTAAAAAGTTCAAATTTGAAGTACAGGGAAAGAGGTGGAAACCCATACACTGGAATTATTTCTTCTTCTTGCTTTGCCAAATAAAAACAAAAAATTTATTTTCTTTGCTGTATTAAAAGCATAACTGGCTTCAGCATAAAAGATACATACTCAATATTTAAGTTAAAAATGTTCATAAAATTTTTTTTTAGAAATCTCTTTTCTTAGATATTATTTATTTATTTTGAAAGGCAGAGAGAGAATGAGAGAGAGAGAGATCGTCCATCTGCCAGGTCTCTAGACCAGCTTGCTGCCAGGAGCCATCAAGCCATCAACTCCACTCTGGTTTCTTAGAGGTAGTAGGGGCCCATGTCTTGGGCTACCATCTGCTATTTTCCTAGGCTCATTAGCAGAGAGCTGGATCAGAAGCACAGCAGCTAGCACTTGAGCCAGCACTCTGATAATGGGACACTGGCATGGCAAGTGGCAACTTAACCTGCTGTGCCACAATTCTGGCCCATTTACAAATACATAGTTTTTTAATCTTCAATGAATCATTATTTTATCAATTCCAAAAGAATTAAAACAAAATGAAGACTACGAAAATGTCAGGGAAACACATGTATAAATTATAAAAACAGGGCAATATGCTATTCTGTATCAGCAATTCTCCCAAAAAATTTCATATGGACTTTGTTAATAGATCTGTGCTAAAACCGACAGACCCTAAATAACCCTAAAAATAACTTTGTGGACTTTCAATGTAAGAGAAATGATTTATTTCCTAATAACCCACCTATTATTCCCTTAAGTGAAACTTAGTTCCTAGGAGAACTAAGAGAAAATGGGAGGCTCCTTTGGGAGGTTTACAGTGCACATGAATATATTAAAGTTTGAGAAGTTTAAGGAAACATAAGTCTACTTATCTTGTCTAAATCAGTTTTTCCCACACATATGAGGGGTATTCAAAAAGTTTGTGGAAAAGGTACACTATGAAAAAGCTGTATGATTGTCAATCTGCACTAAGACTAGTGACAATATCTCCAGATACTTTTGTGTTAATTTGTCCCTCAGATGTTACCGTTTTTAAATCCTTGAAAAAAGTAAAAAGTTTAAAAACTTTCAAGACTACATATATAAAGAATTCCCTTATACTTACCTTTCTATAATGCTTGTCACTTTCAGACCCATGATCTGTTGCTCGAAATGCCGTTTCTCCAGGTGAACCTTAAAGATAAATACGCAATCCTTCAAATTCTCTAATCATGTCTACTGATGGCCTAACTTAAATACCAAATTATATCTAACCATTTAAAAAGGAAATGGACCTTTAGAATAATTCAGATTCAAAACATCAAATCACTTTTATTTTTATTTTAAATAACATTACTGGTAACTGATATAGAAAATTTAAAAGGAAATTATAGCACATGTTTAACCTAATTACTTAAAAATATGTAACTGAATGCTATAATTTAAACAAGATAATCTTATTTGCAACAAAGTACTTACAGTTTGGACAACTACCACTGCCATTACGGACTACATGTGATACAACACTCAACGTAAAATGTCAATTATGACAGGGCAGATGAGACAAACTAAAATTACTTTTCATTTCATTCATTGAAAAAAATTAGATCTAGTTCCAGAAAGTATTTTGGCTAAGCAAATTTTTTAATAGCTTTAATCTTATATATCCACCTTTAGGAAATATTTTTATTATTTTATTATTTCTACCTATAAGATAATGAGTTTGCCTAATAGAGTTCTGGGGCTTTAAAATTTAGCACAAGCAGCATTATAAATTTGGCCTGCAATTTTAATTGCAACTAGTTTATTAGAAGCATTTAAGAGGCATGTTAAGGTCAGTAAAAATGTCTGTTTACACACCTAACAAGAGAAGTAGGTCAGAAGCTCCTATGACTTCACTAACCAATTTGTGACCTGCGAAAAATCAGCAAAAGGGGAAATAGAATTGTAAAATTTTATAGGAATGAGCACACATAGATGTCTGAGATCTCTTTATAACTCTACAGGGAAGTAATTGGGCAAATATACTAGGATTAACCTTAATAAATTCTACTCCTTATGATCTACCATAGTTAAATTTTCTTTTAAAGTCACCAAATTCACTAATTATGAAAAGCAAATACATAGGAAGTCTCATCTACTTGTCAAGGACAAATGTATTCTTCCTTCACTAAGTAAAAGCCACGTATATTTAAGCTCTTGTAAATCTGCACTTCACTGAGCTTTGAAACCACTGTGCAATGAAAGTTTTTTTTTTTTTAAAAAAAACCTGACTTTAATTTGTACTAAAGGTTTTCATTTAAAATATGGTAATAAACAAGCAAATATATCTATCACTTTTCCTGTGGTTCTTAAAACTTTTTATTAAATCAAACATGTCCTCTCTTACCTGTGGTGAAAACGTCCTTCAATAAGCTGAGACTTTCAATAATCTTGTCAAAGTCTGGTACTAATTTTGCAAGGTCTTCTGAATTAGGAAGGGCTTTTGTAATTTTCTCTGGAGAAGACCAAAACACAAAAAAAGTCTCAAAATAAGAATATGTGTCAGATATAATATAAAGATTATAAAATTCTTAACTTATTTAATCCTCATAGCAACTCTACAAAACAGCTACTATTGTTACCCTCACTTACAGATGAATAAGTGGGCACACTGTGAAGAAGTGCAGGCCTAAGTCTGAGCCTAGGTCCCAGAATCCAGGCTCTGAGACACCACTGGCACACTGATAAATGTGACAATGTAGAATGCTAGAAAAATAATTTAAAAAGTGCTTTTCCTGAAAATGCCTTGATCAACACAGCAGTCTGATCTTTAAGAGGTACTGTGAGTAAGTACATGTAGAGATTAATTCCATCTCCATATATACTTAGAAATCAGACAACACGTAAAAAATGGTAATGAAAACAATAATTTCATCAAAAAACATTTAAAAAGTTCAACATGAATTACTGGCAATCATAGCTATCAAATATACTTTTTTCTCATATGCCTAATAAAAAAGTGGGACAGTGGCTAAAGAGGAGAGAGAAATCATTGTGGATAGTAACAGATGTTTCAGGAATTTGACTTCAAAAAGTAGAAGTAACTAATGCATCCAATTAAAAAGAGGTAGTTAGGTGGATCATGGTACAAATTCTTTGGGCAACATTATACAACTCTGAAAATGATGTACAGAAAGGTTGCTGGAAGCACTGAAATGCTGACAAATGTGTTAGCAAGACACAAGATGCCAAAGTGTATGCTCACTATGACTGTATAATTTTTGAGAAGGGAACTAAAACAATAACCACGTGCACATAACAAGAACAATTAGATGATTCTGTAAGTATAGTGGCAGTTGTATTAAGTGATAGTCTATGGGATACATTCTTTTCACAAATTTTTTCCTTTGGTATTCTACTACTTTTAACATTAGAAAGTAATTGCTGCATATCACACACATAAACTATCTCAATACAACTACCTGTCTTTCCTAAGAAAATGACTCTGAAAGGTATTTCAATGTTAATGATACAAACCAAAATCAATATACTCATCAATTTCCCACACAATGTCGGGCACAATCCATTTGTAGTCACTAAGGTCGGGTATCATATCTTTCCACTGATCAAAAGTCTGAAAGATAAGAATGTTAATCAGGTATTTACCCAAACAAAAATGTAGAGAAAGATTATTTACTTAAAACACATTAATCTACTGAGAGCAATGTATTATGTTCAACATTTTAAGAAACAAATTTAAATGGACTTAACTATTTTAAAAACAATAAGCTGGCAAATACATAAAAAACGTAGACACACCCTACTAAATACAGAAAACGTAAAAATTCAAAATACACTCCTGTTTTCACAGGATTTGGTTTTAAGCAATGCTGTGGACTTGGAAGTAAGATACACTGGAGGAAAGAAGGCTTTGACTCTGGCCCAAGAAGCAATGGAATGGGATTGCCACATAGCTTTCCTAACTATGCCTCTAAATGGCAAAGTTCAACATCAAACCTAGGTAATCTCATTTCCATCCCAGGGCTCCTTCCACTATGCCATTTGTATATCATTTAATTATAACTTTCATTACATCATATAAGATTCAGAAGGCATTTTCCTATTACCACCATTAAAACAATCCAGTAGATGGTAGAGACACACAATAAACACCTAATTATATTCTGCTATACTACAAAAAAAACCTTATGCTATCAAAATTTAATCATATTGGAATAACTGGAATATCAGTAGGGACGTCAAACTCACCTTTTTGGCTGTATAGCCACCCCCAACAGCAGAGCCTAGTATGAGATACCGAAGTTTTAAGAGCCTTGCAGCTAATCTTGCGGGCCAAAAATATCTGCGGGGCTGGTAGCCATATTTAATTGGAGAAAGTTTTAATTTACATAAAGGAAGATTAGTTAGAGAAGAGAACTGCTGAAATGATGTCCTTAGTTGGGGTCTTTGAAGCTTTAATGCAGGATGATGTAAATGATAAATACTTCGTGAAACCAGATGCAGTTTTTGTAGTGGTAGGCTTCCTTTCATTCCAGAGCTATGTTTCACTAAGGATTGGCAAACTTCACTGAAAGAAAAATGAGAAAAGATCAGACATAGTAACAATGCAAAAGAAACAAGAGCAGCAATATTCTGAAGAAAAACACACTCATGCACATGTGACCAGCCACATATTCCATACAGTAGTGTACACTTACTAGCTATTTACTATGTCAGGCACTAGGATAGCATGTGCTATCTCATGTAATCCTACTAACAATCCTATGACCAAAGTACCAGAATTATCCTCATTTCAGAGATGAGGAAAATGTGACACAAAGTTATAAACAATTTGCCCAACTACACACTCAGATAAGGAACAATGTCAAGAGTCACACCTCTGAGTGGCACGCCAGAGCTTGCACTTTAATGTACAAGAATGAGGGCCATAATCCTGGCCTGAATAACTGAAACTAAAAACAGAAAAGGTGGGGCTTCTTTTTATTAACTGCTATTCACTGTAAGAAAAAGTTGAGAATAAAAGTGCATGCAAACCTTTGTTTGCAGAATTTCAACAGTGCAGAACAGCTATTCTCTCCCCTCGTCTACAGAGATACTTCCAAAAGTACATGGAAAATGGAATTCAAAGGTAAGTGTATATTGATACAAATAATTCTAAAACTCACATATAAAGCGTCTTCAAAAAGTTCATGGAAAATGCATCTTTGAAAACCCATGCAAGCATCTCAAAACTATTTTGTACCAAAATAAACTTATATTTTAATTCCAGCCTCCATGAACTTGTTGAAGCACCCTCACATGTTTGCCAAATAGCTCAAGGATGGAAATTGAAGAAATTAATCAATCTCACCCAACACATCTGGCTTTCAGAAAATGAAAACAGCAAAAAAGCCTCTAAAGAGAAAAGAAGCAAACTGTATGTGTTAGCTGTCCCAGTTCCACCCTTTCCTCCTTCCTGCAGAGAATGAAGAGCTACCAATAACAGCTCTATGCCTTATTCAACATACATATCCATAACTGCTTACCCTGGGCCAGGCCCAATCCTAAGCAATTTAAAAATATTAATTCACTTATACAAAGGGTTGGAAATTTCTTAGGAAAAACATGTTAAGAAACATAGAAAAGAATGCTGTGATGAGGGATGGGTGGAGAGAATGGGTTATCACTTGTAGTCCTAGTAAAAGATCGGGCATTATGCTAGATGTTTTCATAAATGCTACTCCTGTTAGCTCAGAAAAATATAGTGTAAAGTGAGCTATTCTCCTTACAGGTTTTTTTTTTTTTTAAGATTTATTTATTTTATTATTTGAAAGGCAGAGTTACAGAAAGAGGCAGAGAGAGGTCTTTTTTTTAAAAATTTTTACTTATTTTTTGACAGGCAGAGTTAGACAGTGAGAGAGAGAGAGACAGAGAGAAAGGTCTTCCTTCCATTGGTTCACTCCCCAAATGGCTGCTACAGCCAGTGCACTGCGCAGATCTGAAGCCAGGAGCCACCTGCTTCCTCCTGGTCTCCCATGTGGGTGCAGGGCCCAAGCACTTGGGCCATCCTCCACTGCATTGCCACGCCACAGCAGAGAGCTGGACTGGAAGAAGAGCAGCTGGGACAGAATCCAGCGCCCCAACCGGGACTAGAACCTGGGGTGCCAGTGCCACAGGCAGAGGATTAGCCTAGTGAGCCACGGCGCTGGCTGAGAAAGAGGTCTTCTATCTGCTAGTTCACTCCCCAAATGGCCGCAGCATCTGGAGCTGTGCCGATCTGAAGCCAGGAGCCAGGAGCTTCTTCTGGGTCTCCCATATGGGTGCAGGGGTTCAAGGACTTGGGCCATCCTCTACTGTTTTCCCAGGCCATGGCAGAGAGCTGGATCAGAAGTGGAGCAGCCAGGACTTGAACCAGTGCCCATATGGGATGCTGGCACTGCAGGCAGTGGCTTCGCCTGCTAAGCCATAGTGACAGCCCCTAGAGGTTTGTTTTTTAAAACTACATCTTGCTTAAGGTAGAATGATCAGTTAACGATGGAAGAGGATTGAAATCAGGGTTAGCTTGACCATAAATTCTTGCTTTAAGACACTAGTTGGTGAGAACATGGAAGCAGCAGATGCCTATCAGTGTCCCCAAACAGGAGGCTGAAGTGACATTTTGGAGAACTTGCAGCCTTCTCTAGAACTCTCTGGATGACACAGGGCCTTGCTCTCATTCAAGACTTCACAGGAACTTTCCAACTCAGGAAACCTTAGGGAAATGGAGCTTAATACGAATTAGGCACATCATTCATTTGTATGCCTAAGTGCGTAAATGTTAATGGTAGACACAAAATCATTTACCTTCTTTCCAAAAGTCAGTACATGTATTACATTTCTTTTTATTTAAAGCCCGGTCCCCAAGATAAATAGTAATTTCCATAATGATATAAAAAGTAAGTCCAGTCCATGTCTTTTTTTATTAACTAAAGAGACTGAATTCTCCTGACCTCAAACTCAGCAAAATCCTCAGCTTCAAAACTGCCTCTAATGCAGCAATCACATACACATGACAATAACACAACACTAGCATGTCAAAGGAGCGGTAGACAACAGCTAAATGCTACAAGAGTTAACAGGAAAGCAAGTGATTCTTAGTAGTTGAGGTGATCAGTAAACACTCCGCAGAAAAAGTAAAACTTAAAAGTTAATAGGGAAGTGGAAGTGAAAAGTCAAAACAGAGAAAAAGATTTCAGGTAGGCAGAGGATTCAGAAGTGAGACAATGTAAGAGACCCAATAAGCTGGCAGAGAAGGTTCATACTGAGAGGTAAAACTGGAGAGGTGGTCTACAGACAAACTATGCTTGAATATCAGGCTGAAGTTTGAACCTTATTTTGTAGGCAACAAGCAGTCACTGGAAGTTTCTGAGTAAGACTAACTGCACAGTAATTAAAGGAGATATTAAAGGTAACCCTGGGCAAAAGTAGATCAAAAGCACAGCAAAACCATGATCATATTTCAGCTTTCCAGATGCAAGAGAGAAGAGCTAAAGTGAGGGGGCAGCAGTGACAAAGGTGGGTACCAGAATGGCAGACTTAATGCCAGAGGAAGGGAAAAGAGTAAAAATAATCACTAGGTTTTACCTGGTGTGACTGAGGCCACTGCTTACAGATCCAAAAAAGTCAAAAAAACAAATACAGCAGGCAGTAACTTACAGGTCCCTAACATTTAGCTCAAGCTTCTGTCAACTCTATGGATACATTCACCTAGTCTTTTGGTTCAGAACTTTGGTTGCAATCAGTTTCACTGCTTACTTAGCTATCTCATCATGGACAAATTATGAATTAATCAAAACCTCAGTTTCTTAGTCCATTAAAATGACATAATATCAGAATTAGAGTTAATGTCAATTAACTTCGAGTTCATCAAGTTCTACACACAACCAACTTCTCTTCTCATTCTTCCTAGGTAATCTTATCTACACTTAACTTCCTCAATGATTACCTACATATCCATGTTTCTGAAATTTAAGTCTAACACACAAAGTTACAGACCCATGTGTCCAACTGCTTATTCAATATCACCACTTGGATATCCAAAAAAGTACCTCAAATTCAAGATGTTCCTAACTGTGATCTCTTCTTCCACTTCCACTAAAACCCTGACCCTCCTGTAGTATTTGCTATTTCAGAAAAGCATATGAGTTTATTGATCCTGTGACATCAGACACAGATCTGGGGGGTCACTCTTGGAACCTCCCTTATCCTCACTATTACCAGACCCACTCTTCTGAATACAAATGTGATCACTGTCACTCACTTCCATCCATCTCTTAAATGGCTCTCCTGAATTAGGAATAAAATCCAAACTCCTGGTCTATAAAGCCTTGCCAGTCTGATCCCTGCCTCTCTCCTATTTGCTTCCAAACTTAACCCAGCCTAGTTTTCATTCAGTTCCTCAATTGTGCCACACTCCCTCCATCTCAGGGCTGTGTGACAAACTCTTCTATTTACTTTGCTGCTGTTTACAATCAGTTTCACCCCAAGCACTCCCACCTCTCCTTGAATCTTCATTAGAATGCTGAGTCCTTCTGCTACACTTCTTGGCTCTCTGTACTTTTCCTTTGTAGAGCTTGTAAAATTTGCACTGCATAATAGTGTTTTTATTGTAATAATATTTGTCTCCACCAGTAAACTGCAATCTTCATAAGGTCAGGGTTCTATCTGTCTTCTGACCATTTTATTTCCCAGGGCTACACCAGTGCCTCACGAATGGTAAGCAATGTCAAGGAAAAAATTAAATTGCAAACAACTGAAAGAATCCAGCAATGGCTAGACAGAGTAAGTACTCAATAAATGTTGTTTCAATATTAATCTGCACTAAACTCCAGCAATGCATAAATGAATAATCTTTTTTTAAAATTTTTTGCCAGGCAGAGTTAGACAGTGAGAGAGAGACAGAGAGAAAGTTATAGACAGTGAGAGACAGAGAGAAAGGTCTTCCTTCCGTTGGTTCACTCCCCTAATGGCTGCTACGGCCGGCGCTGCACCATCAGAAGCCAGGAGCCGGGTACTTTCTCTCGGTCTCCCATGCGGGTGCAGGGACCCAAGCACTTGGGCCATCTTCCTCTGCCCTCCCAGGCCACAGCAGAGAGCTGGACTAGAAGAGGAGCAACCAGGACTAGTACCCGGCACCCCAACGGGGATTAGAACCTGGGATGCCGGCGCCACAGGCAGAGGATTAGCCAAGTGAGTGGGCCAAATGAATAATCTTTAATCCTCAAAAAGCTATCTGCATTTTAAGAAAAAAGCTAATCCAAATACATTTATTTATTTATTTATTTATTTGAAAGTCAGAGTTACACAGAGAGAGAAGGAGAGGCAAAGAGACAGAGAGGTCTTCCATCCACTGGTTCACTCGCCAATTGGCTTCAATGGCCAGAGCTGCACTGATCTGAAGCCAGGAGCCAGGAGCTTCCTCCGGGTCTTGCCATGCAGGTACAGGAGCCCAAGCACTTGGGCCATCTTCTACCACTTTCCCAGGCCATAGCAGAGAGCTGGATCGGAAGTGGAGCAGCAGAGACTCGAACTGGCACCCATATGGGATGAGGGCACTGCAGACAGCGGCTTTACCTGCTATGCCACAGCGCCAGCCTCCAAATACATATCTTAACCTGATGTATCTCAGATCTGAGTTCATGCCTAAGATGCTTTTGCTTTCCTTATTTTCTCCATATTTTACTTCCAAATCCCTGAAATGCCTACTTCCATAATGTTGGCAAGCAATAAAGCTGGGTGAGAGTCAGGGACAGAGAGTCCAGCATTTCAGGCCAGTAATTACACGTGAAAGGTTCTTCAGTGAGTCCCCTGGAAGAGTAACTGACTCAAAGCAAAAATCCTGGTACTGGAAAAGGCATCCTCAAGAATTACTTCTAGAGCCTCCACTTCAAGGAGCTCTAAAGATCAGTGCTCATACAGGAGAGAACCACTTTTCCCAGCAAGGTCCTGTTGAGATACAGGTACATGAGTAAAAACAGGAGAAATGCAATCACTGAAGCAGCATCTGAGGAAACCCAATCCAGCTGAATGCTAACAGCAGCAGTCGGGAGCCAAGGCTCCCACAGCATGCAGGACACAGACCACAGACTTTCCAGCCTGAGCCCTGAACAATATTGGCATTTGTACGTAACAAGTTTAGATCAACTGCCTACCTCCTAAAGACCCTACAATGAAGCTTGTTAGTTGATATGTCATACACCTAAAACACAAGGCTCAGTCAGCCTTCTCGTTCAGAGGTAACACACACAAAGTATCTAAATTCATCAACTCTTTAAGACGAGTGGGGAACCCTTTTTCCTGCCAAGGGACATTTGAGTATATATAACATCATTCACAGGTCATACAAAGCTTCATGGGCCAGATGTTCCCAGCCTTTGCTTTAAGGTGAGGAGCAAGACAAACATTATTTACTCTGAGAAAAGCAGGTATTAAGCACAATCCAATAATCCCAGACAAAGCAATAAGGCAGTGGAACCTGGAAGAGAGAGACAGAGAGAAAGGTCTTCCTTTGCCGTTGGTTCACCCTCCAATGGCCGCCGCGGCAGGCGAGCTGCGGCCGGTGCACCGCGCTGATCTGATGACAGGAGCCAGGTGCTTCTCCTGGTCTCCCATGGGGTGCAGGGCCTAAGCACTTGGGCCATCCTCCACTGCACTCCCTGGCCACAGCAGAGAGCTGGCCTGGAAGAGGGGCAACCGGGACAGAATCCGGCGCCCCGACAGGGACTAGAACCCGGTGTGCTGGCGCCGCAAGGCAGAGGATTAGCCTAGTGAGCCGCGGCACCAGCCCGGTATTAAATCTTTATTTGTATTCTTAGGAAAATTCCTGAAAATATTGCAGACATAAAATAAGGGCATGTTGTCATTCAAAAATAACAATCAAAGAACATGACAAAGTTTACAGAATTAATTATGTCTTTGTTTTTAGTAAAGGGCTTCATAAATCCTAAAAAGAAGTTCATGTTAATAAAGGTTCAATGGCCAATATAAAAAAATCAATAGTAGTACCAGAAAATGAATTAAGTAAATTTCTCAGAACACAGAAGAGAATGTCCAGAAAAACTGGTGGGAAACATAAAGAAAAAAGTGATGCAGAGAAGTGACACCCAAAGATGGGGAGTGGGGGGTGGGTGTAATGTATCCCATGGATGCAGGAAGAAAGTATCAAAGCTTCTTTTTGTACCTTAATCTTGAAAATTATGTTAGAGTAGTCTTACAATGTAAATAATTAGTATTGAAATTCATACATAATTAAAATATAAGTGGGCACATCTACATATTGGAATGTGTATACATTTTTTAACAGTTGAAAAGTACAGATAATATATGAGAAATCAAGGACATATAGGACCAAACTTAAAGGACAAATATTCAACTAACAAGAATCTGAAAACAAGAAAAAAGAAATAAAGAAAATCAATGAACTAAAAAAGAGAAGAATCTTTGTAATGCAAAGGCCCACTGTGGAAAGACCCCACACCTGGACAGAGAATTGAAAAATTCAAGGAAAAAGGATAAAGTCAAGATCTTATAAGCATTCATGAAAGGAAAACTGGAAAACCCACAAGCTTGAAAAAAAAAATCAGATTTTCCTGAGAATTCTCATTAGCAAAAATTGATGCTAACGGAAAATGCAGCAATGACTTCACAGTTTTGAAGGAAAAGTATTCTGATTACAGTGTTCTGTATCCAAGCACAACTAAAAATCAAGTGTGATGCCAAAGAGGTTGTTGCCCCCCAAATCATCTATTCTTTTACTCATCTACCATATCTCTTAATGTATATACCATTTCCTAACATATATTTTTCAGTCTTTTTATACCAATATTATATCCATGAGCATGTGTTTAAATATGTATGTAAAAATTTTTTATGTTCTCATCTCTTAAAAAAGTGGTAATTTAACTGTACAAGCAAATGAACTAAAGTAAAAGATTAATTCCAGAGGCTGGGGCTCCTGAATTTCCAACATCTCCACTTCCTCAGGGAGATAACTGTGCGATAAGCATGAAATATTTTGAAGTCATGACTCTACCGAGTCTATAGTTAGTTCAGGAACAATTTAGTACAACAGCAACAAATTGAATAATACCAATTATAAATCATTTTGTTTCCAAACCCAATTTAAAAAGTTTTTTCTATGCATCTTAATTGCTCCAGCAAGTATGCCATGTCCTACTGTCTATTCTCTTTTTATTTAAAGAAAATTGGATGATGCCCCATTAACCACTGACATAGTTTGAGTAGACGTACTCAGGTTGTAGGTAACATACTTCAACCCAAGCACTGTGAATTTATTCAAAAATTAAAATATACAACTATTCTAACACTATTTAGTATACATCATCTGCATTTGGACTCCAGTCAACTTTCATAAAATAAACAGATTCTAGTCCTTATAAACACTGTAAAGTACCTATAACATTTAAAAGTTTCTGAAAACAAAATTTCAAGACAGATGTTTAGAGGCTGCGTTTACTCAAGAAAACCACGTTTTCCCACCCTTGCCTCACGAACACTACTTCCTACCAAATGCCTGCAGCAATGACTTAAGCCTGAAGGTATCTAAGGACACTGGACCAACATTATAAATAAAGAGAAAATCCAAAATAACAACATTAAAACGTATATTGCAACCCGCCGAAATAAAAAGGGTGCTATGGATTTCTACTTAGGTTTAAACCAGACCGGGGCAACAAAGACGGCGTGACTAAAAAGGCGGTGCCACATTCACCCCTTGGCACCGAAGAACAAGTCTTTCCCTTAACACTGAAAGAAGCGGCTAGTAAGAGGGACTATCTCAACACCATCGCTGCCACTATGCGCCCCTATTCTAAACCTGACTCCAGTTAGCAGAGTAGGGGCACAAGCAGAGGCCTCCTGATCCGGGATTAGAGCCTAATTATCTGCAGGTGCAGTGGACACTTGGCGGGGGAGGTGGAAGAAAAAGAGTTAGGACAACCGCGGAGAGGGCCATACACGGACAGAGCTGGACGCGGCAGGCAGAGGAGAGAGAAAAGCAACTGGAGACAGAGAAAACAGCGAGGACACAAGGGTGTAGAGGGTACGGACAAAAGGACAATAGAGACGAGCCAAGACTGACAAGCGTCCAGAACCGAGTCGGACAGGGCCAGGGACAAGGCCTATACTGAAGCCGGCACCGCAGGTAAGCCCAGTTAGTTCCTGTCTCCCTGGGGCCTCAAAGATATCTTCCATCGACCTCAGTCTGGCCTCAAAATTATCTCCTCATTCTGGGGGTAGATATGGGACAACCCCGCTCTCCAGATGCCCCAGAAATAGCGGGGCAAGGCGGCAGCCCGCACTCACCAGGCCACGGCGGCCCGACGTAGTCGCCACATCCCGCGAGCGGGGAGGTCACACAGGCGCCGAGATGGCCACGTGGGAGCCCCCGTGTCAGCCCCAGCCCGGCTCCTGCTACAGGAATGACCCAGGAAGAGGCCCTCCGCAACAAGGGCACAGAGCAGCCGCTGAGGCCCTCCCAATGGCGCATGGACTTCCGCAAAGGACGTCCCGGCACCCGTACCCAGTCCGTCACGGAAACAACCACCCCCCAACCCCTCCTAGGAGGGCAGCACAAACGGTCCGCGGTGGAGTGGCGCATGCGCCCGGAGCCTCTGAAAGGCGCCGGCCCCACTCACTTCCCCCACCTCCCGGTTCACTCGTTATTTCCGGGTTGGAATTCGGTGTTGGATCCTCCCAGGACGAGGACTTGGAGAGGGGAGGGTGTGAGGGTTGGATAGGGGGAAGGATATGAAAATAGGATGGATGAATGGTCGCCGACGGAGCCGACTTAATTAGAGTGAGGTATGGAGGGAGCTTGGAGGTGCCTAGAGGGTACGCAAGAGAGTCATAAAAACCACTCTTGATGGTTGCCCCACTCTTGATGGGGGTCGGTGTTTAAAACCCGTTCCTATCCTTAGAACCGTCTTGGCAAGCAGGAGTCGTCATGAATAGGTTAAGTGTCCTAGAATCTCAGGATCAGATCTGGAAGGACCTTCAAATAGATCAGGCCAGCTGTGGGGTTGCAGTAAGTTTCTGTAGTTTGTCACGTCGTCAGAAAATGATTTTGTTCATTCCCTCTTAACCAGCCGTCCTCTGGCTTTGAATCCTGCCCCTCTGTTGAGGTGGTCCTTGTGGAGATCTGCAGCAGTCTCTTCTTGCCAGGGGTCGCTGACCCTCCCAGGAGCGGTCGCCTCCCCGCCTCCCGCATCTGCCCTCACCTGGCTGTAGGGACATCACCTTCTCCTAGCTCTACTGCAGCTGCTACCAGATCCTCTGCCAAACTTCTCAGTGCTGAAGGGTCTCAGATCTTGGAAATCCTGGGCCCTGTTTCCCCTCATCTATATTCACAGCCTAGGTAATCTCAGACAGCACCGTGCCTTTAAATACCATTTTCCTTTTCTAACGCAGCCATTTTATGCTTTGTGCCGAAACTGGGGCCCATGAAACGGATGTGACCTGTGAAAGGTTATGAAGCCAATTGGAGGCATAGCCAGGACTAAAAATCAAAGGGCCCTGTGCCCTGCTTCCACCCCAGGGACACCCACTAGGGCATAAAGAGAATTGTCTTTCCCATAATCGTTAGAATCACAGTTCTGTATAGACCCAGACACTGATAGTGAAGTTCTCAAATTCAAGAATCTGCTGATTTTCTTTATTTAATTTTGGTGACAGTTTAAATGGCAGGTCCAGACAGGAGCTTGTTAAGCTGACCTGTGAAGACCATACATTTTTCTAGGTTTGTAGGGGTGCACAAAAATTCCTTTGTTTTTTAAAAAATTAATTTATTTGAAAGGCAGAATTAGGGAAAGATAGGGAGACAGAGAAAGAGATTTTTTTATCCACCTGTTCACTCTCCAAATGGCAGCAACAACCAGGTCTAGGCCAGGCCAAGGCCAGCATCCTGGAACTCCATTCATGTCTCCCATGTGGGTTGTAGGGGGCCCAACAACTTGGGCCATCCTCTGCTCTCCCAGGAGCACTAACAGGGAGCTGGATTGGGAAGTAGAGCAGCCAGGACCTGAACTGGCACTCATATGGGGTGCTGGTGTCACAGGCAGTGGCTTAAACCACTGCCACAATGCTGGCCCCACAAAAATTTCTTTGTTACTATTACTTCTAAGTTGCTTTTTTTTTTTTTTTTTTTGACACAGCGCTGGCTATTGTGGACATTTGAGGAGTGAACTCGCAGATGGAAAGATCTCTCTCTCTCCCTGTCTTTCAAATAAATACATAAACTTGGAGGGAAGGAAGGAGGGAGAGAGAGGCCAGTGTTGTGGCCTAGTGGGTAAAGCCGCTGCCTGCAGCACTGGCATCCCATGTGGATGTGAGTTCTAGTCCTGACTGCTCCACTTCTGATCCAGCTCCCTGCCAATGCACTTGGGAAAGCAGTAGAAGATGGCCAAAGTCCTTGGGCTCCTGCACCCACGTGGGAGACCTGAAAGAAGCTCCTGGCCCTGGCTGTCACAGCCATTTGAGGAATGGACCAGCACATGGAAAATCTCTCTCTCTCCTCTTTGTAACTCTGCCTTTCAAATAAGTAAAATAATAATAATAATAATAATAAAAGACCAAATAACAACCCCTTTCTTTACATGATATAGAGCCCTGTTTTGCAGCTCTACTTCTAGTTGTTTATCCTACTGGATAATTTCAACATGTGCAAAAATGTGTGCATGGTGATGTTTCTATTATTGTATGAAATAGTAAAAGCTTGGAATCACGTCTATGTCCGTAGCTGGGAGTGAGTTAAATAAATTATATTCAGACTAGCCATGGAAACCTTTGTGTTAGCTCTGTACACCTTGCTAAGGCACACTGTTCCAACCTTCAAAGTTGCAACTTTGGAGATTTTTCAACTTTACCTTGATGCCAAAATGATATGCATTCATTAGAAAGCGTGCTTGAGTATCATACAACCATTTTGTTGTTCACTTTCAGTACTACATTCAGTATGTTGCACGAGATATCCCAACATTGTGTTATAAAATATGTTCGATTATTTTGCCCAACTGTGATATACAACTAATGCATGTGTTCCGAGCACATTTAAGATGGGCTAGGCTAGGCTAAAGCTATGATTTTGGTTGATTAGATATATTACATTCATTTTCAATTGGTGATACTCTCAAATCATAAAATCCTGCCACCATTCATCCAACTTCAGTCTGCAGACTTGTTTTGTTTGGCTTGTATACTGTTGGCCTATTCTGTATTTTAAAAATAATCAATTTATTGCCAACACTTAAAAACCAAGAAATTTAACTTTTAAATTGAAAAACAGCCTGGTTTGTCTTTTTTAAAAAATTTTATTTATTTATTTAGTTATTTGAGAGAGAGAATTACAGACAGTGAGAGGGAGAGACAGAGAGAGAGGTCTTCAGTCCATTGTTCACTCCCCAGGTGGCCGCAACGGCCGGAGCTGTGCTGATCCGAAGCCAGGAGCCAGGTGCTTCTTCTTCTTGGTCTCCCGTGTGGGTGCAGGGCTCCAAGGACTTGAGCCATCTTCTACTGCTTTCCCATGCCATAGCAGAGAGCTGGATCAGAAGAGGAGTAGCCAGGACTAGAACCAGAGCCCATATGGGATGCTGGTGCCATAGGTGGAGAATTAACCTACTGTGCCTTGGCGACGCCCCCTGGTTTGTCTTAACATATGAGACAACCTGACAGCATCAAACCTCCCTTCTTCCATGCAAAAAAAAAAAAAATTCTTGGAACTAGAAGCCCAGTAGTAGCTGTATTCTTCAGTCCTTCATTCATGTCTTCTCCCACAGTTTCTACTCCTTCACAAAATCGAATACATCAGTTGCTATTAAAATAAAGCTTTCACTTTTATTTTTCTTAGAATTAAGAATAAAGGGAGCTACTACTTATATAAAAAAATGACAAAATGGAAGACTGACAGGACAGATGTTTCCAAACAATGAGAGTATATACACATACATGAGTATACACATCTATATGTATGGATATAAAGGAACACAACTATGCAAGTAAATTATGTCATGTTGAAAGAATACAATTCAGTATGGCATTATACAGCAAACGTGTCTGCATTGCTCACCGTTTCAGGCCTGATCCAGCAAAGTATCACAGTTAATAAGCCCTAGTGAAAGGCTGGGTCAGAAGACTTGAGGAAGCTTGATCATGTGTGGGAAAAACACTTTTATTGTAAATCCTTTTAGACTTTGAATTTGTTAACAAGTACACCATTATTTACTTTTTTAAAAAACATTTATTTATTAACTTGAAAGGCAGAGTTACAGAGAGTCAGAGGTAGAGAGAGAGAGGTCTTCCATCTGATGGTTCACTCCCCAGATGGCCACAGTAGCCGGAGCTGCACTGATCTGAAGCCAGGAACCAGGAGTCTCCTCCAGGTCTCCCATGTGGGTGCAGGAGCCCAAAGACATGGGTCATCTTCCACTGTTCTCCCAGGCCATAGCAGAAAGCTGGATCAGAAGTGGAGCAGCGGGGACTTGAACTGGCACCTACATGGGATGCTGACACTGCAGGCAGCGGCTTCACCCACTATGCCACGGCACCATACCCATTATTTACTTTTTAAAAATATACATTAAAATATCTTTTTTGGGAATGGTGTCATGGTACAGTGGGTAAATATGCTGCCTGCAACACCAGCATCCTATATGGGCACCTGTTCAAGTCCTGGCTGCTCCGCTTCCCATCCAGCTCCCTGCTAATGCCCAGGAAAGCAGCAGAACGTGGCCCAAGTTCTTGGGCTCCTTCCACCCACCTGGAAGACCCAGAAGAAGCTCTTGGCTCCTGGCTTTGGCCTAGCCCAGGCCCTGCTCTTGTGGTCGTTTGGAGGGTGAACCAGTAGATAGAAAAATCTCTGTCTCTGTCTCTGTCTCCTCCCTCCCTGTAACTCCAACTTTCAAATAAATAAATATATCTTTTAAAAAGTTATCTTTCTGGCCAGAGTATGAAATAAACTTTAAACTAAATTCTCAGGTTCTCCAGGGAACTGAGCGACTGACCATTTGAAAGTCTCAAATCATTTACCTTGCTGTGTAAAATTACATCTTCTATATGACTCACTGAATCAGGAGTCTTTGGAAGGGGAGAGAAAGGGCTATTATTGAAATCTGAAATCTTTGTTTTCATGAGATTTTATTTATATTTTTACAATAAAATTTTGTTCAAAGTTCTTTCTGGAAGATCTCTAGGTTCCTTGAGACTGCGCTCTTTCTCTGTGGTTTCCTGAGAAGGAAACAACTGAGTTCCACATATTTGCACCAGCACCATCAAGCCCTCCGCAGCCTTCAGAAAAGCATGTTATAATCCTCATCAACAAACATTTATAGGTCATTCCCTGTGAACCTTGGTCTGGGGATCTATATATATATTTTAAAGGGTTTAAAGGGGGTTGTAAAACACTGTCCCTGCCCTCAACTACCCATGATCTGGTTAGGGAGACAGACCTGTGCATAAGAAGAAAAATAATGATGTGAGGTAGCACATGCTGGGGACCGAGTAAGAGGTGGCATGAAAATGCTGGCTTTGGCATGAGATTGGTGCTGAGGTATTCATGAGTTGTCTGGCTGGAAAAACCTTCAAGGCAGTTAGAAATCAGATTCCAGGGGGAGGTGAGGCTTGCAGTGCAGATTTGAAAGTTGTCTTTATGAAGGAGAAGTTGCACAAATATGAAATAGTTTGTAAATTATTAAATCCACATTATTTGTAACATTTATATTTTAAGACTCAACAAATTACGTGCAGTATAAGTACATATGCAAGAAAAAGAAATTATAGCATTGCATTTTTAGATGACATAATTTTTTAACATAGAAAACTCTTAGAAAAGTTTTTTTGAAAAAGCCACCAGAATTAGTTGACATAAGGAGGCTCTCAAAATACAAAGCCACTATATATATGTATACATATATAGATTTAAATTTTTATGTTTCCATATACTTGCAAAAACAACTCAATAGATATCAGATTTTAAGCCCTGAAACTTGTCATTGTTACCTTACTTAGAAAAAGGTCTTTGCAGACATGGTCACATTAAAGACATCGAGATGGTGATCCAGGTGGGACCTAGATGCTATCAAATGTGTACTCAGAAAGGACAGATTTCACACTTTTACACAGGCAGGCATTGTGAAGACAGAGGCAGAGCTTTGGGTGAGGCAGGGAAGAACCAAGGAATGTGGGCAGCCACCAGAAGACGGAACAGGCAAGCACCAAGTTCTGCTTTAGAGCTTTCAGCGGGAACATGGTCCTGGACCCCTTGATGTCAGCCCAGTGACGTTGATCATGGACTTCTCATCTTCAGAACTGTGACCGAATGAATTTCTGTTGTTTGAAGCTGCCTAGTTTGCAGTCATTTGCTAGAGCAGCCGCCAGAAATTAATACAACCTGGAAATTAACTGAAAAACATTTCATTCACTACAGCATCAGAAGAACACATTAAAATTAACCATCAGCTGGACAAAAGATGTGCAAAATCTGTACACAGGAAATCACAGAACACTGTTGAAATTGAAGAAGTCTTATACAAGCAAAGATATGTATTGTGCTCATGGCCTGGAGGACTCAATATTGTTAAGAGTCAATTTCCCTCCAATTAGTTTACCTATCCCATTCTCTACATAATCCCAGAAGGCATTTATTATAGAAAGTAACAAAGTATCCTAAAATTTATATTGAAATGCAAAGAGCTGAAAATGCCTTTGCCTCCTCGAAATGAACAAAGCTAGAGTATTTCTACTACCTGATCTCAAGACTTACTGTAAAGCAATTGTAAAAGGACAGAGTGATGTCAAATGGGGACTAAAAGATAAATGCACCAGAATGCAGGGGCCATGAAGACCTTCATTTGTGCAGTTAACTGTTTTTTGACAAAAGCACCAAAGTAATCTAATGGAGAAAATATTTGTTAGGGAATGGTGCTAGAACAACTGGATATTCAGATGAAAAAATATATAATACACATACACAAAATTCAGTTTAAATTTATACTATATGCAAAAATTAATATATAGTGTATATAATACATATTATATATAATATATTCATGAATAAATTAATGACAAGATACATAATATAATATATGTTGTATATATTATATATAATATATATAAGTTTTTAATCTGCAACATAGCCCTAAATGTAGAAGTAAAAACTAGAAAGCTTATTGAATGAAGTACAAGAGAATATTTTTGCAACCTGGGAGTAGGTAAAGATTAGTTGCCTCATAGAAAGTAAACACATAAAGTTAAAAGATTCATTAATTAAACTTTATCAGACTAAAATTCTCTTGGTCCTCAAATAATACTTCTGAAAAAATGAATTGACAAACTTCAAATTGGGAGAAAATATTTTTCGAGTACATATTTGATAGAGGACTCATATACAGGATATATATGAAATTCTTTTTTATATGGAATTCTTAAAACTCAGTAATTTGATTGCTCAATTAAAAATAAGCCAAGGGATAGATGTTTGACATAGCAGTTAAACTGCCTGGGAAGGGCACATTCTATTTTAGAGTGCCTGGGTTCCAGTCCTGGCTCTGTTTCTGATCCAGCTTCCCACTAATGTGCACCCCAGGAGGCAGCAGGGTGATGGCTCAGGCAGTTGGGTCCTTGTTACCCAGGTGGGAGATCCTGATTAAATTTCTGGCTCCTGGTTTAAGCCTGCCCTAGCCCTGGCTATTGCAGTTTCTTGGGGGAGTGAATCAGAGGATGGGTGATCTCTCTGTCTTTTTATTTCTCTCTGTGTGTCTCTTTCATTAATTTTAAATTAATGAAATAAGTAAACATAAAAAGCAAAATGGGTAAAATAGTTCAGACATTGCACAAAAGAAGATACAAATGGCCAAAGAACACAGAGGTGCTCCATATTATTAGTCATCAAGGAAATGCAAATTGAAACCGCAATGAGCTATCACTACCCACATATTTCCACGAAAACCGCTGAAAGTAAAAAGACTGACAAGATATCTTTTGGAAAGGATGTGGGGCAGCTAGAACTGTCAGACACTGCTGGTGGGACTGCAAAATGTTGCAATCACTATGGACACATACTTGACAGTTTCTTACAAAGTTCAGCATACACGCTCTTTTTGGTCCAGCAGTTCCAGTCACAGGGATTTATACAGCAGAAATTAAAGCACATGTTCACAAAAAAGGCTTGTATAACAATGTTCACAGCAACTTCATACACAATAGCCCTGAACTGGAACCAAACTGAACGTTCAGTCCATCAGCAAGAAAATGGTTAAGCAAACTCACACAATGAGATAGTACTCAGTAGCACACAGAAATGAGCTAGCTACTCTTACACATAATCACATGAACGACTCTCACAGATACGCTGATCCCAAAAGAGGATGCCCTGTACTGATTCAGTTTATTTGATGCTCTAGAACAAGGGAAAATGGGTGGAGAATCAGTGGAGAAGTTTCTTGGGGGACGGGAGTGTTCTGAGCTACATGGTGGTATTCATTGGTCAAAATATATAGCTAAAATTTATGCATTTCAAATTTCATATTTGTATGTGTGAACTCTATCTACGTAAATAGTCTATAAAAAGGAACTGAGTGAGGAGGGTGATGTGACGAAACTAAAATGACAATGATATTGAAGATTGTGGATGCTGGGCAGCAAATGCCTATGTTCTCTTCCCTATGTATGCATTTGAAAGTTTTCAGTATGAAAGTTTAAAAATGTATCAGATATTTCTTGTGAACATACAGAGAAGCATACAGAAGAAACATAAAATGCATCCACCAAGTCATTTCTCATTAGTGTAAGGGCAAGAAGCAGACGGGCATGAAAGGCAAGGCACAAAGGGCCTCTGTGCCATGGAGGTTTTTCTTTCTGCCCATATTATCTTCTTGTTGCTGCTGCAATAAATGACCCCAATTTAGTTATTAATGTGTTATTATTATCAATTTACTGTTCTGGAGATCAGAAGAAAGAAATCAGTCCTGCTGAGCTAAAGGAAGGGTGTCTACAGTGATGGGTCCTTTCTGGGGCCTTTAGGGAAGAACCCCCTGTGTTTTGTTTGTCTTTTCCAGTCTCTAGAGGCTGCCCACACTCCACTGCTTGTGAATCCTCATATAGGATATGCTATCCTTCATATAGGATATACTATCCTTCATATCTGTTTTTGTCCTTTTTTGCAATATTTTTTCACAGGCCTCATATTTTTTAATTCTATTATTCTAGGATGGAGGGTTTACTTTGTTTCAGGAAGCAAAGCATTTATTGAACAATAATCTTTAATTGTGCTCCATAGGTCTTTTTAAAAAATATTTATTTTATTTATTTGGAAGGTAGAGTTACAGAGACAGAGAGGGAGAGACACAGAGAGAACTTCCATCTGCTGGTTCACTCCCCAAATGGCTGCAAAGACTGGGGCTGAACCAGGCTGAATCCAGGAGCCAGGAACTTCATCCGGGTCTCTCATGTAGATACAGGGCCCCAAACACTTGGGCCATCTTGTGCTGCTTTCTCAGGTGCATCAGCAGGGAGCTGGATCAGGGAGCAGCCGGGACCTGAATCTGGTGCCCATATGGGATTCCTGTATCACAGGCAGGGGCTTAAATAGCTATGCTACAATGCCTTCCCTTGCCCCATGGGTCTTATGCTCAATGGTTATTCTTCCATGATTTTGTAAAAAAAGATTTATTTATTTATTTGACATGCAGAGTGACAGAGAAAGGAAGAGACAGAGAAAGAGATCTTTCGTGTGCTGGTTCACTCCCCAAATGCTTGCAACATCCAGGGCTGAGCCAGGTGGAAGCCAAGAGCCAAGAACTCCATCTGGGTCTCCCATGTAGGAGGCAAGAAACCCAAGTACTCGAGTCGTCATTTGGTGCCCCTCAGGTGCATTGGCTGGAAGTGAGAGCAGAAGCAGAGGGAGGACTCTGAGCCAGTCACTCAGCAATAGGATGTGATTGCTCCCAAGCAGAGACTTTATCCACGGTACCAAAACATCTGCCCCTCCTCCACGATTTTGATTAGAGGTTTTGTCATTATTATGCATATTCATATTTTTGATCTTTACAGGTATTTTAATGATTAATTAGAAAACAAACTGCACTGAGGACTGCTCCTCAAATACCCTGACTGAGAAAACGGAGCTCCATTGAGAATATTCAAGCTGAAGCCTTGCTTCTGCTCTACAAACTCATAAGGTAGGATACACTTTTGAAAATTGCATTTCTGTTATTTTTCCATACTTCTAATCGTCATCTCGTATTGAAAAGGTAGCCAGGTTTTGTCATTCCTTTGCCTTAGGGATATCAGTGGAGGAAGGATGGGAAACTCGAAGGCTCTTTTGGTCTTCTGTGAAAGCTTAGATTCAGTGCTAGGAATGGAAGAGAGGACCTTAGAAGCAATGTGGGAAGGTAGAGATTCCTAGAGACCTAGGTAGCGATTCCTAGGACAGTGTTCTCAAGCTCACCACCCTGAGACATGTCTGAGGGATCTTAGCCTCCTAAAAGATTGCTTTCACACAAGTAGAACCAGAAACAGCAGATCCCTCAGACTCAGAGGGATCATAGGTGCTAGGAATCAGCTGCTCCAAACTGCGAGACTCCTGATACCTGTGCCCAGTAATTACCAAGAACTATTTTCTATGCGCAGGGTTATGTATATTCCTTATATCAGCGTGAGGGAATACAATGACACGCTACTGTGCATTCTCTTCCCATCTCTGCATTCAGTGCTGTGTTAGTGGCAGCTTGAAATTAGTCATGCTGGCAGTATTTATGCCACAACAACAAACACTACAAATCAGGGCTTGATTTATCATTTTGTTGATTGTCTAGTCTTAAGAAAGTGATAGGAAAAAGTGATTATCACACTCTTCATAATGAGAGAGTAACCTACTTGTATTTTACTTTAAGTAACAGAAGAGCCACCAAAATGGCAGCAGTTGAATTTCCCAGAAGCCAATGAGTGCTCAGAGCTAAAGTTCAGTTGACTTAAAGTAATGCAATATTTAATATGCACCTGAGTTTGCAGTCTAAGATTCATATCTGTTCCATAAAAACTTCAAAATTTGAAAGGTAAGTTCAAAAGTTGAAGGATAAGTTTATTTTGGTACAAAAAATTGAAATCCATCAATAGTGTTCTCATAATATGCATTTTCCACAAATTCTTTGAAGATCTCTGTATGCATGATTCAAAAATTTCTTGCACCAAGATAAATGCATTTTTCCTTACTTTATTTATTTATTTGAAAGACAGAGGGACACACACACACATAGACACACACACACACAGATCTTCTATCTGTTGATTCGCTCCCCAAATGCAACAGCTGGGAGAATAGGCTAAGCCAAAGCCTGGAGCCAGGGACTCCATTTGGGTCTCCATGTGGGTGACAGGAACGCAAGTATTTGATCTATCATCTTCTGCCTTTCAGGTGCATAAGCAGGAAGCTGAGTTGTCAGAGGAGGTAGGACTCGATCCCAGGTGGTGGTTTAATCTGTTGTGCTACAATACTCCTAAATTCATCTTTTTAATTTTATTTTACACAAACTTTTGCAATACCCTCTACTCTATGCAGGGAAATGGAAACAAACTGAAGTGTTTTTGTTCTTCAGGGTTGTTCCCTGGGAGTATTAATAGATCCTGGCTGTTCTAAGAGCACTGAAAGCATGAGCCAGGTATCTAGGCTGGCTTCAGTACGCTAAGTTGCAACATATTGATCTGCTTGATAAAGGATGGACTTGGAAAGGAATTCTACTGCATCAGCAAAGAATCATGTGAATGGTTATGTTGTAGAACTCACCCTCTAGGTATCTCAGGACAACGGGATGAGAACTCTCAGTCAATACCAGTAAGCATTGTAGATGAGATGATGTCCATTTTGTGCTTTTATAAGTTCAAGGAACTGTGATTTTGAGCTTGACCTTAAAGGATGGATGTGGATTTAGACAGGCAAAGAAAAGCAGAAAAGAACTTCAAAAGAGCAAATTGTGAGAGTGTAGGTAGAGAGGAAGTAAAATTATTTACCTGGTGTTTTTAGGGCTCAATAAGAAAATCAATTGCCTGGGTGAGAAGAAAGAAAGAAGACCAGAGAGTAGGTTCAAAACAGATCAAAGAGGGGCTTGAATCATGTCCAATTATGCTTGGACACTTTTCTTTTGGAAAAAGTCACATAACTTATGCATAACTTCTCTGTAGGGAGACCCCGTGATTTGAATGTTGTTTTTTTTTTTTAAATATTTATTTATATTTGAAAGTCAAAGTTACACAGAGAGAGGAGAGGCAGAGAGAAAGAAAGGTCTTCCATCTGGTGGTTCGCTCCCCAGATGGCTGCAACAGTCGGAGCTGCACCAATCCGAAGCCAGGAGCCAGGAGCTTCTTCCCACTTGGGTGCAGGGGCCCAAGCACTTGGGCCAGCTTCCACTGCTTTCCCATGTCATAGCAGAGAGCCAGATCAGAAGAGGAGCAGCCGGGACTAGAACCGGCGCTGATATGGAATGCTGGCGCTTCAAGCCAGGGCATTAACCCGCTGCGCCACAGTGCTGGCCCCCTGAATGTTGTTCTAAAAAGATTAATCTATCTGTGAATTTAGTGTTTGTCCTAAGTGGGATAAAACTAAAAGTAGAAAGAAAAATTAGGAGGACCTTGTAATTACTTGAGTATGTTTTGACTTGGGTTATAATTATGGGGTCAAAATGACCCTAAATTTAACCAGCTGAATTTTCATTTCATAATGCTAAGATTGAAAGACAGTTATCTGCTTTCAAGATGAAGTTTTTTTTTTTGATGTCTTGATAATTTTTCCTTTTGGTTTTTGAAACATCCATGCCATCATGATTGCCAGTATACACAACCTTCCATCAGGGCCTGGGCTGGTCGTAGGGACACCGATGTCTTCATTGGCCAGTTCTGTAAGATGCTTTTATAAGTTGTTCTTTTCTGCTGAAACTCCTGAGTGGGTTCATCAGTACTTCCTGAGATCCTATGAAGTTCCCACTATGGATTAATACAGCCTTTTCCTGATAAATCTCCCCAGAGTTAGCTTCCATTACTAAAAATAAGAACCTACATTGATTCATTTTTTATTATTTGATACCATGACTCAGACATACACTAGAGTCACCCAGTCTGTAATTATTAGGTAAGATTTGTTCAGACTACATTTCACACATTGTACAAAGTCTAATGCCTTCTTCAAGAGTTCTGTAAATTCTGGCATTGACATTGTGGCGCAGTGCTGCTTGCCACACAGGCATCCCATATCAGAGTGCCAGTTTAAACTCTGGCTGCTCTGCTTTCGATCCAGCTCCCTGCTAATGTGCCTGGGAAAGCAACAAAGGATGGCCCAACTACTTAAGCCCCTGCTACCCATGTAGGATACCTGGATGGAGTTCTGGGCTCCTGACACTGGCTTGGAACAGCCCCGTTGTTGTGGGCATTTGAGATCGACCTAATAGATAAAACTCCCTCTCTCTCTCTCTCTCTCTCTCTCTCACCAACATTCTAACTGTGGAACAAGAAAACAAATAAATCAATCTAAAAAAGAGAATTCTCTAAATTCTGAAACAGGTTTAGTTTCTCATGGATGCTTTGGACTCAGAGCTTTTGCTTTCTAGAATTTAAGATTTCTCAACTGCTGTATTATTGACATAATAGGCTGGACCACTCTTTAATGTGAGTGGCTGACCGTGCATGGTAGGATTCTTGGCAGCCTCCCTGGCCTCTGCCCACCTGATGCCGATAGCTGTCCTTCCTCCCTGCCCTGTCCCAATCAAGACAGTCAAAGGTGCCTGTGGATTTTTGCCCAATGTTCTCTTGGGACACAATCATTCCCTGTTGGTGTTGCCCAGCAGCACCACAAACTAGTTGGGGGTGCTATGAACCCCCAAAGCAGGGTCTGCTCTCCTGCCGTGCAGAAAGCCAACCGCTGACTTTGGGGTCTGGAAGGAAGTAGGTGTTTATTGCCAAGTGAGAGCAAGGCGTCCAGCAGCTATTGCTCAATTCCCAGGCTCCCCGAGGAGCTAGAGGTGAAGGCTCCTACACATTGAAATGGGCTGAGAGATGCATGATCAGCTCATGCCCAGGTTCCCAGTTGGTCAGGGGTGCTATGACCTTTCTTTGATTAGTCCATGATACCATGCTCTTTAGGGAATTGGTGATGGCCAGGTGGGATCCAGTTGGTTTGGGGAGGTTATGTGGAAGTGGTGGTTGTCTTCTGCTGCAATCCTGTAGTTTCCCTGCCTGGACCTGGAGTTCCCTCAACAAACAGTCCAGACAATACTGGCCATCAAGGTTTTCTCCATTGGAGAAGCAAATGGCTTCTTGAGTCTGGTGATTAGGACGTTGTGGGAGCCAGCTGTGCAACTCTCTCAATTCAATGAATTCCTTTTGATAAAGGACAGGGAAGGTGCCTCCGGCTAAGGGAGACAGACATGAGGCTGGATCCTGCTTTTACATTCTAGGGGTTCAGTCTCATTGGGAGGCACTATTCTAAATTAATTCAGGAATTTAATTCTAAATTTAATTTTAAATTAATTCAGGAATTGGCATCTATTTTTCTCTGTTCCTTACCAAGTCAAGTTAGATTTCAAGTTCAGACATTTTTCTTCATTTCCACCTAAATTTAAGAAAAAAGAAACTGAAAAATGTCTCAAAAAGAATCTATACTGGCAGCAAATGTTAAAGAGATTTTGGATGAATAGAAATATTTTCAATCAGCATCAAATGTGTTGGGTTACGGCCATTTCAACTGCCCGCCTGCCTAGCCATGGCATTCCACAGCCCCACTCCCTCACAGGCAGGGGCCACTTTCTTCAGTGACCACCCATGAGCATAGAGTTCTGTGTATATGGACAAGCTCAGGTGTGGTCCCAGCAGGTCAGTGGCTCTGAGGGTGTCTTGTCTCAAAAATAAATGACTGATGTCATAAATAAGAGTATCAATTGTTAGCTCAACAACAGGAGTCACTGTGTACTTACTCTGTCCTTAATGTGTTGTATATGCAAATTAATGGTAAAACTAGTATTCAAACAGTACTTTATACTTTGTGTGTCTGTGCGGGTGCAGTCTGTTGAAATCTTTACTTAGTATATACTAAGTTGATCTGTATATAAAGATAATTAAAAATGAATCTTAATGAAGAATGAGATGGGAGAGGGAATAGGAGATGGGATGGTTTGTGGATGGGAGGGAGGTTATGGGGGGGAAAACTGCTATAATCCAAAAGTTATACTTTTGAAATTTATATTTATTAAGTAAAATTATTCTTTAAATGAATAATAAATGACGGGCTGGAGGCCTGTTCTTCACCAGCAAATGTATTTTAGATGTTAGGCCACTAGGAGGCAGGGTTGACTCATTAAACCAAGGTGTTTTTTTTTTTTTTAACTTTTATTTAATGAATATAAATTTCCAAAGTACGATTTATGGATTACAATGGCTTCCCCCACATACCGTCCCTCCCACCCACTACCCTCCCCTTTCCCACTCCCTCTCCCCTTCCATTCACATCAAGATTCATTTTCGATTATCTTAATATACAGAAGATCAGCTTAGTATACATTAAGTAAGGATTTCAACAGTTTGCTCCCACACAGAAACATAAAGTGGAAAATAATAGATGATTTTTTAAATGATGATGAAATCAGATCAGACCTATTGTCATGTTTAATCCCACATGAGGAGTAAGTGCACAGTGACTCCTGTTGTTGACTTTACCAATTGACACTCCTGTCTATGGCATCAGTAGTCTCCCTATGCTCCAGTCATGAGTTTCCAAGGCTATGGAAGCCCTCTGAGTTCTCCGATTCTTATCTTGTTTAGACAAGGTCATGTGATCCCTGTTAAACATAAGAGCGGGAATAAGAGAGGGAAGAGATGTATAATTTGGGACATGCTCAAGCTGACTTGCCCCAAATGGTAGAGTTAAAAACATAACAGGGGATTCCAATTCAATCCCATCAGGGTGGCATGTACCAATGCCATCTCACTATTCCAAGTGATCAATTTCAGTTCACAATTGATCATAATGAAAGGACTAAGAGTCAAAGGGAGCACATAAACAAGTCTAGTACCTGCTAACACTAACCGATGGAATAAATAAAGGGGAGAGTGATCCAACATGGGAAGTGAGATACTCAGCAGACTCATAGAATGGCAGATGTCCTAAAGAGCACTCTGGCCTCAGAATCAGCCCTAAAGGCATTCGGATCTGGCTGAAAAGCCCATGAGAGTATTTTAGGCATGGAAAGCCAAGACACTCTGGCAAAAGATCTCTGCGAGTGAGATCCCAGTGGAAAGAACAGGTCTTCAAAGAAGGAGGTACCTTTCTCTGAAGGGAGGAGAGAACCTCCACTTTGACTATGACCTGGTTTGTTTTGTTTTAAAATCTGTGCCAGTTTGAACCGTCAGTCAAGATGTAAATGCTGATGCTACCATCCAAGCGGCTTCAATTATTTTGACAAGTTGATACACAAAGGCAAAGCTGCTGTAATTTACAATAGGTAGCTCCCAATTACAGTAACAAGCACATTGTGTCTTAATTTTAGAATAGCTTTAGTTCCACAGAAAAATCTCAAAGATAGTACAGAGACTCCCCATATGCCCAAACCCTGTTTCCCCTATTGTTAACATCTGACTTTCATATGATATATTTATTACAACTAATAAACCAATGTTGACACATTAGTATTAGCTAAAGCATACAAAAATTTTGTCCAGATTTCCTTAGTTTTTAATCTAATGTCCTTTTTGTGTTCAGGATGCCATCTATGACAACACTTTCCATTTAATAGGCATGCTTCTTTAGGCTCCTCTAGACAGACTTTTTTTTCCCCAGACTTTCCTTGTTTTTGCTGATCTTGACAGTTTTGAATGAAACTGGTCAGATTTTTATAAAATATCCTTCAATTTGGGTTTGTCTGATATTTTCAGTGTTTGGAAGGGGTTTGGAGAAGGAGACGTCAAGAGGTGAGGTGGCCTTCTTATAATGTTAGCAGCATGACACATCAACTTGATGTTAACCTGGGTCACTTGACTAAGTGGGGTTGCTCAGGTTTCTCCACTGTCCACTTTCTCCTGCCTACCTGCTGCACTCTTTGGCAGGAAGTCCATATGCACAGTGCACACCTAAGGAGTCAGAAGTTATGTAACCTCCTCACAGGGACACTATTGACATCAATTATTTGGAATTGTTGTACAGAATTATCTACTCTCTCCATTTCTTCATTTACTCAATCACTTCTTTATATCACTATGACTTGTGGATACTTTATTAAAATTTATTTATTTGAAAGGCAGAGAGACAGAGAAGGAAAGAGAGACAAAGAGGCTAACAGAGATCTCTAACTCCTTAGGTCACTCCCCAATTACCCACAACATCCAGGATTGGGCCAGGCTGAAGCCAGGAGCTGGGAATGCAATGTGAATCTTTCATAAGGGTGGCAGGTGCCAAAATACTTGAGGCATCACTTGTTACCTCCCAGGATGCCCATTAGTGGGAAGCTAGTGTCAGGAGTGGAGCCAGGACTTGAACCCAACACTGACATGGGATGCAGGCATCCTAAACAGCATTTTAACCATTCTCCAAGTGCCTGCCCTGCTATTCATTTTATACTTTGTGCTTCCGATCATGTTTGACCAAATTTTGCACTGGTTAAATGATGATAATAGCTACCATTTATTGAGAGTTTATATATGACCCTTAGTCACTCTGCTAAGCCTTCTATGTGTGTCATCTTGTTTCACCTAAGAGCCATTGAGGGGACAGGTCTCATCCTTTGGTCCACATGAGGATCCTGAAGCTTACACAGATAGAGATAGACAATTTTCCCTGGCCATGCAACTGGGAAGCGGTAGAGAAGCAGGAGAGGAGCACTGGGCTGTGTGCACTCCAAGGCTGTGACGTTTACTGTGATAACAGGGCCTCACTGCTTTACTGGAGAATGGATGTGCTGACGGGTTGAGTTGATTGTATGAGCAAAGAAGAAAGGCGAAGGTGCTGGTGCTTGCTGCAGCAGGTAAGCTAATGCTCGAGGCACCACAGGCCACGTCAAAGTGCCTAGGTTTCAGTCCTGGGCTTCTGATTACAATTTTCTACTGATGAGCACCCTGGGAAGCAGCAGGTGCTGGCCCAATTACTTGGATATCTACCACTCATATGGGAAACCGCGATCGAATTCCTGGCTCTTGGCTTCCATTTAGTCCACTTTGAACCAGCAGATGGAAGATCTCTGTTTGTCTCTCTTCCTGCCCTTCAAATAAGAAAAACAAAATAAATAAATAAAAATTAAAAAGAAAAGGAAGGTGGAGATGGTGGCTGTGTGAGTCCTATTATCCAGTTTTTTGTCCTTCTCTTCACTAATACTTCCCTCCCCTTTTATCAAGAATAAATTTGGAAAAAAAAAGTCAGTAAAAATGCATTGGGATCTTGCTAATATGATATCATTTGTAATTAACATTTAATAAAATGGTCATGTGATAAATAATCAAGAAATGCATTTTTCCTAACAATGGAGTCTATAAATAGTCACCTCTCAAAAGACAGAGAATGAGGAAACAATTATTTATATTCTGTTTCATGGTTCACAAAGCATATTTCCATGTTCAATTTTTACAATAAGCTTTTAATTTTAGGTTTTAGAGCTATAGAAAACTCATGAAGACAGTACACGGAGCTCCCAAATGCCCTGCACCCCAGCTCCCCCCTTGCTGACATCTTACATTAGTATGGTATATTTACCATAATTAATCAATCAGTACTTTCATATTGCTATTAATAAACTCCATAAGGATTTCATATTTTGTTTGTTCAATCTAACATTTTCTGTCTGTTTCAGATTCTCATACAGCAGGGGTGGGAAATATCTGGTCTGTGGGGTACATAAGGCCCGTGAAATCATTGGTCTGGCCCTGCCAAGGCAACCATAGGTAGGTCTAGAAATTCAATACATCTATAGCAGGCTAATGTTTAAGTTGATAACTTTGTTTGGCCTGGGAATGATGTCATAAATATCCAAATGCCCCTTAGCAGAAAAAAAGTTCCCCAGCCCTCCTACAGAGTACCACATTACCGTTAGTTTTCAAGTCTCAGGCTCTTCTTGTCCATAACAATTTTTTAAACTCTTCCTGTTTTTGATGACTTTGGCAGTTTTGAAGAGTACTAAAAGGGTGGCTTGTAGCATGTCCTCCTATTGCAGTTTGTCTAAAGTTTGTCTTGTGATTGGGCAGGAATTCTGGGTTTGGGGAGGAAGAGCACAGAGCTGGAATGCCATTCTCACCTCCTCTGTTAAAGATGCATACTCTCAACAAGACTTGTCCCTGTTGGCCTTGACCCTGGCTGGAGAGGGTCCGTCAAGTTTCCCCACTGTGAAACTTTTCTTCTCCCTCCCATCTCACCCTGTCCGTGATGCGGTCTTTGGAAGGAAGTCACTGGGAGAGCCCACACTTAGGGAGTAGGGAGCCGTAAAACTGTCCTGGTGGGAGCATTGCTCCATCAACTCTTTGTATTTTTCCTCATGGAAGATTTGTTTCTTCTTCCCCATTTGTTTACTCATTCTACAATTTATCCATATCTATGAAATTTCAGGAGTATTTTGTTCTTTGGATTGTAACCCAATAGTGCTTTTTAAAATTTTCTTGCTCAAAGTGTTTGAACTTTGGCTACTGGGAGATCTTTCAGTTACTCCTGTATCCAGTTGATCTGCCTCTGCTATTTATTTTTAAGTTCTTTTTTAATTTAATGGAATTACAACAAGCTGCAGGCTCGTCTTATATTTGCTTCCCCTTTTCTATTGTCAGCCCTTTCCCTAAGAGCTTTGATTTCTTTTATTGGAGGGTGGTGATAGAAGCAAAGGTCTGGATGCTGTTTTTATGTAAACTTTTGTACACCACTGTGTATACTTCTTATTCTTTCAACAATTCTATGAGGTTACTAGACCTGTTTTGTATAGGAGCAACCTTCACAGCCATGTACACATTCTCCCAGCTAATTAAACATAGGACCTAGCCTCCAGTTTGGATTGAGGGTCGCTACACATTCACGCTCCTTTCTGTGTGTGTGTAGGGGGGAATAATGGTTACAGTACAAAAGGAGTGTCCATTATGGCCTGCCATTGGGTGAAAGATTTTGTACTGTCATTTGTCTCTCCAGAGAAAGAATCCACTTTTCTCCTGGAGCCCGTTGGCAAAGGAAGGTGGTGCTGCATCAGGTAGCCCCGTTCAACAGAGGGTGCATCCCCTGGATCTTGGAAGGGATTGCTTTGCCTGGGCTCACAAGTCAAGAGGAAGGGGAGTCCTTTTAGAGGAAATGCCAGGCTGGCTTCAGACAGAACCAGGGTCAATACGATATGGGAGAACCAGGGGCTGGGTAGAAGAAAGAAAGCAAGAACAACATTGAGACACAAAAATTGCTGAAGAAGAAAGTATCCTGACAGCAAAGAGAAGGTCCAAGGCTACAGCTACTTTTCCATTTCCTAGGGCAGCCAGGCAGTTCTGTGGGTCCTTAATGAGGATTCATTTCCTGCTACCAAGTGAGGCCCACAGGTTTTCTATCTGGATATTTTCTGTGTAATTAAACTCCATTGCATTTCTGACTACTCCTCTTTGGGAATACTGTGAATTTGGAGTTCATGGACTCTGTCAAAGTGGTTGTGAAACTCCTAATGGGGAAGCCAAAGCTTTGGGCTCTAGGAGAAATTGTGCTATAGCAAAATATATTTTTAATACATTTACTTTGATCATAACACAAAAAGCATATTTACTGTGGGAAATTAGATGACACAGATAAATGAATAGTGCGAAGTAGTCTCCTACATAGAGATATTCACTGGAAGGATTTTGCTCTGTTTGCTCTCTCTTTCCCTCACTGTTCACACCCAGTGAAAATATTGGACTCCTGTTTCATGTACAAATTTTCGTACCCTGAGACCAGCATTGTGGCACAATGGGTGAGTGCCAGTTCAAGTCACTGCTGCTCTGCTTCCAATCCAGCTTCCTGCTAATGCGCCTGAGAGACCTGGATGGAGTTCTAGGTTCCTGGTTTTGATCTGGCCCCACACCTAGCCATTGCAGCCATTTGGGGAGTGAAACAGCAGATGAAAAATTTCTCTTACTCTCTGTCTTGTCTGTTTCTTTTTCTCTTTGTTTCCCCATCTCTGTCATTCTGCCTTTCAAATAAAATAAGTGCATAAATCTAAAAATTTAAAAATTTGCTTACCTTGTTTTTCATTTAGCATTTGATTATAATTTTCACATTATTAAGTATTCCTGAAATTTTTTGTATTAATGGTTGCATTATATTCTATGAAACAGAAATATTCAGTTTGAATAATGCTATGATAAGTTTTTGTGCTCACACAGTTTGAATATATCCAAGATAATTCTCTTAGGAGCAATTTCTAAAAATGCAATAAAGTGGTGATAATCATTGTACCTGTATCATAGGGTTTTTAACAGGAAAATGAAATGGGTTAAGTTTTAACAATGTTTGCCACAAGGCAAACATTCGTGTTCTGTATGATTATTATAAATATATCCTGCTTGAGGGGCCGGAGCTATGGCTTAGCTGGTAAAGCCACCGCCTGCAGTGCCAGCATCCCATATGGATGCTGGTTCGAATTTCGGCTGCTCCACTTCTGATCCTGCTATGGCCTGGGAAAGCAGTAGAAGATAGCCCAAGTCCTTGGACCCTGCACCCACCTGGGAGACCCAGAAGAAGCTCCTGGCTCCTGGCTTCAGACTGGCGCACCTCTGGTCATTGCGACCAACTGGGGAGTGAGCCTCTCTTTCTCTCTGCTGCTGCCTCTGGCTCTCTGGCTCTCCGTAACGCTACCTTTTGAATAAATAAATAAATCTTTTTGATAAACAATCTATTTGATAAACATTAACATTTTTTGATAAAAAATCAATCTATTTGATAAACATTAACAGTCTTCCAGAAGAGATCTTTTCACTCTGATCATGAGTATGTCATTAATTATTTTAATACTAATTGAAAAGACTATGAATCATAATACTTGGTTTTGTTAGTGAGCTCTGGGACAAGAGATGGGCCTTGACCGAAAGGATTGAAAAAATGAGCAGGAGACCTTGTAAGGGGTGGGGGCAAAAGTGCGAACTATGCTGGAAAGGAGTGATGAGGCAACTACTGACGTTAGGCCTAAGGGAAAAGGCAGCAGTGTGTGTGTGTGTGTGTGTGTGTGTGTGTGTGTGTGAAGCTCGGGTAATAGAAGGAAAGTGTGGTAGGCTCTTATGATGCTTCACATCTTCTAAGGGCACAAAGGCACCGGCAGCCTGGGCTGCACATGCAGGAGCATTCATAGACTATTGAGGGCAGAACGCAGGCCGAGCAGGGCCGCAGGTGTGCTGAGTAAGGAGGGAGGCCAGCTGCTGCCCAGATGCATGGAATACTCAGATCTGGGGAGGGTACAAGCTGGAGACCATCTGTTCTATCATACGGACTTAAAGTATCATAGCAAAGGCAAGCCGGGAGAGCCAAATTTAAAGAGAATCATGGAGGTGTTAGGTTCCACTAAGTGAACCTGGAATTTGGGGCAGCAGCAGAAAGAGTGGCTTAAGAGAGCAAGGGCAGGTATATGACCCCCAGAGAACCACCATACAAAACGCACCTGCATTTCCCAGGGAACGAGACAGCCCACTGACACTGACTTCCTCCTTTCAGCTGCTGTGCCGGCGGTGCTGAGGACCAGGGCACTGGATTCTACACTGTCTTCCCTGATGCTCGTGACAGTCTTGTGACTGCTGTCCATGGGGTCCCTACCCCTGTGCTGAGCGGGTCACTCTGAATGCTCCGTCCTGATCACCTGGCACTCTCCAAGCACCCGTCAGTAAGCTGCTTTAGAAAGATGACACACTTCTCTTTGTTTTTATTTTTTATATTTGTAAAGAAAAACGTTCTCCAGTATAGTTATTTTTGACTTTTCCTATTATTTTTTTCTTTAGAAACCCTTATTTGACAGACAGTGGGCTGGGGATGTTTATGTTATCTTACTCATCCTTGCAAAACTCCCAGAGAGTAGAACAGTAGAACAGTATCCCATTTCATAAATGAAAAGCTGAAGCTTAGGGCAATTAAATAACTTGCCAAGCGTTTCATAGCTGTGAAATGGTGGAGTCATAATTTAAACTTGTGATTGTTGGACTGGAATTGGTTTCAGTGCAGCAAGGGTTTGGGAGATGAGTGGCAGAGGGGACCAGAGGATAAGACTGTCACAAGAGGCTAGAATCCCAAGTCCAAGGACTCGTTTGTTTAAATATCCTCTTATGCAGCCCAATGCACACACATGCAGTTCTGCATTTACTAAAATGGAATCATATAATACATAGTATTCTGTAGTTTTGTACTTTGTAGTTAACATTTCATGGATATCCTGTCTGGACAACAGATTTGCCTTATTCTTTTATCTCTATATTTTAAGAAGCTACTTGTTTTTATTCACTCAGCATGATGTTTTCCAAATTCCTCCATCTTGTTGCAAATGACCGGATTTCATTGTTTTTGACTGCTGTATAGTATTCTATAGAGTACATGTCCCATAGTTTCTTTATCCAGTCTACTGTTGATGGGCATTTGGGTTGGTTCCAGGTCTTAGCTATTGTGAATTGAGCTGCAATAAACATTAATGTGCAGACAGCTTGTTTGCTTGCCAATTTAATTTCCTTTGGGTAAATTCCAAGTAGTGGGATGGCTGGGTTGAATGGTAGGTTATATTCAGGTTTCTGAGGAATCTCCAAACTGACTTCCATAGTGGCTTAACCAATTTGCATTCCCACCAACAGTGGGTTAGTGTCCCTTTTTCCTCACATCCTCTCCAGCATCTATTTAATTTGTGAGATAGACACACATACAGATATCCCCTCTCCATTGGTTCACTGGTTCCCTCCCCAAATGTCCACAACAAATAGAGCTGGGCCAGGCTGAATCCAGGAGCTCGAAACTCAACCCAAGCAGTTGGGTGGCAAGGATCCAAGTACTTGAGCCATCACCTGCTGCCTCCCTGGATCTGAATTAGCAGGAAGCTGGATCGGAAGCAGAGGAGCTGGGACTGAGAACTCGGTTATCTGATATGGGATGCAGGCATCCCATGTGCAGCCCAACCATTGTGCCAAATGCCTGCCCTCCGACCTTCTAGCATTTGTTAAATAGTACAAGCACAACATAGCCATACGCAGCAAAATGTAGATTCTGTGCTTCCACCCCCCGGGATTCAGATTTGGTAGATCTGGGCTGGGACCAGGGTGTGTGGGGTATAGAAAAGCTCCTGAAATGACTGACGTACTCCAAGGATGAGTAACCACTTCTAGTCTATGCTGTCTCCTGTGGGATGAATGAGATATAAACAGAGCAACCAAGAAAGCATGAAACCAGCCAGCAACCAGAGAAAGACTGAACAGAAGGGGGAGAAGACTGGGCTCCATTCCCAGCAGAGGGAGAAGTACAGTTACAGTCACATGGCAGACGCACATGGTGTTTCATAGGGGTGTGCAAAGGAGGGAGGCGCCAGGACAGTGACAGAGATCGGGTTGTAAGTTGGGGGACTAATTTTAAAATTGGATCTATATGGCAAGCACAGTTTTTATTTAGATTGTTTATTTGAGGTGCCATGCTAGCTGGGAGAGAGTTTGAATACTGGATTTTATTTTATTTTTTTTGCTCAGGAGGTAATCTTCCCCATTACCAATTTGCTTAGGGCTTTGGAAGACATATGGAATACACAAATGAAAGCTCTGACTGTCATTAGTCATTCATTTCAATTCTTTTTCCCTCCCAAGGCATCACTGATGTATCCTCTTGATGCTCCTCCCTCCATGTAGCACCTCACTTACAGATGAAAGAGGTAACCAGCATCAGTCAGTACAAGCTGGACTTTTGGAAGGATATTAAACAAGAGGGCCCAGGAGTCAGGTGGAGTTCTAGCCTTGCACCTTTCTCCATTCCCATCAGGTACCTGCTCTTGATTCCCCACTGGGGGCTCAGCCAAGTTCCCCATCATTCCAGACCCACACAAGGGCACTGAATCCAGCCTGGACTTGTTCTCCACTGTTCAGCACCAAGTCACAGTGCCCACGAGTCTACCCTGAGGCTCCTGCTAATTGGGCTCCTACTTCATTCCCAAACCTAAGGTCCGCTGTGGGTGCTGCCATTCCCAGGTTCCTGTCTGGAGCCCTAGATTCTTCCTAGGAGTAAAGGTTAACCTTTCTCTTGCTTGACTCCCATCTGGAATTGGAACACTGCCCAGGCTCCAGGTTTCTGGTTGCAGCTTAGTCACTAGAGGTCAGGCCCCTTGGATCCAACTTCCTGTCTGGATTTCCAAGTATCACTTGCCCCACTGCTGGACTTAGCTGTGTGTTGGGGAGTTTCCACTTTGTCTCGTGGTTTCTTTCTTCTTCCACCTTGGATTACTGCTCTTCTGAGCAGTAAGCAAAGATTGCTATCAGCTTCCATTGCCTGGATGATTGAACGTCTTCATTAGCACCTGAAATTTCTCCAGTTTCCCAAGCACAGATTTTTTTTTTTTTACTTGGTTGGGTAGGGCCAGTGCTATGTTCCAAGTCCTCTCAATGTTGTCTAAGAAATTGGGTATGCCCTAACACGTCCATGATCATAGCTTTATACAACTGGTGAGTTCTGGAAAACTTCAATTTAAAACAATACTTTATAAATGAAATCTAGTTTTAAATATTCTAGGGAGTTTTTTTTTTTTTACTAAAGATTTATTTATTCATACGAAAAGGAAAGTGAAGAGAGAAAGAAAGAGTGAGATAGAGAGATAGAGATAGACATAGAGAGATTGATCTTCCATCCATTGGTTCATTCCCCAAATAGCCACAATGGCCATGCCTGGGCCAGACCAAAGTCAATGACCCTGGAACTCCTTCTTGGTCTCCCACATGGGTAGCAGGGGCCTAAAGCACTTGGGTCATTTCCACTGCCTTTCCAAGAGTGTAAGTTGGGAGACAGATTGGAAGCAGAGCAGCTAGGATTCAAACAAAGCACTCCTACATGGGATGCCAGCGTTGTAAGTGGCAGTTTAACCTGCTGTGCCACAATATCACTCTCAGGAGATAATTTTAAAGAATCTTATTCTGATTCCTTTAAAAAAAGTGTGAGTAGCAAGATGGTGCTAAATGAAGTACATTATATACAGGACTTGAGTCTCAGCTCTCACAGATTATGGCTGGGGACAAACTGTCACACCGTCTTCCTGGATTATTTTTTCTTTACCCTGAGACATGATGAAGATTCCACAGCAAGACCTAAGGCCCAGTCTAGTTGTAACAGTCCTTGATTCTTAATCATCACTCCCTAACATGTTTTGTTTTGTGTATTCAAATGTTCAGATTACACATTTTGAGAATGAAGTGGACTGGCCTGCTGTTTCTGCACGGGGACTCTTTCGGCTTTTGTTTTTATAGACTGTCCTTAATGACCTGCAATTGTCGCACCAGTTGCCAGCTAAGGAAAGCATCCCAGAAGGGGTGCTGTTTTCCCTCCAGAGAGAGGCTTTTTATTTATTTTTGGAAATAACAGAAAGCAGGGGGGCGGTGGGCTCGTCGGCACATGGGAAAATAAACCACGGTGAGCCACCCTGCAGAGGGTCAGAATCCACTGCAGAGTGGGGATGGTTAAGAGCAAATCCTTTGAGAAACAAAGACAGCTGTTTGCCTGCTCTTTTCTCCTGTAATTAATGGGGAGGCCTTGTATCTTTATATTAGACTCTTTAATCCAAAGGCTGCTAAATGTTTTACAAATGCTAATTAATTCAATTAAACTTCATACCACCACCTTGAGGCAAGTAATTCCCCTTCGGGACATCAGATCTTTGCTGGCCACAGTGTGGTCCACAGATTAGGTATTAGTAAGGATTAGGATAATTAGTAATAACAGTAAAACCTGGAGTTTAGGTGAAGCTCTGTAAATAAGACCTCAAGTACTTTACGAATGTCAGATATGTGTAATGAGCACTGAAGGGCTGTGATGACGAGGCAGAAACGTTGCCTTTGTGCAGGTTCCACTCCATGCTGAGGACACATGACCTTGAACGCTTCCTTGTGACCCTTTATGACTCAGTTCCTACTGCTTCCCAGTGGGGGTAATAATATGACTCACCTGCCCGCATCACAGAGATGTTGCAAGGAGTAATGTTTGTAATGTGCTGTACAGTTCTCAGATGAAAGATGGAAATTAATGCATGATGAAACATTACCACCACGTATCTTCACACCATCTGAATGGGCTATGCCAGTGCGATCGCAGCAGCTCTACTGTCCTGGCAGAGGAACTGCTACTGCCATCATTTCTATTTGACACCCAGGGGGTGAGAACGGCTCAGAGCCGCAGACCTGCTCCTGGGATAAGCAAAAGCAAGCTGAGATACTGGATCAGCAAAGAGGTAGCTAATTATTCTCTCTCTCACTTTCCTTTCTCATCTGATTTGAGGTAGAGTATTTGAGGAGAAATGAGAGACAGAATTAGAGATTGGTTGAAATAACTTTTCCTCTTGGACCATAATGTGTGCAAACCCCCTGGGCCTTAGAACTAGACTCATGGATTGGAGAGCTGCACGGTCAGTGTTCCTTGTCAACAGTGCTTGCCCTAACCATGTCCTTTTATCTAGGTCAGCAGCTTCTGCCTTCAGGTAGCTTCCCTGGCCTAATCCCCTACTTCAACTTCATCTCTCACTCCAGTGTAATTAACATGTGTTTTAGAAAATATATTTTAGTATGGGTCTTGATTCCCAATACATTTAATTTTCCCAAGCTATACTTTATTATTCTCTGTTCTTCATCTATCTCAAGTTTTAGCATATTGAAGTTAATAGAATAAATGTTAAATGGATGAATGAATGGAATCTGTCAGCAAAATGTTGAGATTAGAATCCAGACCATGGGGCTGACACTGTATCCTAGTGGGTAAAGCCACCACCTGTGGTGCCAGCACCCATATGGGCACTGGTTCGAGTCCCAGCTGCTCCACTTCTGATCCTGCTCCCTGCTATTGTGCCTGGGTAAGCAGCAGAAGATGGCCCAAGTGCCTGTGCCTCTGCAGCTGTGTGCGAAACCCAAGAGAAGCACCTGGCCCCTGGCTTCGGATCAGGCCAGCTTAGGCTGCTGAGGCCATTTGAGGAGTGAACTAGTGGATTGAAGATCTTTCTGTCAATGTCTCTCCCTCTCTCTCTCTGTAACTCTGCCTTTAAAATAAATAAATCATGAAAAAAAAAATAGAATCCAGACCACACAAAATCTACATCTGCTATTCTCAATGCACCATACACAACCTGTGAGGCACATGTAGTACAGAATGGAGATATTGAACAGGCAAAATTACAGGAAGAGAGACTGATTTAAAGAATAAATTTTCGGGGCTGGCACTGTGGCATAGCAGGTTAAGCCACCTGCAGTGCCAGAATCCCATATGGGTGCTAATTTGAGTCCTGGCTGCTCTACTTCTAATATAGCTCTCTGTTAATGCACCTGGGAAAGCTGCAGAAGATGGCCCAAGTGCTAAGGTCCCTGCACTCCCATGGGAGACCCAGATGAAGCTCCTGGTTTCAACCTGACCCTGCCCTGGTCATTGCTGGCATTTGGGGAATGAACCAACAGAAGAAGGACATTCCACAACTCTGCCTTTCAAATAAATAAAATAAATATTTTTTAAAAAAGAACAAATTTTCCAACAGGGTCCCAAGGGAAATGGAAGATTTATCTTAGAGGGTTCCAGGAAACTCTTTACGCATACAATATTCTGTAGAAGGATAGAGTCATGTTAGCACTTTATGCATGCGATGCTTTCACAAGAGTACAGGCTGATCAGGAAAAACACATATTTATATTATCAGTACTTGTTGCATTAAGCCCAGACCCAGGTGGGCATTCAAGGCTTGCATGGAATGACCATGATCTCTGTTTCCTGACATATCTCATTTCCCTTATCATCTTGAACATGCCTCTTGCCGGCAGTGGGGGTGATGGGCTTTAAGCAAGATCCTGTGTTTCCCCTTCCAATGGTTTGTTCAGTCCAAATGTTCTTTCTTTTGGCCGCACTCCCTCTTTGGGCACCAGAGTCAGCACCATTGAATTTCTTTCTGTTTACTTTCTAGATTTTTCTCAAATGCTTCCTTCACAAAGAGGCTTTCCTGATCATGTGAGTGCTGTATTCCACACAGGGCACATTGGATGTGTCAAATAAACCTGCGGAAGCTATGGTGTTTTAGTAACCAGGATCATGGATTGGGAGAGTTGCATCGCTAAGCCCATATAGTCACTCAGTCACTTGCTGCTTTAATATAGGTGAGTTAGTTTTTCCTGCACCTGTGTTGCCTTTGCTACTGAATGGGGGTGGCCATGACAGTATCGACTGTATGCAATGCTGTGTGCAAACTGTTTAGATTCCTGCCTCTTGTGCGAAAACCCATGGTGATGTTCTCTCTGCTTTCCCACAGAATCTCACCCTGTTTCTAGATATGCGTAGACCAGCAGCACTGAGGGTGAGCCCTGCTCGTGAGTCATGCTGTCAGAGGTCAGACTTGGATGTTTCCCAGGAGAACTCCTGGGAAAAGTGAGGAAATCGTCCTTATTGCAGAGTGAGTCTCAGATCTGCGGGGCTACCTTGCGGCTGATGAGTTTCCATGGACGCTTGGCCCTTCTTTTAAGATGTTTTAATGACATTGGGGACTTAGCTCCTGTTCAAGGTGCCTAAATGTTGTTAACAGCATAATTGCATTCATTTGCTGGGATAAGTTTGTGTGCAGTTTCTCCTCTAACTGCACACTCGTCTGAATCCCACAATGGGTCAGGAGTTGCCAACTGCATTTGGAAGCCAGGCCGGCAGGAAAGAGGGCAGGTATTGCCAGGTACAGCTGGTAAAATGAAGCTACCTACCCTTATCTGCCCACTTCACATAATTATACCCTCCAACCCCAGCTCTTAAGATGCAATTTGGAATCTTATTTTTCCTCCCTCTGTTAAATAAATATTTGAGTAGCCCTGCTGGCTAGGGTTATGAAATGTTCACTTATCTTTTTGAGGTATACTTTTTTATAAAAATATAAACTATTATTTCCATATAGTTCACCCTTTGAAGGTGGGCAAGTCAGTGAATTTTAGTATTTCACAAAATTGTGAAGCCATCACTGATTCCAGATCATTTTCATTATCTTCCCTAAAAGCTCCATACTCCTTGTATTTTGACTTTGGGGTAAAATGTTAATTTTATTTTTATTTATTTGGTCAGATTGCTCTAGTAATTTTTGTCAACTCGCAGAGCTACATTTTTGTAATCAATATAATGAGTTTGCTTTGCTTACATATTTTTAATTATATTTTACCATTTGCTCAAGGGTTTTTAAAGATATTTATTTATTTACTTGAAAGGCAGAGTGACAGGAGGAGGAAGAGAAACAGACAGGGGCAGATTTTTGGTCCACAGTTCACTCCCCAAATGACTGTAACAGTCAAGTATGTGCTATGCCGAAGTCGGGAGCTGGAGCTCCATCCTGGTCTCCCATGTGGGTGACAGGGGTCCAAGTATTTGGGCTATCATCTACTGCCTTCCCAGGCTAATTAGCAGGACATTGGATCAGAAGCAGAGCAGCCAGGATGCGAACCAAACTGGTTTTCCAATATGGGATGCTGGTAGCACAAGCTGCTGCTTAACCTGCTGTGCCCTCGTGCCAGGCTCTGCTCAAGGTTTTCTACACACCATCCACAACCCCCCCCCCACTTAGTCTTGGTTTATTAGGGTTACTCAAGTGAGGCCGGGGGCATCTGAGCCAGTAGTTATCCTTAGCTTGAAGGAGACTAGACACTGTGAGGGTGAAAATAACTATTCCTAACTGAAAGCCTCCTGTTTGCTGGGCAGTATTCCTCAGAAAACTGGGGCAGTAGAGTCTATTATTATATATATATTACATGTGAGTAGGTAGAGGTTTAGGGAGTTTATGTAACTTTCCATGTCCCCAGGAAGCTGAACTAACACCTCATAGAGCCTGCATTTGAACCTGGGACCCCAGATTCAGAGCCCATGCCCTTAATCACCACACATGGCCACCAGCTGTCCAGTCGGGTGTTTAGTCTGATGTTACCAACAGCACCGTGCCATCTGCTTGTGCAAATCTCTTGTTCTGCTGCCTCGGCAGTCCTGCCAGATGTTGCCAGATGCAAAGGGCCAGCTCCTACAGGGTGGATGGTCACTGAGCAAGGCCAGTGCAGACAAGCAGCTGGAAGGCAGGTGTCCTTCCAAGTGTGTGTGCCTCTGCATTACATCGCGACCGCTAATAGGCTTTTTTCTCTTCTGACCCAGCTCTCCTAATAACACCCCACCTTCTATCAGGCTTCAAGTCTCTACAGCAGCCCGAGGGAAGCAAACACGACTTGATTTATTCATGTAGTCCCTGTGCTCAAACAACGCTTATTGGGTAAATGTATGAATGAACAAAAAAGGAATCTTGCCTTACAGTCCCTTGAATGTTTTATTTCTAGATCTCCCTAAGAGTTTAGTTACCCACATTTCAAGAAAGGGAGACTTCCTGGAACAGCTTGGTTATACCTTTGTCTTTTCCTGTGTGTTTTTCCAAAAGGTAAGCTTAATTCCACACAGATATTAAGTGGAATGTTCTTTGTATGTACAAGAAAATGTGATTGCAAAAATCTTTTGAAGGGGATTAGAGATCCTTTGTACCTTTTGGAAGCAAAATGAATGGAGGTACTATTAAAAACCCGAGAGGGATTGGGACTTTCGTTAATCAAATAAAACCTGCAGCTCAGCCAGCCTCCCCCACCCCAATTCCTTCCTGTGGGGAAGGCAGACCTGGGAGTTCCTGCACGGGCTCCTCCCTGGAAGGGTCCTGCCCACTCGGGATTGTCCTGCTGGCTTTGCAGTCAGATGTCCGATGCTGGCAGGCACCGGGCGGGCAATGAGTTCTTTGCCTGCAAGCTGGGCACAAAAGGACCGGCATGGGAGCAGCCTCCTTTGAGACAGCTGCGTTTGTCAAGGAGCAACCAGAAATTCCTGTGAGCTGGGGATGACTAGTGGGAGGAGTTCCGTGTGCCAAGTGCTGTCATTTGCTGAGAGGAGGTGTGTGCTCCAGGAGTGTCAACCTGAAGGATCATTAACTCTTTCCGTCAGCTGGGGAGCGGCGGTGGCTGGGCGCGCTCGTCCTGGCTGTGTGTGCTCAGCGAGGCCAGGCAGCAGCCGAGCAGGAACTTTTTCATGGGGGAGCAGTTTGAGAAGGGCCAGCATGCTTTGCTCAATGAAGGAGAAGAGAATGAGATGGTAAGACCCTAGCACACTCCCCTCTTCTCATTCCCCGGGCCTCTGACAGCACACACACGCACGCACACTCACATGCACACTCACACACGCTCTTACGCACTCCTCTGTGACTTGGCTCTGCTGGTACATGGGAAAAAGTAGTGTCCAAGACATCTCCCTGTCTCAGAAATGTTACCTCTGACGGCAGACGTTTGCTAGAATGAACGTACTGTGTTCATTTTTTATCAAGAATGCTTCCTTTGAAAATCAAACAGAAGGGGCACGAAGCTCAGTACGCCCTGCTGGTTGCCTCTTGGGCCTCTTAGGTATAGCAAGTTCTGTTTGAAACCTCGAGTCCCGTCAGCCATCCCTGACGAGGGGAGTGAGGAGCAGGGTGTTCTCTGATAGCAAGGAACAGGACATCAGCAGGGAAGCTGCAGCGCACCCGGTCTTTGACCTTCTCCTCTCGCACGTCTCGTTCACCGAGTCTGTTGGACAAGGAAGAAAATACCAACAACTACCTATACACTTGTCTGTTTAATTCTGGAGTTTTTATCCGTAGTTCCTGAGCTACAAAGATGTGCCACAGAAAACTTTCTCTTGTTGACTGGCTCCCTTATTTTGGATATGTTCCCCTCTTGGGAGCTGCGGGACAATCAAAGATAACTCTTAACGCTCTTGCTGAATTTCAAGCTATATTTCTCAATCACAATGTAATCAAGAGAGAGAAGTGTACGCTTGTGCTTAATAAGGTCTTTCTGCTAATTGTGTAAGCATAGTCTTTTATGCCAGTAATGATGTAATTAAAATGTTAAAATGGGATGCTCTCATTCTATAATAGCATTTTATCTGTCTGGAATTAATATATAAATAACAAACCTGAAAGATATTTCTTAAAATGTTTTTTTTTTCTTGGTTAATTGCTTTAGCCCTGACTATTACATTCTTTGTTCTAAAACTGGTCTTTCAAGTCTAATCTACTTACCTGTTCCTATAGCAACAGCATTTTTTTTTGCACCTTCAAGAGTAGATCCCTTCCTCTATCAAAGATGAAAAAATCAGAAAGAAATGAAAGGCATCTTCATTCAGGTGACTTTCTTAGCCACGTCCTTATTTCTTTCAGATTTGACTGCCAACAATTGCCATTAGGTCCTACACAAACTTCTCCAGAAATTACTTTCTGGTTCTGCGTTAGAAATTTCCCTTATTTCTTCATAGAAGTACTTTCCTTACTCTTGATATGAAGCTGGACATTTTACACTCGTCTTGAATACCTTTCACCAGAAGGCAGCTGCTCCTTCTTCCTGTGATGTGTTTTGCCCCCCCCCCTTATCTAGAAACACATCACTTTTCTCCTAAATAGTCATTCTGCTCTTCAACAATGCATCATTCAAACATTACTAAGAAGCATCTACTTTCTCGCAGACATTCGTGCTTCTAGAGGCACTACTGCGCCTTCCCCAGCCTCCACGTTCCAACATGGCGATTTTGTTATGGCTGAACTTTGCAGCAGCACCACCAGAGGCGAGAGGATGTCAGCCTCGCTTTGTATGCAGTCAAAGCCCTGGTAGGCTTTGCTCTGTGAGGGCCTTTGCTCTGGCCAGGGACACTGTGTTTTCTAGTGAGGAGTCACTGGGCCAGCGTTCTCAGCAGAGGTGCAGCATTAGTATGCACTCTGGAGCTCCCAGCCTGTTCCACTTGGGGAAACCTGGCCACCTGCCTGGTGCTGTGTCTGACAGTATGTCCCTCTTTCACTCACTCCTCCATCTCTCACCCGGAGCACCACCCTTCAAATAAGTATCAATATATCTTCAACATACCCTAGGCATTCTTATACTGATTTTTAGTTTGCAAACTATTTGCTTAGCCACTAGTTAATTTAGTTTTTGCCATAAACCTGTAAGAGAGGTGTTATGAGCCCCATTTTGAAGATGTAAAAACTGATGCCCAGAGAATTTATGGAGATTAAATCAGCTGGTAAATCCAGGAGCTGAGGCTCCACATAGATTCATTTAAGTTGGCAGCTCTTTGGTCTCTGGACTTGAACATAGCCCATTGATACCTTTTTCAGTTCTTCCCAAGGGCATATTCTTTAACAGGAGAACATACTTCCTCCCTTCATTAGACAAAGCTACGCAGAACATCTGATCTCCTTAGATTCTCCAGCATCTGTTCTGTTACGCGTGAGTTGTATTTCCTGAATGCACCAATCCCTTTGGCTTCTATATTAATCCCCTTAGAAGCCAAGATTGTCTAGAAATGTGTCACCCCAGTGTTTACAATGTCTTGTTTTGTACTATAGCTTGAGTTCGTGACTTTGCAAAACTCATTCCTCTGATTACAGAAATGACTGCAAATTTTAAGAGGAGATAACATTCTAGGGTTTATCCCCCATGTTAAGGAAAGAACAGGAGTTAGTTAGTCACAGGCCAAAAGATGCCTGGGATTATCTTTCATTCTAGAATAAAAGAAACAGCAATTAAGTAGTAACTCTAGGTGAACTGAAAGTTAAGTGTGAAATGAGACAGGAGCCACAGGAAGAAAGGATTTATTGGAAATTATCTTCAGAAAAGGTGTTCGTGGAAAGACCTCAAAGAAGAGACTCCCAGAGACTGCAAGGATGCACCAGAGGCCTGGCTCTTACTGGTCTGGGGCCAGCCGCATACCCAAGCCAGCCTCAGTTTTCTAATCTGTGAAAGTGTGGAACAGTGTCCTTCCTACCCTGCCTGGCTCACGGGGCTTGTAGGAGGAGCCACTGAGTCTATCTATGTGGAAGTGTTTTGAGAAACGTAAAATCTGGAGATGTGTGAGCTGCTATTGTGTAAACAAAGGTAAGAGTATTAGGGGCCTTCACAATTAACCAACTAAATGAATACTACTCCACTTAAATGAGGCCATCTCCTTTCATTCAATAATGGCAAGAGGAATACACACTTTTATCCTCTCTAGAGACTATTTACAAGTGGAAAGGAGCTGAGTTACCTTATTGCCTTGCAGTGCTTACTTTAGGAAAACACCTGTCTAGGGACTCAAGTTTCTTTATTTGTAAAGTGAGAGTATCTCTAGGAGCTCAAATCCCTTTGACTTCTGCTATAACCTATTTTTACTTTGAAATATCTTGGGAACATTGAGTGTTCATTTCCTTATACCATGACTGAGCTATGATAGCATGGATTCATTGGTTCAAACAATGCCCTACAGAAACCAGAATCAATCTTTCTTGCTTTCTTTCTTTCTTTCTTTCTTTCTTTCTTTCTTTCTTTCTTTCTTTCTTTCTTTCTTTCTTTCTTTCTTTCTTTCTTTCTTTCTTTCTTTCTTTCTTTCTTTCTTTCTTTCTTGACAGGCAGAGTGGACAGTGAGAGAGAGAGACAGAGAGAAAGGTCTTCCTTTGCCGTTGGTTCACCCTCCAATGGCCGCCGTGGCCGGCGCGCTGCAGCCGGCACACGGTGCTGATCCGATGGCAGGGGCCAGGTACTTCTCCTGGTCTCCCATGGGGTGCAGGGCCCAAGAACTTGGGCCATCCTCCACTGCACTCCCTGGCCACAGCAGAGAGCTGGCCTGGAAGAGGGGCAACTGGGACAGAATCCGGCGCCCCGGCCGGGACTAGAACCCGGTGTGCCGGCGCTGCAAGGTGGAAGATTAGCCTAGTGAGCCGCCAAGCCAGCCAGAATCTTTCTGAGGAAGCGTTTTGTAGCAAGTGAGACTTTTTTAAAAAAGAAATTTTAAATTTATTTGAAAGGCAGAGTTATAGAGAGAAAGAGAGAGACAGAAAGATCTTCCATCTGCTGGTTTACTCCCCAAATAGCTGCAATGGCCAGATCTGGGCCAGGCTGAAGCCAGGAGCCAGGAACTTCTTCCAGGTCTCCTAGGTGAATGCAGAAGCCTAAACACTAGGGACATCTTCTGATGCTCTCTCAGGCACATTAGCAGGGAGCTGCTTTGGAGGTGGAGCAGCCAGGACATGAACTGACATCCATAACCTGCTATGCCATGACACCAGGCCCATGAGACTTCTTTTGAAAATAATGTTTCCTTATTTTTTGTTTGTCTTTCCTAGGTTTTAGCAAATAAGAGAAAAATAAAAAACCTTGAGTTTTTTTCTGGTTATAAATGTAACACTTATTTATTGTCAAAATATTGAAATGATAAAAAGAGACTAAAGAAGGAAGTAAATATGATACATGAGTATATACTTGGATATATATGATCAATATGCTCATATTGGTGACTTTTTTTCCCAGACTTATAAAACATATGTGAATCAAATTCACCACTTTCTAGCTATTTTGCTACATGGAGTTATATATTGCATCTGTATTGTATAAGTACTATATAATAGCATAGCTATACAACTCTTCCCATTATTACTCATTGATATCACATTAATAGCTTGAAATGAATATGTTGGGAGTATTTATCCTGCAGAATTCTGTAAATACTATAGCAGGACTTCCATCCTTTGTCACCAGATGGCAAGTTGCTAAATATTTACCAGCACGTGACTGAATATACTATTTCCCCATCATTTCTTTTGCCCCCATACATATCAAAATATAATTTGGTCATCATCTATCTTTTCACATCAGGTATCATTGCAAAACATAATCAAACCATCTCAGCATACTTTTTTTTTTTTTTTTAGATTTATTTATTTATTTGAAAGGTAGAGTTACAGAGAGGCAGAGGTGGAGAGAGAGAGAGATCTTCCATCCGTTGGTTCACTCCCCAAATGGCTGCAACAGCTGGAGCTGTGCCGGTCCAAAGCCAGAAGCCAGGAACTTCTTCCAGGTCTCCCATGTGGGTGCAGGGGCCCAAGGACTTGGGCCATCTTCCACTGTTTTCCCAGGCCGAAGCAGAGAGCTGGATAGGAAGTGGAGCTGCTGGAACTAGAATCAGCTCCCATATGGGATGCCTGCACTGGCTACACCACAGTGCCTGTCCCCACAACATAAATTATCTTAAAAATGCGTACACATACAAATAGGTATTTTTTAAACAAAAAATGGAGTTATTCTATATGT